GTACGTCGTCGCTTCTCTTGGTGGCGGTTGGTGGCTTCATCAAAGGAGGCGGAATCGGATGAAATGATTCGGGATACAGAGGATGGGTTGATTGACTGATTATAGGTGGTTTCAAACCAGATTTTCAGTGCGATATTTGATAGATGTGGCTTGAGTTGATGCTGGGCTCGGAGGGCAGCCTTTTGGCTGTTTAAAATAGGTTGACGGGTTTGCTTTGGCATTGCAGAAGGGAGGGACGAAGTCAAAATAGCCTATTTTGGTTACTCCTATATTAGCAATTTTGTATTGGAGGAGGGGAGAATTTAAGCAACTTGCTAGTAATGGAGTATTAAGCAATTTTATATGGAGTTGTAATTTGGACAGCGTGGCCAGTTGCTTATAATGGAGTATTGCTTATATCGGAGTTGCTTATAACGGGGTTTTACAGTATTATCACCACGTGATAATTTATCACGTGCCGCTCCCTTTTGCTTATAATCACGTGAGTAATATGCGAGTTATACATCCGATCTTATCGCTTCCGAAGCTCCCCCGGCCCGTCAACTTCTTTATCGGATCTTTCTCTGTTTCTCGCGTTTTTGCGGGGTTCTTTTTGCTCTTCTCGTGGCTTCAGTGGGTGCAATTTGCCTCTGCTTTCATTAAAATGGCAACCCTTTCAATGACCCGAGGACATCCATCCGATCCGACAAGGGCCCCGGGTGTTGACCTTCTTCCACATATATATACACCGTTCCAATCTCTTTCTATCCTTTAAAAGTTATACAAAGGAAGAAAAGTGACAAATGACAATGGCTACTTCAGAAACATACTCCCCCATCCGCGAGGCAGGTCGGATTTTCTCCCTGCTATGCGACCAATCCGAACGCTTCAGTTTGCCTCCACAAGTGGCTGAGAACCGGGACAAGGTCTCGTTCTACTCCTCCCACGACCAAATCTACTACCCAATTCCCTTCAAGGAGACCGAAACCTTGGCTGCGTTGAAAGGTGTCGAAGGTGCCGTGGCCGCAGCCCTAGCCGATTTGCGGTATGGCGCGTCGTCGCGGGATATCAAGGTTAGTTTGGAGAGAGCTACGGCGTTTGGTTGCCAGGCGTATATGGCCAAGTTGGATGGGTTGTCCAAGTTGGATCCGGCCGTTAAGGCTAGGCTGAAGGGTATGTGCAGTTGTTCGGATGGAATGGGATTATAGCTGACTGGATAGACACGGATCTTTTGGCCGCGCAGTCGAATGGATACCGCCGTATGTCTGCGAACCTTTATCGCACCAAGAACCCTGGCGAGTTCTTCCACATTCATGGCTCTTTGGAAGCTACGACGACATTGAATATGATTGGTTTGGAGGGCCACCGTCCGGATTTGACAGACTACGAAGAGGTTATCAAGGTGATCGAAAGCCATGTGCAGAAGTATGGGGCTGCAGAGTTGGAGGACATGAACCGAGAGAGAAGACAGGCTGGTGTGACGGCGTATAAGCACGAGGACTTTGTCAAGACGCCTCATGTAGGTCAACCCAGTGCCAAATATAGCTGGAGATACTAACGAGCATAGGGCCAAGTCAACGTGCAAGAACCGTTCTGGAAGGTATCGCGCTTGCAAGGCGACGTTCTTCCAACACCGTTCCCCGCTAGCCGTCCCGGAAGCAAGAAGATTTTGGAAGGAGTCAAGGTCTTGGAACTCTGCCGTATCATTGCTGGTCCGACTGTCACCCGTATCCTGAGCGAATATGGCGCCGATGTGTTGAAGATCACCAGCCCCAACCTCTCGGATGTCCCGTTCTTCCAAGTCGACGGAAACATGGGCAAGCATGCAGCCGATCTCGACTTGAAGACAGAAGAAGGACGACGCCAATTCGAAGAACTTGTCGCGGATGCTGACGTCGTCGTTGACGGGTACCGTCCTGGAGCCTTGGAGAAACTGGGCTACGGCCCGAATGCTCTTGCCGCTTTGGCTGAAAAGCGCGGCAAGGGTGTTGTGTATGTGAATGAGAACTGCTTCGGCTACGAGGGTGAATGGGCTGGACGGCCAGGCTGGCAGCAGATTGCCGACTGCGTAAGCCCCTCTAACCCAAGAAACTAATACAGGCCATGCTAACAAATCAGGTCACCGGCATCGCCTGGGCCCAAGGTCAATTCATGGGCCACCCCACCCCCGCAGTTCCCCCCTTCCCCATCTCCGACTACGGCACGGGCTGCATGGGTGCAATCGCAGCCCTGACAGGCCTCTACCACCGCGCCGCAACCGGCGGCTCCTACCACGGCAAAGCCTCCCTCATGCACTACGACCTCCTCCTCTTCGCCGTAGGCCAATACTCCGCCTCCATCCAAGAATCCATGCGCGCGTCCCAACCACCCGAGTTCTTCGCCCTGCGTCACTGCGACAGCGTCGACCGTATCTCATCCACTGTGTTGAAGATCATGCAGCAACGGTTCCCGCATTTGTATGAGCCCGAGGTGCTTACGGAGAAGTGGCATTCGGAGGCGTATAAGGCGGATATCGAGGTTGTGAGGCCGGTGGCGGAGATTGAGGGGGTTGAGAATGTATTTGAGCGGGGGAGTCGTCCGAATGGTGTGGATCGGGCGAGTTGGGGGGATTTTAGGAAGGAGGAGGGGGATCATAGGTGTTGATTCCGATGATTCGGATGTGGACTTGGACCTCTAGTAGGAGCATCTACGCGTTGCATGTAGACGTGTATGGAATATTCATATCGTGATAGCTGAATGCAGTGTCTACTTCTCACATTCTTCTTTCGAAATACATATTACTCTTTGAGTTTTTTAAGTTCTCCGCCAGGTTGTAGTACCAAGTATCGTCATCGGAATCTATAGAACCGTTGAGCCGGAACACCATCGGAAGCGAACCATCCTATCGGACCGAAGCCCCTCATTATATCATCAAGGATAGAAACACGAGTACTGAGCCAGAGTACATATACAAGACTTTTATTCTTTAGATCCTCAATTCGCAATCTCATTAACATCCATTGAGCACAAAAAAGGTAAAGTCTAAGTCCATATAAACCCCAATTGACCGAATCCAATTACGTAGCAAGTCACTAACTCCATCTATACAGGAACACCAATTACCCAAAAAGTCCATACAAAAAAGAAGACAAAACGAGAAAATGTCCTACGAAATAACTTCCACGCCCTCCCTCTCCCCCTCAACAACCTCCCGCATCCTCTCCTTCCTCTCCACCTTCTACCAAACCAGCGACACCGAGGCCGCCCACGACAAATACGTCTCCTCCTTCACCGACGATGCGACTCTGATCATGGGCTCCAAGAAGGCTGTTGGACGTGATGGTACCCTCCCCCCTGCCCCCAGAATAACGTTTTGGTAAAGGGAAGTGCTAATGTGATTTGTTAAATGTAGAGATTAAGACGCTCCGCCACGGCCTCTGGACACACGTTGCGTCGCGGAAACATACGCCTACGAAGGTGTTTTTCGGGGGCGAGGATGAGGTTATGTTGTACGGGACGGTGAGCTATGTGCTGCGGGCGGATGCGGAGAAGAATGAGGTTGAGGTGCCGTGGGCGGGGAGGGTTGTTTTTGCGGTTGATGGGGAAGATGGAGAGGTGAGGATGAGGTTTTATCAGGTTTATTTGGTACGTCGTTCCTTGTATGGTTGGATGGGGTTTGAGTTGCTAACTAGGACTTAGGATCCTTCGGCGCAGTCGGGGAAGAAATAGTGGAGGTTACTTGGGGGATATGATGTACGATGTAGATAGTTGACTACTTATGGATAGACATACAATCATGAATCGTACTCCCGTACATTGATTGGAAGAAGCCTGAAACACTATTGATCAATGCCCAGGTCTCCAAGTTCTAGAGATGCGGAGACTCTTCCTCCATAAGCCATAGATGAAATTCGAGAATCGCTCAACCCAAGCACCCATCCATTTATTTCATTTCTCCCAGGATATTATGACGGAACGGAAGGTAAAGGACATAAGGAAACACATCAAGAAGAGAGAGAAAAGTGATGGCAAGGAAGTAAGGAATATGCAACTTTTTATAAAAATTCGTATTTTGCTTTCCTTTCTTTCTTTACTCGTCATCCTCCTCCTCCTCCTCGTCAACGGTGGTCTTGGCAATACGGTCCAGATCCCGCTGGCCGCTCTCGGTGATGCGGCGGCCACCCTTGTCCTCGTCGTGCTCAAGGACACCGATCTTCTCGAGGGACTGCAGGACCTTACGGTCGACGGAGCCCGAGGCGTCGACGTGGTGGGCGGGGCGGTTACCGCGGTTCTTGGTCGAGCCGTGGACCTTGCGGAGGCGGTTGACACCGACGGTCTTGCGGAGGTAGATGTGACGGGCGACGGCGGCGGCGCGGACGTAGTACCTATCATATTTTGTTAGGTGGCGTTGCGATTTTGTTTGCTTTGATTATATAGTATCGTACCAGTCGGCGTCCTGGGGAGGGAGCTCGTTCGAGGCAGAGGTCTTGACAGTGTCAACCCATCCGGGGATGGGGAGCTTTCCCTGACGCTTCAAGAATGCAGAGTAGGCAGAGATGAACTTCCGCGCCTATTGGAGAGAAGATCCGTCAGCATGCGCCCTTCACTTTCATATAATTGTGTCCAATGCCCGTTGTCCAAGTCGTGGTCTGGTCCTTTTGAGAAAAGAAAAAAAAAAAAAAAATGAAAGCGTTCCGATCGTCGAATCCAGCGAAGCCCATATACTCTGATATTGTTCCTCCACATCCCTCCTTTTGACATCGATCCTCAGAGTGCCGAATTGCAGATATCGATGGCCGATATCCAGACGATCCCAGTCGAATTGCAGTCGCTTTCAATTCCTTCTCGTTCTCGTAGAATCTCAATCTCCCATTCCATATCCACTCGTTCATCGCTCGATCGTTCTTCCCATTCTTCAACATGACCAGACCAGACCAGACCACCAGACCAGACCGGACACAAAACCGGAGTAAACGACACGACTTACTTCCACATCGCGAACGGTGACACCACCCATTTTTGCAGGCGACTTTGTTGAACCTGGGGAGAAAGTTGAAGAGGTTAAAGCCGGAGGGATGGTCGTCGTCGGAGGGCGGGTTGGTCGAAAACCTCAAAAGGTGCGTTTCGTGTTTTCTCGGTTGCGCGAAAAGGGCGGCCGGGTTCGCTCTGTGTGGGCGGGCTTTTTTTCGCTTAGCCTGTTTGGGTTAGACTTACCCTAGTTGCCTGAGGCACCACTTTCGCAAGTATGTATGGACGGAGTACGGAGTACTCTGTACATACAAAGTAGTATCTCTGAGTATTTTGGAAAGGTTTTATGGTACTTTATTCAGAGAAAGACTGTAAAAAATAGTAATGTCTATTGTACACTCTATCATAACTCATAACAACTAAATACCACCAACGCCAGCCAATTAACTACCCGAAATAAATGAACATGAACATGAACTACTACAAAGTAGGCGCCCTCTTCAACCCAACACAATACCTCACAAACAACGTATCTAAAAAGTGCCCATGTCTAATCCCCGGCGCCCGTCTCCTCTCAAACTCATCAATCGCCTCCTGAACCCCAAATCCCCGTCTCTCAATCAAATAACAAACAATCAGGAACCCAGTCCGATTGAACCCATAATGGCAATGCACGCCGACTACCGGACGCGGTAAATGCCGTTCACTTTCTGGACGTTTCTCGACAAGGTTCGTGATTTCGGCTTGCAGTCGATCGACCAGCGCGATGAAGTCCCGCGTCTCGTCGGGTGTTGGCGGGATCTTGGAGACGGTGGGGTGTTTGTGGTAGTGGATGCCGCCCTTTTCAAGGGAGGCCGGGTTGTAGACGGGGTTCTCGTGGGAGATATCGATTACGGCGTAGATGTTGTTGCGGTGTTGTTCGGAGAAGCGGACGGGGTTGTGTTCCTCGTCGACTTCGCGGAGCATCTTGAGGGCCACGAAGGTGTCTGCTAGGGGTTGTGAGACGGGGGGTACTTTCTTCCATTTGGCGACGTTCTTGACGTCCCATTTGCCTGATGTATTCAGGTGGTGAAGTTGCCAGCCCAGGCTTAGGCGGTGGTCGATGTGCGAGACGAAGAAGTCTTGGATGATTCCGGAGACGGTGCGGTAAGTTGCGCGGTCGTAGAGGAGGGCGTGGGAGGCCGGGGATGGGAGGATTGCTGTCTTGACGGGGCGCTTCCGCTTGTCCTCTGATACTTTTTCGGTTTCCTCTTCACCTCCGTATTCGACTTCGTGCGCTTGGCCGTTGACGGGGAACTGGATTTGATCCTGGACCCTAGTAGCATCAGGAACGACACTGCTATCAGGTTCGATCTTCTCGTCTGGTTTGATATCTCCAAAGAATTGAAGGATCTTCTTCAACTCTGCCGCTTTGGTGACCGCGTCGGACTCGCCAGCGATGAGCAGGACTGGGGATTGTATTCCTGCCCAGACCTCCTCTCCTGGCATTCCTCCAACCGGCTTATCATTATCGTACTGCGTTGGAAGAGTTCCCCACGCCATGCGCCTCCACACAGCGGTCTTGCTCTGCTTATTAAAGCGGACCTGCAGTTCTCTAGTCTCGGGATCGGCGTCTGCTCCAACGAATCGAGTGACACTGGCACTGTTAGGACCACCACGTCGGTCCCAAGTGCGCCACAGGTTAAAGACAGGGTTTGGAATGTAGAGAAGTCGACGGAACATGGTAGTATCCTTAGGAGGCGGCGGAGATGCGCGGGGGCAGACGGAAATGGTGCCAATGATATGCTCTTTGAGCTGAGCCCCAATTGAGGATGCAGACGAAGCCAGCAGTGCTGATAGAGAGCATCCCAGACTGTGTGACACGAGCACGACTCCCTGGCCTGCTTCAACATCACGGTGCTGCTCAATAGCGGTGGCGATCAGTTCCGACAGTGCCTCAACAGTGTATGCATCCCATGAAGTTGGCTCAAACGTCGACAAACCGCATCCTGGCAGGTCAATTCCAAAGCAAGGTGCAATGTTCGTCAAGCTCGTGAGCAAGTGATGGAACTGCGCCAGGGACCCGCCCAGGCCGTGCACAAACACAAGCAACGGAATTGGTGATGGTTTGGTAGGCAACTTGCTCATCTGCGGATGCTGACAGAAGAACGTCCTGATGGACGGATACGTCGCAACAGATGTCGAGTAGGAGTGGTACGAAGAGTACTTCTTTAAGAGACCTGGGTCGGTAGTAAGGGCTGTTTTCGTTAGTATTAGATCACAGCGCAATGGCAAATACAAGGGATAGGACTGACCTTCCACCGATTGTTCACGGTGCTGAGCCGTTGCATCCTTTTCAGTAAGAGAGCCATCCGTACCAGGGCGCAAAGAAGCATTGCTATCATACTCGTCCTCCTCAGAAGAGGACATGGCCCCAGCGGAGCTCTTTCGGTCATTCTTGCGAGCAGAACGACCAAAGCGCCTACCACGGCCATCAGAGGGCGACTGGGCGCCTCTGCGTCGTAGCAGGGAAGACAAGAATCCACAGCCCGCCATTGCGACGAAGCACGTAGTCAAAAACACAACCTGGCTCCAGTTCACTGTGCCATTGCGATAACGTTCTAGGGTAGAAGAGATGACGGAATCCCAGATGCGCAACACACCCTTGACATCTGACGGGGAGGTAAAAGTACGAGACAGGGAGGAGGAAGAGGAAGAGGTAGGAACCAACGAAGGACCGCCGGTCGATCCCATGGCCGGGGACAGGTAAAAATAAGTTATCTCTCGGGGACGATCAATCAGGCCCAGGTTTCCAACGATCGCCCTCCCCTTGCACAGTGGCCTTGGCCTCTGGCAGAAATCATGCGTTCCTCAAACAGCAACACTCGACACCAGCACAAAGCGCACAACACCAGACAGTCGGTCAACTCCCTATCCAGCAGAGATCCGGATCCACCACGTCACCCAAAGTTCGGGAAAGGCAATTCCTCTCAACAGGGATACCCCAAGCAATCGGAATAGCGCCGTGGGAATTTGTTCTGGAAGTCCGAGTTTAACCCACGCGAGCCCAGCGACGATGCTCTTTGGCCGAAAGTCAACGGGTTCAAAACCCTTTGGACACGGAGGATAATCGAGCGGATTATTGAAGCGACCAACAAATGGTGAGCTAGTCGCTGGTATGCAACCGGACATGTAACTATTTGCGCATCACTTGTTTACCCCGAACGGCGTTTCTGCCAATGAAAATGGCCGAATCGGCACGTTGGACGGTCGCTGGAGAGGATCTCGTCTGACAGTTCCACTCTGCACGTCGACACTGAATAGTTGCAGTACTCTTTAGAGATAGACGCAGGCAAGAAGTGGTTTGTTGTTCGGTGTCTCGTTGCGATTCCGTGGTTGAGTCTTGATAGGATTCGCGACAGGTCACAGTCACAACGAATAAAGACTTGGTTTTTTGTCGGTTTCTTAACTGGCGCTGCTGTACGAGATACACGACGTCAGCGTGTGATCAATAATAAAAGCTAGTATAGTTATGCGCTGGTCAAGCTGTCGCCGTCGCAAAGTAGGACAGGAAAATTTCTCCCTTCTCCAATTCCAACGAACCTGACCTGAGCTCACCAACACAACCGTTTTCAAAACCGGATACCCTGGAATATAGTGCATTACCTTTTCTGAAGATGATCTTCAAGGGTCACTTGGCAAGGCCAGCGAAATTCGAGTAGCGACTAGCGTGCAGGTGGTTGTATGGGGTAAAATTGAATCGGCGGATGATTCATCGCCGCCCACTCATAACGTCAGTGAACATACCGAAGAATTGGCTTAGAATGGACCCGAGAATAGAAACGGAAGAAGAGTAAATGTGCTTCGGTAGTTTTTCTGATTGGGTAGAGACCGATATAATGCTACGTTTTGCCTCATCTTTGGGTCTGTTCAGGTACAGTCTCATCCTCCTTTCTGAGTACGGAGACGTACGGAGTACTCCCTCGTCTATGGGAGTATGAACCAACTGGTGAAACATGGTCCATGAATCGTTCTCATTCCAAACCATAGTACTCGTACAGTCTCAAAACAAATCCGTCATCGCACCATGCGACGCATCCCCAACCAACCGCGCATACTTCGCCAGCACACCACGAGTAACATGCGGTACCGGGGGCCTCCACTCCCCTAAACGCTGCTGAATATCTTCCTCAGATACATCCATGGTAAGCTGATGACTCTCCGCATCGATCGTAACCACATCGCCATCGCGCACAACAGCAATCGGTCCCCCAACTGCTGCCTCGGGCACAATATGCCCAACAATGAACCCGTGACTAGCCCCTGAGTACCGACCGTCCGTGAGCAGGGCCACGTTCGTGAGCTTGGCCCCCATAAGTGCCGCGCTGGCTTTGAGCTGTTCCGGCATTCCCGGGCCGCCCTTGGGACCTTCGTAGCGGACGATGATCACTAGGTTCTCGCCTCGGGGGATCTTACCCTGGTTCAGGGCGTCGTTGAGTTGGTATTCTTTGTCGAATACGCGGGCTTTACCTGTGAATCGGGTGCCCTCCTTACCGGTGATCTTGGCTACTGCACCGCCGGGGGCTAGATTGCCGCGTAGGATTTGCAGGTGACCTGTTGTCTTGATGGGGTTGTCCAATGGGCGGATGATGGCTTGGTCTTGTGGCAGGGATGGGTGGGATTCGACGTTCTGCGCCAATGTCTTGCCGGTCACGGTGGGGATGTCACCGTCGATAAGACCCGCTGCGATTAACAGCTTCTGGACGGATGGAATGCCTCCAATGTCATAGAGATCCGCCATGTAATACTTCCCGCTGGGAGCCAGGTTAGCGATGAAGGGAATCTTGTTGCTGACACGCTGAATGTCATCTATAGTCAAGTCCACGCCCGCGGTGCGAGCCATAGCAAGGAAGTGAAGCACGCCATTGGTGCTCCCTCCAAGCGCCATGGTCATAACCAGCGCGTTCTCAAACGACCGCTTCGTCAGCAGATCCCGGGGCTTGATGTTCTTCTCCAAGCATGTTTTGATTGCATCCGCAACCTTGACACACTCGCGCATCTTGGACGGAGAAGTTGCCGGCGTGGACGATGATCCGGGCAGCGACAGACCCATCGACTCGATGGCCGTGGCCATGGTGTTTGCCGTGAACATACCACCACACGCTCCAGCACTGGGACAGGCATGTCTTTCGAGGTCATCCATGATCTCATCCTTGCTCTTGCTGGTATCTCCGCCGTCGTCGGGCTGGCGCAGGGTATCATAGACATAAGCACCGGCAGCCTCGAAGCACGAAGAAACGTTGATAGGTTTGCGAAGCAAGTCCGAGTACCCGATCTGGATCGTCCCACCATAAATCATGATAGATGGCCGGTTGTGCCGGGCCATACCCATCACCACACCGGGCATATTCTTGTCGCATCCGGGAATAGCAATACAGGCGTCATGGTACTGCGCGCAGGTAACCGTCTCGACACTATCGGCGATAATCTCACGAGTCTGCAGGGAAAATCTCATTCCTGATCTGTCAACCATCACCCTCATATGTGTCTCCACACGACTAACCTTCACTACCCATGGTGATCGCATCCGACACACCAATGGTATTATACTGCCACCCAATCATGCCCTTTTCAATCACAGACTTCTTCACCGTCTTGCCCATATCCAACAAATGCATATTACACGGGTTTCCCTCCCACCAAACTGACGCAACGCCGACCTGGGGACTCTTCGTCATAGCTTCTCGATCGGGAATTCCAGCGGCGAACAGCATTGCCTACCAGCAGTCTCGAATCAGCAATTGACCTGCAATGCATGGGACGGATGGGATCATACCTGAGCACCGGGAAAGTCATGCCCCCGGGTAATAGTCGTAGAATGTCTGTTCAACGCCGGCGAGCCATCCTCATGCTTCGCATCGTCGGGGAGACTGGGGAAGTCGATGTACTTGACTTCACCCAGGGTATTCGTCACGGCTGGCTTGGAGGGGTCCATCTTGTCAATTGTACAGTGCACTAGTGCCTGTGTATACACAAACAGAGATCGAGAAGCTGGGGAATGACCTGAAGAAAAGTAACAAGTGTGCGGCGCAAGTCCGATAATGAACCGAGAGCCCCTCCACAGTCAATCTCTGTCGGATTCATCTCCGTGCGGGGGGAGTAGCTAAAATGGCCCTGATTAGTAGTGGGCAACCTCGAGCTTTTGATTGGATGATGGGGATTTAACCGGGATGTCAGTGATGGAGACGATTTTCCATATTGGGATAAGTTGTTTATTATGGTTAACATAGCTAACGCTGTCCATCTGACATTGCTGTGATATAAACACTTTGTAGAATGGCAACCCTATTTAGGACAGATGGCGATATACGTCATCCTGACTCCAGCCGTCACAGCCCTATACATATTGCGGCCACTGTTCCATATCCTCGAACACACCTTCATCTTCTACGCAATCACAGTATAGCAAACCAAGACACCATGTGCACATCCAACTACTACATCCCAGCAGCCCAAGCAATCAGCGTCCTCGGCTGCGCTCTCCTCTCCGGTAATCCCCCCTAAACACCCTCAACCCCAATCATCTAACAAGCAACACAGGAACCCTCCTCTCTCTCACCCTCTTCACAATCCCAACCCTCACCCTCCCACCCCGACCATCTCCCTCCTCCCCAACACCCATCCACCCAACCCCCTTCGCTCCACCTCCCCATCTAACCCACCAATGGCTCTACACCTACAAAAACACCCAACGACTCCTCTCCCCCTTAGCAACCACCACCTTCACAGGCTACATCTACCTAGCCTGGTGTCTCCGGAACGATCCCACCGCCCGCGGCAAATGGTATCTCCTTGCCTGCGCGGTGATGGTGGGTATGTTTGTGTGGAATCATGTGGTTATGAAAGGGGTTAATGGGAGGCTTGAGGGGCATGCGGGGAGGGATGATAAGGCGAGGGCGGAGGGGGTGGAGGGGATGAAGATGAGTGAGCAGGAGGTGGCGAAGAGGGGGAGGGAGGATGTGATGGCTTCGAAGGGATTGAGGTGGTGGGTGTGGTTGAATGGGGTTATGGCAGTGTTTCCGTTGGGTGCGGCGGGGGTTGGGTTTTGTGCTGGGATGTAGGGTGGTGTGTTGGTTTTGTGGAGGATGGAGATCCTTGGAGTATGTTGGATGACTTGCGAAGAACGGTTGGAAAAGGCAACAGAGTTCAATCTCAATCTCTATATTGACAGTTGATAGTATCGCAAAGTAATAAATACATTCCCCGAATAAAATGACAGATATTAAGTGGGTATCTCTGATAGCTCGTATGCCATCACAGTATAATGCATGAAAGATATTATGATCCAGGGCGAAACCGGCCAGCGAGCCCGTCGAGGTTAGTATGGACGTCAGACAGAATCACATCATAGCTTATGCCTCATGATCAGTCTCATCGACAGATTCCTTGTCGACCGATGTCCACTGCCTGGAACCCTCGAGCTCGTCGTCCAAAGGCTGTTCCTCAGATGCACTCTTTGTATCCGATTCGCCATCTATAGCGAAGCCAACAGCCTTTCCTGAAGTCGTTTGCGGGCGTACTTCTTCGAGTACATCGCCATTCCACGGTTTGCACTTCTTGACAATCTCTCCGCAACGAAGACAGACCCAGCCTTCGCCTTCTTCCCCTTCCAGCTTCTGCACCAGACAAACAAAACAGTATAAACAGCCGCAAGGGGCCGTCTCGTAGGGGTTGGTGATATCTGTCTGTGCAGAGCCAATCATTCCACCAGCCGATGCTGATGCAGCCATCACGTCGCTTTCTGATGTGGATGTTGGGTTCTGGTCCTTGTAGCAAATGGCGCATGTCCTCTCCGGGAGGAATGCTAATTCACCTCGCTTCTCCTCGGGCTCATTGTCATCGCTGCTGGATTTGAGAGTAGATTTTGTCTTCCGCCACGCTCTGGATAACCATCTGCGCCACCGGCTTATACCGACAAGAGGTAACAAGAAGAGTAGGAATTCGGTAAACGCGTGCCACACGAGCTGCCGATTCAGATATTCGAACGATACCTCGCGACTGGCTTGGGCGGATGGAGGAGTCAAACGCATACGAAGGATTCGATCAATCAGAGTCCGGTACCGGCCATTCACCAAGAACACGAGGAAAGAAACGAAGGCCGCGACCGAGTGTGTTGTCGAAACTAGATCCGTTATTCGCCCTAGAAACTGGACTCTCCGCGAGGGCTATTGTTGTGAGCATAGGCGCTGAAATATAGACGAATTGCGAATGCTTACCTCTTCATAACCATCGCTTTGCCCGACCAGCCAACTCTCCCACTTATCCCACGCGTAACGACCACCCACGGTGAGAAAACCATACAGACCCTTTTGCCATTTCGTCGGTGTAGAATGAATAGGACCCTTGCTGCGAACATCGATATATTTCAAGTCTTGTAAAGCGGCACCGTAGGAAGCATCATGGTCCCATATCGAAAGCTTAAACAGGATGGCTCGGAGGGCAAATTGAATCTCATGCGACCAGTCTTCGCGCAAATGAGGCTAATTAAAGGCACCAGTTAGCAATCAATACACCACAAGGTCCTCGGAAAATATAGATAATACCCCGTAGTACTTCAACGCTTCCCCAACCTGCCCCTTGAGCAAGTCCAGCAATTCCTCATCGAGCAGCTCGGCATCTACCTGACCGACCCGAAACGCCGGTCGATTCCCTTCACGCCCAGTCAAAGAGCTCCATACCCAACTAGCTGATAAAGGCAATTTGTTAAATGGAAATGGAAGTCGTTGGATGGCGGCATTATTTGCCGGTGACGCCCTCTGGTCCGCAAACCGGGCGCGAGATTCCGTCTCGTGCAGGCGTCGGCGTTCTAACACGCGCTGTTGGGCAGCAGCAAAGTTGGTCGAGCTCATCGTAGGATCATCGTGCGATTCAATATCAGCAGCGGTAGTAGGAGGAAAGGATTGAATCGAGATGTGTACAGGTATCGTATCGGTGTAGACGGAAAAGGAAGCGCTCGGGAATTGATAACGATCCGAGTTCCTCAAATCAAGCCGAGGTTGACGTGGGCGCACGTGACCGTACTTTTACAGAGTAAACAATACCTCTCGGTGTAGTATTCAATTGATTATTGGGCTTTTAAGGGCTCCACTAATTGAAGTATTCGTAGTGTTATTTCTGTCAGACCACCTTGACCAGTGTGGATGGATGTGCAATCTACGCTCTTCAGCTGAAGCATAGCTGCTTCGGGCGGACCTCAGTCTTGAGTCTGGGGAAAAGCTCAATTAAGCTAGGGTGTACCTAATTCTTATCCATATTTAATCATCTCTGGTGACTGAAAGATCCGGACTATGGATGTTATGTTTCGTTTATGCATCGCAAGTTATCCTCGATGACAGCACTGGTGCTCGGCTGACAGTTATGCCTGTTCCTGCATTATGTACCATACGGCGTTGGCATGGAATACCCACTGAATCTGGACATCTTGCTCATCCCTCGCTTGCATTTATAGCCATTCGAATTGTTTAAGTGTGTTTCGAAAGCGGAAACGTAGCGGATAAAGTCCGTTCTCTTACATCATAGACCCGAGGTTATCAGATTATCAACAGATTCCCCAGGAGCAGGCAATAAGCAGATCGATAATGTACATGGATGTCTGCATATGAACGAGCTGGCTAGATCTGCAATTAACCATCAGAATGCTCAACAAATCTCACATCACAGAAAGCACAGGAATCGGCCTCAGAAGAACAAGACCACAAACACTACAACCGGGGTTGGCATCTCAAAATGCCCGACTATACACAACACCAACCACACCCCCCAAACCCCCCAACGGCCTCAAACACAACCGCCTAATAATAGGCATGACTGGCGCAACCGGTGCCATCTACGGCATCCGCGCCCTCCAATTCCTCCGCACCCTAGGCGTAGAAACCCACCTCATAATGTCCAAATGGGCGCACGCAACCATCAAATACGAAACCCCCTGGACCCCCGAATCCATCGCCAACCTCGCCACAGCCCGCAACTACTCCATCCGCGACCTCTCAGCCCCCATGAGCAGCGGCTCCTGGAAATCCGACGGGATGTTAATTGCGCCGTGCAGTGTGAAGACGCTCGCTGCGATCCGCGCGGGGTATGCGGATGTTTGTATTAAGGAGAGACGGCCGTTGGTGTTGGGGGTTAGGGAGACGCCATTGAGTACGATTCATTTGGAGAATATTTTGGCGTTGGCGAGGTTGGGGGTTGTGATTTTTCCGGCTGTGCCGGCGTTTTATATGAAGCCGAGGGGGTTGGATGATGTTGTTTATCAGAGTGTGGGGAGGATGATGGATTATTTTGGGATTGAGTCGGATGGGTTTATGCCTGGGGAGGGGAGGTGGGAGGGGTTTCAGAAGTAGCTTGCATTTCGATCCTTGTATAGTTGGTGGTTAGGCAAAGTGTGTTGTAAATATCAGACAGAAGAAAGGAGCAAATAGACTCTGTATATAATAACAGAGTACGTATAGGTTGTCAAATGATATTGATTGTATGCGATTATGTACAAGTCGGCATGACCCCATGCCTGTATGTTATCTATAAATTTGTCTTATTTGGATATTTCGCTAAGATGTCAAAATACCAAAAAGATATCACAAAAGAAAAGAAAAGAGAGCGTGTGCATCGATGCATATTTGCAGTTGATTGCTTGGCGCATAGATATAGACCACCGCAGTAGGGATCCTCCCTTTTCTCCCAGCAATCGGACGGTCGCCTGAATTATCTTATCATTTCAATCATGATCATCTTCCATGCATAATTTCGTGATCTCGAATTTGCTCATCCGAATCATGGTCGGATTCGCGAGACCGGGCAGCCGGGCCGGTCACGTCGGGACGGTGGGACTATGCCAATGCTAGGGCTGCGGCACCACCAAAATTTCAGTTTCTGGAAAATTTCCAGACGCGCAGATGCGGTAATATACATCCGCGTTTGAATATGCGAGTAGTCGTGCATGTATAGAATCATTCAGCGTTCCGGTCAAGCTGTTGCTGTAAGAACGCCCGTCCCTCGTTATTGACGAAACCCCCAAGGCCAAAGGCTGGAATGATACGACACATGCGGATCAACGAAGCGCCGATCCAATCTCTGCTAACGCGGTTCAACCGGTCCTTCAAGGGTAGAGGTGACTGCCGGTTATACAGATCCAGCCCGAAGAGATGGATGGGGGTGCTGATCAGTTGGATCGATGCGGGGATACCCAATTGCGCGATAAGGATCTTTAGATATTCCCTCGAGGCGATAGAGTCCGGAATCCATGCTGAGGCCATTGCGGGCAAGCTGAAGGATCCGAAGATTGTTAGACCGTCGCGGAGAAGGAAGGCTGAGTAGGTGGCCATGGGAATAGAGCGGCTGACGGATCGAACAATCTTGCTGGCGGGCGCGCCGCCAGGCATGCTTTTGGCTTGGTTGGATGTAGAAGAAGACGCATTAGTAGTTGTGTTGGCGGTGGGGGTGGCTGTGGTATTGTTGCTGTGGTTGTGGCCGAACAGCTCGGCGAATTTGACGTCTTTCCAGATGCCGACGGAGGAGTTGACAAAGAATGTCGAGACGAAGGTCGTTGTTCCGGCTATGGCGTGGTCGATCTGGGGGAAGACCCGACTGAAAATCGTCTCTGACACGTTCACAGTTGCAAATGTCGCAGCATACAGAGACCAGACCAGCAGGCTCGGGCGTGATGTTAAGAACGTAGCGGGTTGAGTGATGGAATACCACAGGTGTCTGCGAAATGCAGGTAGGAGAGGTTGGTTGTATGATGACTTCTCCACGACCAGTCTGCATCTCTGTATCAGCCCAGCTCATTCTTATCAATCATATCGATAAGAATTACCTGTCGAAAATCATCACTGCCGGAGTGATCAATGTTGCTGAACCCGCAGCAACGAGCGTGTCGGTCGCTAGCAGTTCAGCCAGGCGATTCCGCTTGAAGCCAAATGGCAACGGCTGTTTGATATCCAGATCCTGCTCCATATTGCTTCTTGAAAACGTGTGTTCAACGATTTCTGTTTAGCCTTGGTGAAGCATGCGTCTTATCATAGCCCAGGACGCGGGTTTTATCGTTTCGCTCCGTCTTCGTTTGCGCTCCCGATATATGCGCTTGCGATTTATTCGTACACTCGCAGTGTGCCGTGTTTGGTCGTTAAGGAAATGGAACGCCCCTTATTTTGTCATTAGATATGGCCGTGGGGTTTAGGGTTACCGTATATGGTTAATCACTCACCTTGGAAAGACTTGGACTTGGGACAGAACTTGCAAGACTGAAAGATGAAATGACTACAGTCTCGAGTAGAGAGTGGATATGAAGCAGTAAAAATACCACCCACACGAAAAGAACACGCAGAACCCCCGTCAACGCCTAACTATACATAATAATACAGCGGCATCCGGGGAGTACACGATTTCGGCGGCTGCAACCAATGGGAGCTAGTGACCGGGCCGGGAGGCCGGGAAAGTGATAGGCGCATCGACCGACACCGACAGTTGACTGGGCCCGGAGTAAAGATACAGGACATTGCAGTATCGGGGGCACATCAACGACACAGATGTAAGTGCGGCGTTGGTGAGGCAAAATCGTCTTAAGATTGTCATTTGTTAGAGGCTATCTCTTCTAGATTTCCCCACCGAGGGACTTGTCTGCAGTGTCTCCGTGTTCGGCGCTGTACAACTCATGGACGTTCAAACCCCCCAGAAATCATGAGATAGGATCAAGATTATGCGACATTATGTATTCTAAGACAACGCATTCAACGTTGCAACCGTTTCAGGTCAGCAAGCCTGCAACATGACAGCACGGAGTACGTAGTGAAGTGCCCGATGAGCAACCACGCGGGCCTCTGCGAAAAGCATTCTGAGCTTGCTCACTATGATCATTGGATTTCCAGAATCGGAAGCGTAGTATGTTAGGGTGAAAGAATAGGGGCTGGAAAAAGAAAAGAGCAAAAGTGGACTGTGATAGGAACAAAAAAAACTCCCCGACTGGGAATCGAACCCAGGTCTCCCGCGCTTGCAAGTTGTTAAGCTGACAAGCGGAAATCATAACCACTAGACCATCGAGGACTTGTTATTGAAAGGTTCAATAATTTTGGTTAATTAAGTTTAAATATATTTGTGATCACGTAGATGAACGGTAAATAAACAAAGGACAGTCGAAGCGTGGAAGAACGATATGGGTCAGATGCGGGTTGAGTTTGAAAACGAGAGGTAAGAGGATTTCGCGCCAATACATTGGCCAGACTACAGAACGCGGACGAGTAGAGTTTTGTGTATACCCCAGGTCACATTAATCGAACCTCCCAACTACAAACAGAGTTAGCCCACTCTCTGGAGAAAGCCTGGGGAGGCTTACAACACGGTTCTCCGTCCGATGAGCGACGAAGAAAAATCGGTTATGTCCTTGGACAATAACACCCAAATCAGGCAGGTCCACGCTGCGGCCGACGAGCAACTACCAGCTCCCGTAGCTCGTGAAGATGCATGGAAGAAGATATGCAATTGCAGCCGAGTGTGCTATGCGAAAGCAGAACAGCTTCCATCGTGGTAATTAAGCTAGAAGAACTCCAACCAATCCCCACGAGCTCCTTCCATGAGAAGCACGCATGTATTTTCAAATACTACTCCTGGTCGAGCAGTATCTTCTTTTTAGATGGCTACAAATTTCAAGGTCCATACTGTCAATAGCAGTGTCTCGTTTGGCCTCTTTAATGGCTCATCGACACAAAAGAGCAAATAACATCATGCGTAGGCCGGCTGCGGTTGCAAAGTTCAGCATTGGACCACCACTCTGGACACTGTAGTCAGCCCCCGTTACAGATCTGGTCTCCATTTCGGAATCTTTTTGGCCCCTGAACTCTCCCCCGATCAGTAGCGTTCTCAGTGTGATGCTCTTGAGAGGGCGTGGGCGACGAGGAGGGGCCTCGAGGGGAGGCAGGTTGGTGATGTGTTGCCTTCTTCGTGTTGTGCCTGCATTGCTCACCAGCACATGGGTTGGCATGGATCTTGAGAATAGCCATGTGAACACTATGAACACTACTCGTGGCCCATTTCAATACCCTATCCAAATTTCGTGTTTGGTCCTCCCATCCCGCATCCCCCCTTTTTTGGCATACTTTATAGCCTTTAGCTTCGAGGCTCTGTTGTATAAGCTCTTTGTGCAATGATTGATCAGGACCATACTATATCCTTTCGCAATGTCGGCTCCCGGAGAATTTGTAAGGAATTCCCGGAGTCAGGTTATTTGGCCATCAATGGTCTAAAGAAAAATTAAAGTATGGATGTCCTCTCCATACTTGTTTGAGGCCTCCCTCTCTCACTCTACTCCCTTGGTCGCTTTCCTTATCTTGTTCTGGTGTCTATTAAAAACCTGGCCTCGTCAAGACAAAAACCGGTCAGTGATCAATCACTCTCATTTCGATCGGATCAATATGTGCGAGACACGGTGTGAGGTAACAAAAGAAAGCTGTAAAACAGTATAGATGAGGTTGAAGGATAAAGCGTCCGGACCGTTATGAATCACGCATCTTCCAAGGCTGGAATAACCCTATCACACTTGGATGGAATATGACAAGAACTGAGATAAATCATGGTAATCAAGTTGATAACCAGAGAATGGGGGGGGGGGGGGGGGTAGATAGATGAGGGAGGAAGGTTGTTAGGGCTTAGACAGAAAGGTTACGGTTAAGCCTACAGTTGCGCAGGCAGTGAATACGATGCGGATGTCTCAATTGCTCGAATTGTTTTTTACTGTAAGCCTCTATTTTTCATCACCGGGGTATATATCCATAACGCCTATCATAAATGCTATCAAAATATGAGATGCTTTTTCAATTCTGCCGAGGCTTCACAGCGCCCTCCTGGACCACATAGTAAACCACCGTTCCATCACCACCCATATTCCTATCCACCATAGACAACAACAACCGCTTCCCGCCCCATTCATTGGTCATCCGCGCAGACTTCCGATACTCCAGATACTCCGCGATCCTAACCTCCTTCTCGTCCCTTGGCTGCGACTCCTCTCCTTCACTCCCTCCCTCGGGAGCCAGCGAAGCCAAACCCTCATCGACCTGCGGCAACGAGTCAAAAGCCGCCGCCATCTTCCGCAAACTCCACGATTGCCCTTCTACGGTGGGAAGGACGAATGTGCGCTCCGGATCAATGTCATTATCACGAAGACCGCGCTCGAGCATGAAGAGTTGTTCGTCGGGGTGAGTGTAGATTCTGTTCGGCGGGACACCGGATATCACGAAGGCGGTTGTGGCTGTTGATGATGCGTATAATACATCGGATGAGGATGATGGGGCTTCCGGGAGGGAGAGACGATGGATTTGGAGCGAGGTCCAGAGGTGTTGGTGTTGGAGGTTGTGGAGGACTTGGAGGGTTGCTGCAGAGAGGGGAGTAGTAGGAGCGATAGCAGCGGAGGAGATGAGTGTGGTCAGCGCGGAGGGCTCTGGGGGTGTTGCAAGGGGATTCGAAGACGGTGGTGATGTTTCGCTTGTCATTTTGGTGGTCTGCTTTATTCTCTTCTGATTCCGGAGGGGCAGGCAAAGTGGGATGGATGGTAGACGATGAGGCTGTTAAAGGCTGCACAAGTATTAGCATGCGCGTTTCTGATATAAACCATGAACGGTTTAGATCTCCTAAATGACTTACTCAATCCTTATAGAGACAAAGGGACAAGACACTGATCAATTGCAATTATTCAGTCCTGGGGAGAATATTTATTCGAGACAAACTCCGAGGGCGGTCAAAACGGAATATTTCCAGTCGCATATCTAGGTGGGAAGAACACATATCCTCAACTCTGTTTTTTCAACTACCACAGTGATTGCTAGTTTCGAGATTCAAGTGAAAGCTCTTCGTCGCTCAGATTGACCGTCATAGGCCGTTTGGTGTTCTCCTTGTTCTCGCCCGTTCTCCCTTCGAGCGAAGTACCGTGTTTGCCGCATACAGATGGCGCGACAGAAACAAACAGCACCCCTACAGCGGGCAACGTCCTCGGAGTTGATGCACATGCTCCCAGACGATCTCAAGGCCAATGGAAAAGCGATTGAACAAAATGCCAGGGCCCAGGATATAGATAAAGGCGCGGCGCATGATTCCGCGCAAGAGACTCCGGGGTTGATGCAGTTGGTGATTTGCGTGTTGGGAATCTATGCTTCATTGTACGTTCATCACACTAATGAATAGGACTGGAACAGTATAAACTAACTAGTGAAGCCTTTCATGGGGTGTCCTGCAAGAAGCAATCACAACCGTCTCCTATCCCATCCGGCCGGCGAGCGCAACAGAGCCAGAACCTCCCACGGAACGCTTTACCTTCTCGATCGTCCTGAACACAATCCAGTCCTCCTTTGCCGCTATCACGGGCTTCCTATACCTTTTCTTCTCGACGCCCAAGGGCCAAAATATCGCGTCGATCTTCCCGACTCGCAAGATCCTCTTCCCATTGATCCTCGTCAGCGTCACCTCGTCTCTCGCATCGCCCTTTGGCTACGCCAGTCTGTCTCATATAGACTACCTGACTTTCATTCTCGCCAAATCATGCAAACTTCTTCCAGTTATGTTCCTCAATTTGACTATCTTCCGCAAGCGCTATCCGCTGTACAAATATTTGGTTGTCCTCGCGGTCACGCTCGGAGTCGCAACCTTCACACTGCACCACCCTGGAACGAGCAAGAAGATGGCAGCAGCAGCAGAAAAGAACCAGTCGGGTTCCTCACTGTGGGGGATTTTCCTGCTCTCGATTAATCTCCTTTTGGATGGCCTCACGAACACCACGCAAGACCACATCTTCACCTCCCCGCAGGTCTACACGCGTTTTACCGGACCGCAAATGATGGTGGCGCAGAATGTCCTATCCACTGCCCTGACCACTCTCTATCTGGGTATTATGCCGCACCTGTCTTCCAGCGGCATCCTTCATGCCATTCTCCCCTTTCCCATTCCGCCTTCCACAGAGACAGAGCTGTCGACCGCCATCTCGTTCCTGTCTCGGCACCCCGAAGCGCTGAAGAACGTGCTCGGATTTGCTGCTTGTGGTGCCATTGGCCAGCTGTTTATTTTCTATACGCTCTCTCGCTTCTCATCCTTGCTTCTGGTTACCGTTACCGTTACGCGGAAGATGTTGACCATGCTCCTGAGTGTGTTCTGGTTCGGTCACTCGTTATCCGCTGGACAGTGGTTAGGAGTTGGACTTGTCTTCGGGGGTGTTGGCGCTGAAGCTGCCGTACAAAGGCAAGAGAAGAAAGCTAAAGAGCGAGCGAAGGCTCAGGCTAAGAAAGAATAATCTTCTTGGCACCGAGGTTATCAGCTCAGAATTGTTTAATTTAATTTCCATATATTGATCCAAATACAACTTGTTAGATACCCAGCATAGATACATACTGAAGAGATCACATTATGAGCCCTCGAGTATCATCGAACAAACCTTCTTACGAAGTCCAAAAAAATCATGAACGACCCAAATACCTCAAAAAACGCAACTAGAATCCAAACTGAACGCCAAAGTTTACCAATTGACCAGCTCGAAAAAATCACCCCAGAGCTAATAGACAAGCTCTGTTCATGACCAAGACCGAGTTTACGTTCCCAATCTCAAATCACCACCGTTAGCCTCAGCCGATGGCTAGAAGAAAACACCGAGAAACTAGGTGCTGACATTGAATACTTCAGCGAGACAAAGCTCGCAGCCTCTCAGTTCCACAGGATTTGCGTTAACGTGTTTTCGCATTGGTTCAACGATATAACTGAACAAGCCGGGTATTCATATGGGGCAGGTTCATACAATAATTTCTTCTTACTTGCTGCATTCTTTTCTTAGACTTGTTCCTTTTGCCTGTACTCATATCGTGTATTTGGAGTCAACGGTATCAACATGATTAAATTGCTTCTTTTCTCCGGTAACAAGGGGGTATATAATATAAAATCTAATCCTGAGGCGTCTATTACGCCATAAACATTCTGTTACGCCTGAAGTCAGATGCGGAACTTGCGAGCTATACGCAGGATGAGCCGATCATAGCACTTGAAGTCGGAATGACACAGTCATTTAATGATCTGGCCAAGATAACGAAACGGATGCTCTCGCATTCCCGTGGGAAAACAGAGGCAGTGATTATCCTCAAGATTACGAGAAAGACCGGAGCTTTGGAGATTGGGCTCCATGGGGTCTTGAGGACCAGGACCTTATGCAAAAGCTGAGCAATGGCACACTAGAACGCCACATTTTATAATACCACAAGGACAAGAACGAGCCACTTGTGGGCTCATTGGCTGCTCAGATATATCTATGGACGAAGGGTATGGAGAGTCCTCCAGAGTGTCCGATTTGGGGGTTTAAGTTTGGACACCAGACCCAGACGCATCAGCAACGGGCCGTGTTTGACAGAGAGCAGAAACTGAAGGTTCCGGGGAGCAGATTCGAGTTTCCGTTTGAGAAGATTGAATCCTGCTTGCTGAGAGCTTTCTCCAATGAGGAACTGGAGAGAGCATGGCAAATTATGGTGAGGGATAACGACTATTTCCTGAGTTTTGGGAATTGAACACTTGGTATCTCTGCATCCTACTTTCTACTAACTTGTTCGCTATTCGTTGGATTCATATTCGCATGCTTAAAATGAAATTGATAACAATGATATCTACTTCCTCCCCTCAACCATAATAATATGATATCCAAACCCCGTCTTCACCTCCGCGTACTTCGGACTCCCCGTCGAACTGGGCTCCAATTCATACGCCGTCTTCTCAAACGCACCATCCAGACTGCCCCGTGCTTTCCAGCCGAGAGAACCGCCTGTAACAATTGTTAGCACGCTCTCCTTGGATATACCAAATGTGTTTAATGGTAGAATGGAGAAAGAAGGATACATACCCTGTCTAGCCTTATCCTCCGAAAACTCCCTCGCGACATCATCGAACTTGGACCCATTGCGGAGCTTCTCCAGTGCTTCTTCCTTCTTGGAGTATTTCTCGCACTTCTCATCATCAGCAACCCATATCGATCGCAATATATACGAAACCCTGTGCAGGCAAACGTACAAGAATATGCCGAACGTTAATCGAAGTCGCAGGCTTCAAGCCACCACCACCTTTTCCTCCCTTGCCGGAGTCATCGTTGTTTCCGCCTCCTTTGCCTTTGTTTTTGGCGCCCATCTTTGTATATTTTTTTTAGAGTGAGTGAAAGGGGTTGAATGAGGTTGTTGGTTTTTGATGTGGTAATACCGTGATTGATGATGGTTGGTGGGGTGGTAGCCTCAGGCAGGAATGCGATAAGAGATAACTAACAAACAGCATGTGATGTTTTTACTCTTCTCTCCATTTCTTGTTTTGATATTGAGACTGCACGATGGACGATAATGTCGGATTTGATCTGGAAGCAGCCAGAATTACTTCCTTACCACAGACAGGATACTACGTTTCTGATTTCATCACGGAAGCTGAAGAGAACCTCCTCTTACAAAAGGTATATTCCTTTCATTGACTTTCTAGTAGACACACCACATCTAACTGACTACGAGATAACATCCGCCCCCCGTCCCCGCTGGACATACCTCTCCCATCGCCGTCTTCAAACCTGGCCCTCGGCTCTAACAAAGTCCAACACCCTACTCGATTCGCCTTTGCCATCATGGCTCATCTCGCCGATTATCCAACCACGCTTCAACAAACTGGGTATCTTTGCTGACTCCCCGCACGGCGCGCCAAATCACGTTCTGATCAATGAATACGCGCCGGGACAAGGCATTATGTCGCACGAGGATGGAAGCGCGTATTACCCGCTCGTGGCTACTGTTAGTCTTGGGGCACCGATTGTGTTGGATTTGTATACAAAACGGAAGAGCCAAGGCCGAGAGGGACGAGATGAGGACGGAGCAGAAGAACAGCGGCCGCAATTTCGTATTCTGCAGGAGAGACGTAGTCTGCTGGTTACCACAGGCGAACTTTATACGGACATTCTGCACGGGATTGCGGAGTCGACCAGAGAAGAAGGGTTGGGGCCAGAGTCGGTGTGTAATTGGGACTTGTTGCGAGAGAAAGATCGGTATGAGTGCGGATGGTTCGATAGGGCGACGAGGATTAGCTTGACCTATCGGGATGTAATCAAGGTCGCCAAAGTGGGAAATAAGTTCAAGTTCTTGAATGGGCGGTGAAAAAGCTATCTTCAATAGTTCTCTTTATTTCCCCACACTTTAGTTAGTATGTCCCAGGAATCATCTTCCATTTTCCTCGCACCGAATCTTCGCCAAATTTCTGCATGTACCACTCCTTGCTGATTCCAGCAGTGACGCCTAGATTCACGGCAACGAAGGCCAGACACGAGAGAAGTGTCTTGTTAACCATCTCTCCCGAGGGAGCAGCCAAAAACGCCAACGACAAGTATATACCACACTCGGCCGTATAATGCGGCGACACGATCATATTGAACAATGGGTGAGTAGGAAGGGTGTATTTTTTGAGCGAGAAGAGGTAGTGGTGGCAGTCATGCTGGAGACCGGATGCGAGCAGGAACAAAGGCAGGCAAATAAACGTTCGCAACGAGGGAGCATTGGTAATCTTGACGTGATCCAAGGTCAGCTCGTGAGATCGGAGGGCTCCTAGTAATCCAGCGTCTTAGTTCGTAATGTAATCCTAAGTCCCGTATGTTGTAATCCTACCTGCTCCCTCAATCCAAATTGCCACTGTTGCTGCAAGGTAAAACGAGATCCCTAGAACCCAGTGAACAAACCACATCCGAGATGCAGACGGCTTGGAAAAGAGACGGCACTCGGCAAGGCGCCTTGAACTATGCACGACCATCAAAACCCAACACAACATGGCCTGATTCACAGACATGGAGCTCTGCAGATGTTCTGGACTGATTCTAGCTGTAATGGCCTGGAACATGGAACCTCGCAGGAGCAGCTGAGCCAGCCAGAAGATCGACGACAGGATTGAGACCACATAGAACTGCGTGAAGTAACTGTGAGGCACCTGCAGACTCTGCAAGAAGTTGAGAGCACGCGTTATCAGGGAGGTTTTTGTGTCATTGCTGGACGGCTTTTGTGTCTCTGCGGTCGTTGAGGACGAAGCTGCACGGGCGCCATAGGTAATGAAACGGGAACGCAGAGGAGCAAACAAGTTGAGGGTAAGAACCTGTAGGTTAATCCTTGATAAGCTGGAGCCAAATGCTTTTTGGTATGATCTATAACGATCGAAGATCCTTATGATTGAGATAAATGATGGCGATGATGTTGTTATGGCCGTACCGTGCAGGCTCCAAAAAGGAAGAACGCTCTCAGGGCGTCGACAGCATCTGAGTGCGTGGAGGCAAGAAAGCCGTCCACAAGCGCTGAGAGACGATCCATCCTGAAGATCCGTCTGCTAAACAAGCGGCGCTGAGGTTGATGCAATGTGTGGGTGTTTGAATCGAGCACTATGCAGGAGAGAGGAGTTGAGGAAGAGGAGAACCTCGTATCTGGTGGTGGTGTTGGCGGCGAGGGCCACGTTCCGGTATGGCAATACGTGTAATTTACATAGCGATAAAGCAATAAACCTCTCAAAACAATTCTCGTTTCAACTGGCCTCATATTACTATCTAACTATATCATCTTTAATATATGCACAGAATATACTCAGCATATCATCTATCATATAGAATTGATCAATGATATGATGGTGACTGCATCTCAATACCTGATTGTATCAATATGACACAGATCACGAGCCGCGCTGTAATTTTATCCTCACGCCGTCAGAGACTATGTTAGGCCAAAACGCCTCCAACCAGGGAAAGGAGGCGAGCTACTTGAATACGACTCTTTGATTGGCTAAGAGTAGAGATCGCTGGCCGCTAAGTGGGACTCGCAGCTTTTCGGGCTACCGGCTAGTCTGGATGCAGTAACGGCCGACCATTGATGGCATATGATTGGCTAATGACTGACTGGGCTGCCTTGTGGTGGCCTGACGAATTTGGGATACCAAAACATTACGTTACATACAGTACAGATCACTACGCCGAGTATTCCCAGTAGATAAACCACATCAAAGAGACAAAATCAACACACAAAAGACACAACAAAAGGACAATAATTATTCCACATATTAAAGCATATTAAATATATGCATCAATAGTGGTAGCGTATCAGGATTCGCCGTCGACCGCCGGCTCCACCCACCGGTAGAATGCGCCAATCAGCAAGCGGGTGGCCAATACGTATCTTTTAGGGGAGGTCACTGACTTTCTCTTCGCTCTCTCTTCCTCTTCTCTTCGTTTCCTGTTCCATCGCTTCCTTCCACGTCTTCTTCTTCTCTCTCTTCCTCTCTCCTCTCCTCCTCTTATAACCTCCATCTCTTAAACCTTTATATCTTCCTCATCTTCTCCCTAACTTCTTTCCTTCCTCTTTCTTTTCCATCCTCGACCTTCCGTTCTCATCGTCTATAACCACCACCACGACGCCATCATTCTTCTGTCCTCTTTTTAAACCACGATATTCTACTACACCTATATCGTTCAACCGTCTGCTGTGCCTCGTTACGCTCTCACGTCGTGTCCGTCGAATTTCGCCATTGTTGCTTCGTCATATCCCAATCCAAAGCACGTGTACGACAAGCGTGGTCGAGCACCAGCGCCCGCGCATCTCTGCTGGTGCTTCTGACCACATCTGCCCGCCACGGCCCCCCAAAATGACGAGCAGAACCCCCGGAACTCGACCGTTACCGCTATGAGTGATGTGGACACCATCTCTTCCCTACCAGCTGCCCTGGATGCCGGTCAAAGCGCTCTTGCAAACAACGTGAATAATCACCAGTCCCCTTCTGGTCCTTCATTCCCCCCCAAGGAGGCGAACCCACAGTCGTTCCAACCAAAGGATCCGGATGTCGCCCCCAAGAGCAAGGTGGATTCTACCGACGAGGCCAATCAGCCATTAAGTCCAAAGGCTGACTCGGAGGCGGAAACCATAATCCAGTCGGGCCGTGAGTCTGTGTCGCCGGAGAAGAGGCGAAAATACATCAAACATGACCCGAAACGACGTGATGAAGGAAACGACAAATTGGAGGAGCCCGAGGAGGGTGAATTACCGCCTAATGATTTACAGGTGAGGAAAAGGAAGCGCTTGGATGACAATGCCCTTGATGTCCGCGACTTCGACCCTCGCCGGTCGAGGAGTCCCCTCGACAGGAGTCCCCGTACCACCAGAGGAGTATCCCCGTCCGTGGTGAAGACAGAGAAGCCCGAAGATTTTCAACCATTGCGAGCAAGCCGTGAGGATTCTGTGCCTAGGACCGAGAAACCTCGGATCTCGCGGAAGCGTAGCTTTAGCGAGAGTGTGGATGGTGATAGGGATGGCCACCGAGCGCGTCAGAACCGTACAGTTCCTAGGGATCTTCATGGGATTTCCTTACCCCCTCCAGCATCAAATGGCCGATCGGTTTCGCCTGTGCGCCCTTCTCATAAACGGACAGTCTCTGGTCCTCAACTGAGCGAAGCATCCAAGAAGAGGAAGGCACCCACCCCACTGACTGGTTTTTCGAGGCAAGGCTCGGAGGACCGGCAATCGCTCTCTTCTTCTACCAGTGGTTCCCCAATGCCTAGTGCTCATATCCGGAAGCTCACTTCGCTTGATGGCACCTCAGCATCCCCCGCGAGGACCCTGGGCCCGAAGAAGCAGCGTGACCAAAATGGCCGGACACGACTGGCACGTGCTTGCGCAGCGTCGGAGTTAGATACGGCAATTGCTCGACACGCAGAACGCCCCGAGGATCTCAATGTGGCAGACAATGCGGGCAACACCCCGCTCCAGATTGCTGCTCTGGAGGGCTGCGCACCAATTGTGGGATTCCTTCTCAGCGTGGGCTGTGAAATCGACACGAAGAATATCGACAAGGACACCCCGTTGATTGATGCCGTGGAGAATGGACATTTCGACGTCGTCAAAATTCTCTTGGAGGCTGGAGCGAACCCTCGTACGGTAAACGCAGAAGGCGATGAACCATACGAGCTGGTTCCGTCGGATTGTGACGAGTACGATGAGATTCGGCGTGTTATCGCAGAAGCCAAAGCCACACCACGAACTGCAGGACGATCGGAAGAACGCAAGGATCCTCCGTCGCAGCGTCCTTCTGCCACCAGCCCTCGAGACTCCCCACCGGTACATGGAGCACGAAGCCCTCCACTCTTCAGCGGCCCTTCCACTACTAAACGGAGGACTGTTCGCAGTGAAGCGACCCGAAACGACTTGCTATGGACAAAACCCACTTCGGAAAATCTCCAAGCGTTTGCTGCGAAAGGTGACATGGCTGGGGTCGTTACTATTCTCAATGTGGGACAGAAGGCGGATCCAGAGTCCATGATTGCGGCTGCCAAGGGTGGCCACGATGAAGTATTGTCTCTAATGCTGGGAATGGGATTTGCAGACCCTGACCCAAACCCTGTATCCGGTCAGAAGTCGGGATACAACACTCCAATGCTTGCTGCAATCGGTCGTGGTAACTTGGAAGTCATCAAGCTCCTCCTTGACCAGCCAGGTTTTAACCCAGCACGTCGCCTGTTTCGGGACAGTACTTATTTCGACCTTTCCCGAGAGCGCAAAGGAGAAAACTGGGAGGATGAGTATGATCTCTTGAAGGACGCTTTTGATGAATACTCTAGAAGAAAGGCACGCAAACCTGATCTTTCGTCGCCACGACGGAAAGAGAACAAACGACCCGCGCGCAGGGAATCACGTTCCCCTGTTCCCCGGTCCAAGAGACCAGCCGGAAGCCCAACCCGCCGGGATTCTGCTCTCAAGGAAAAGCGACGTGACGGTGTTGCTCATCCCAAAGAAAAATCATCCACTGCTCGTTCCAAGACCTCTCGGAGAGATAGCAGCGACAACGAGACCGATGGACGGTTAGAGTCACCCAGACGAAAACCGCGAACATCATCAACCACGGACGGTGAATCTGGAACTACATCCCGCGGAGACGAACAGCCTAAAAGGAGACGACTTATCCCCGGACGGCCACCCCAGAGACGGCTCAGCGTGCTTTCATCAGATTCCGTGTCTTCTGGGCCGGAAGGCACAAAGCCTTCTGAGGCTGTGCCGTCTAAGCGAGGTCCGACATTGAAGCGCATTCGCTCCAGCGAAAGCCCTCCCCGATCCCGAGATACCACAGACGTTGAAATCCATTCTCCTGAAACGCAAAAGAAAAAGCGTCGCGTTTTGTCGGAAGATGGTGCGCCAAACGTCACTAATGGAGGCGTCAAGAGAAGCCACGACGTCCCATCGGATGTATCCAAGTCTCATGCTCCCCCAAGGAGTATTGAGGAAAAGGACGATGATCTGTCTCGTGAACATGGACGTGCTGCACCCCAAAAACTAGGTACAGCCTCGCAAAAGGGTGTCGCTATTCCTAGAACGCCCGGCAATGTTGTAAAGGAAGAACGAGACAGGCGTGACGTTCGTGACTTGGAGGACATTCCCATGGAGGACTCGGTCAGCAAATTAAGGAAGACAGAAGCCAAAGCGGAAGACGAACGTCGCCAGGCAGAAAAGATCAAAGCCGAAGAAGAGCGCGTTGCAACTGGAAAGCAACGTGCTGCCGAAGCGGAACAGGCTCATCAAGCCAGGGTGGAAGAAGATGAACGTGCTGCTTCCCTCGCCCACGAGAAGGCCGAAGAGGATCGTCAACGAAAAGAGGCTGAGCACAGACGGCTCAAACAAGCGGAAGATGATCGCCAAAAACGACTCGAACATGAACGACTGCGTATGGTTAAACTGCGCAGAGAACAAGAGGAACAGGAACAACGACGTCGAAACGCTCTTCCCAACAGGCTTCGGGTTGCAGCTGATCTGGTTGGGTCCAACGATCCACGCGCAAAGAGCCATGCTTGGTTAAAGCGGTTTATGCCCTTGGTCACAGCTCAAACAAAGCAGCTCAATCCAAACTGCGAGGCTGACGTGGCGAACGAGAAATGGATTCCGAACTATTTGGTCGCCCCTTTGTTGGCTACGAACGACCTTCAGCTATCTCAATACGTCAGCTGGGAGAGACGTATCGTGACTCCGACCCAAAAGGACAACCTCTGGCGTGTCACGCGACGAATGCTGGTTCCAGCGGATGACACCGAGCTAGCTGGCTCCATGGGACAGGTCATGCAGAAGGATTGCGCGACACGACCCAAGTACTTCGAAATGGAACATGTATTCTGGGTTAAGGTATGTTTCCTTTTATATATGGCGTTTAGATGTTGGATGCTAACATTCTCCAGCTTTCTGACTTCATGGACCTCGTTCCTCATATTCCGCACCTGCACGGACTCAACATCCAGTTTCTCCGGATGCATATTGACACGGAGCCCTCGGCCGAAGAGCCAGTGCCCAAGTCGCAGCCTAATGGGCATCATGTTTTGGAATCTCCGCACGTTAATGGTCTTTCCGCCGGCACCGGAAACCTACCTAACGGTTTTGGTCATGCACGACCAAGTACATACGTTTAATTCTTCGGCGTTTGCTTTCTTATTGAGTATCTTATTGACGGTGATGGAGCATAGCTTTGCGTGGTGTACAGCTGGATTGCTTTCCTTGATTGTATGACTATGATACCTCTGCTGTTGATGTGATGATGATTCTTGGCTAGCGATTATTGGATAGCTTTTGATTCAGGACAATCCATAATATTTGCTATCGACTTGTTTGTATGTTTCGTAGTCCTAGCACTCGTATTACCAAAAAAAAATAGTCACGTGCTGATTACATAAGTAGGGCACACGATTGCGGCGGAATTTTAGCGAGCGGAGGAAAAATCGCCAGAAAAATAGCTTCGACTCTCCAGCCTACCAGACTCAAAAGCCTCAGCATTGTCCACCACGACTCTTTGAGGAAAATCCGACAATAATCAACACTACAGACAAAATGGTGCGCTACCACCACGACCCCGTGATCCCAATTCAGTCAAAAGAAACAAACTAATACGAGAATGAACAGTCGGACGGAGAAGAGACCCAATCTAACCCCCCCGTCGCCGCCGACGAGGTCGAGGTCAGCGCTGATGCCGGCACCTCCGGCCAGATGTCCGTCCTCGACGCTCTCAAGGGCGTCCTCCGCATCTCGCTGATCCACGACGGTCTTGCCCGTGGTCTCCGTGAGGCCGCCAAGACTCTTGACCGTCGCGAGGCGCACATGTGTGTGCTCAACGAGGGCTGCGAGGAGGAGGCTTACAAGAAGCTGGTTGTTGCGCTTTGCTCGGAGCACAAGATCCCCTTGATCAAGGTTCCTGATGGCAAGATGCTCGGCGAGTGGGTTGGTCTTTGTATGTTTTCCCCTGTACCTCCGGAGGATTGGCTTGAATTAGTGGGGAAGTATGATGCTAACAGGTTTTGCTGTGTAGGCCAGCTCGACCGTGAGGGTAACGCCCGCAAGGTCGTCAACTGCTCTTGCGTTGTCGTCAAGGACTGGGGTGAGGAGTCGCAGGAGCGCTCTGTCCTCCTCAACTACTTCCAGACTGAGCAGTAAGCGCCTCGCTTGCTCGGCGGTGACTCGGTGGATTATGATGTGATGGGTTATGGATATATATGATGGGGTTGAATGGGACTGGGATGGATTAGTTTTCAGGCTCGGTCCTGTTTTTATCTTGTCGACGATTTATTTGGATTGTCTGTCTGTAGCCCGTCTATCGAACATTGGGTTTGTGCGTGTCATGATGAGTGGCATTGCATGTTTACAAACAAGATTTTTTTTCATGAACGAACTATTGTTCTATGATCGTAAAAGTAGAAAGAGTGATCTTATATTCTAACGTAAAGTACACTATTTTACCAGGCGACCAAATATGTAAAAGAACGAACCTATAACACAAAACACCGATATATGCAAAATGGCTAACTCCAATCCCTGCCTGTCCCTGACATGTAACGAACGCCTAAATATGAACAAATAGAAGAGATGTGTATAAGATTGTGGTTATCGAAACTGATATGACGGAAACACCATCTTGGTGTCTGGTTTCAAAGATAATTGTTGATACGGTGAGCTTCCGGGGTCATAGTAGAGGCCCTCTATGTGGCCTGTCTCTCGACAGAGGGAGATGTAGTAGAATCCGAAGATCGTGAGGCCTTGTCGGGAGTCGGTGGGGGTGATGAAGCAGCGTTCTGGAAGACATAGTTAGCGTTGAAGATCTTAGGTAGGAGGACGAAAAGGGAGACGGAGACATACCCTTCCAGCGCATCAAGATCCACCCCTTGGACAACTCTTCAGTGATCCACTTCCGGCTCACGAGGTTTTTGGTCATTTCTTCATCTGTGAGGTTTTTGAATGGCTCTAGTTCTCGCCAGTATGTGCTGTCGATTTCTGCGTCCGCTTTGAAGTTTTTGGTTTCGAGGGTGTGCTTGTTGAAGTCGATGATTTCGCCTTCTAGGAAGGTGACAATGTGTGCGTCCTGAGAAGGTGAGGTCTTGTCGGGAATATTGTAGGCTTCCATTGTCCCGGACAAGGTCATGTCCTCGTGATTGATATCATGGATGGTGACTCGCACCGGCCAGTTTTCATCTCTACTATTCCCAAGACCGTACACGGTGTTTGCTAGATATCGACGACCGCTGGTGGTATACACGTTTACCCGGTCGCTGTTTTGGCTGCTACCGTTGACAATGATTGGGTCATTCGCAGAGGATTGCAGAGGACTGGATATGCGTTGTGGAAGGAGAGTGCCGGGACCAGTGGCGGCTGCTTTTTGCGATCCCGAGAATACCATTCCCGGTCTTAACCATGAACAATGCGGGGGCGGGTGTATTGACCCTGTGTCCAGAATGAAGTCGTCATCATCTAGTGCCCACTGAGTGAACCCTCCCCCGGCAGCAGAGGTAACGCTCTCTTCGAGCGAGCTCGAATCACGCAGGCGCTCAAGGTACTCGATCGTCTCTGTTAACCGCAGGCTGGGTGGATTATCTAGATGCATTTGCCGGTGGGCACTGATCCGCGCACGCAGATCATTGTGTGTAAGTATTCGATGTGTTTCGCGACTAGTGGGGAGAAATCGATATGCCCTCGGCGCCGGTCCCTGGCGTTCTCGACTCTCCTCCGCATCCCGATCTGCTCGTTCCCGATCAAGAAGATAATTTTGAAGCGTGCGAGTCCGTGAGAAGCGTGGCTGTCGTCTAACAGACTGTAGTAAAGCCTCCGCCATCGACGTAGAGGAATCGAACCGGTGACGATCCCCTTCTGCAACGCCCTCGGCAAACGTTCGAGCGACGACCGCATCTCGCTCTCGCTCTCGCGCATGATGTCTATGCCCAGGTTGGCGATCTGATAACCGGCCAAACCACGACGAAAAGCCTTCTGGTAGCGGATCGTAGGCCGGTTCATCTTCCTGCTCATCCTCCTCCGACCCAGGGGCCCATCCGTATAGCGACCGTATGTTCGTACTCCGTCCTTCGTAGTTCGGCATATGGTTCGACTCGTCCCGTTGGCGTCGCACGATAGGTATCCGGCGGCTAAACTCTGATGTGCGCAATCCTTGTGGACCATCCACATCCATCGGGTCTGGATCAAACTCGGAGATATTTTGCTGTTGTTGTTGTTGATGTTGCTGTCGCCGTCGGCGTTGGCGACTTAGCGAGGAAGAAGAGTCCGGGGAGGAGCGCACGCGAGACCGGAGGAAACTCACGTTATCATCGTGGGCACCGTTATCGATGGCCGGGGCAGGGAGGGTCGAGATAGGGACCGGAACGGCGCTTGATGGCTGGGACGACAACGACGAGGATGCTGGAGCCGCGGGCGATAGAGCGGGGGTATCTTGCTGCATTTTGTGGAGATGGTCAGGGGCAAGGCACAGAAACGATGTATAAACGCGCAGGCAAACAGAAAAAAAGAAGTCGCCTAGACAGTAACAGAGCAAGGGTATGGATCTTGAAGCGCCCTTACCGATGGAGAGTTGGCAGGAGGCATGATCTTCTTCTCATACGATGTTGTTCCTGCGGAGGTAAACCAGCGGAGAGAGTCTGGTGGCGACGGAGGCATGCGATGGCGATGGCGATGGCGACGACGATAGAAGATATGCGATTAGAAATAGGTGTTTGCGACGATAACTGGTATAAAAAGATGGAAACAGAGAGCTAGAGAAGTAGAAGAGGTTAGAGAAAGATTGAGGAGAAATTCGAAAGATCAGATGAACGGCGGCTGATGGGAAGTGGGCGACTGAACAGTTCCTCTCAGCCGGATTGATAATAACAAACACACACCGCAGTCGTGAAAACCATGACTTGAGATGTCGCTAAGCTCCTGGTTGTATTTGGAATTGAGTAGTCTCGGCTCAAAAGAGATGGAGAAGAGAAGAACTGGAGTTGAGGCCGAGTGGCAATGCGAGAGACCGCGCCAAGAACAGACATGGCCAGAATAGGATGTTTTGAAGCTATTCAAAGTACACTCCGTCGTTGTATAAGGGACCTGCTATAACATGGCCATTGCATTTTTACGGGTAATTCCTGACTAGACTCGTCATCATTACTGGACTTTATGTGCGGTGACTATCATCTCCCTGATATCCCACGCACCGGGGATTCTCTACTCTATACGAATACAATTAGAAGACGTCGGTTATTCGGCTGAATGCACGCATGAAACGGAGCAACTCCGACATTCTGCCGGTCCTTCGATATTAACATACGGAGTACTATATAAGGTACCCCATATTCCTCTTGCCCCGGACTTCATCTCCGTCACCCGCATCACTCATACTACTATACTATACTCCGGAGAATATCCAACATGGCTAAGATCAAGTCCATTGAATACTTCCGTGTCCTCCCCCGATGGCTCTTTGTTAAAATCACCGATGATGAGGGCCAGTATGGATGGGGCGAGAGTACTCTCGAAGGACACACAGAGGCCATTGAGGGAACCCTCGACTCGTTGAGCAAGCGCTTCCAAGGCTATGAAGCGGAGTAAGCCTCAATACCAACTTCGACCAGAACAGAATCTAATGGGCATTAGCGACATCGAACACATCTGGCAAGTGGTCTGGCGTCTCGGTTTCTACCGCGGTGGTCCGGTCTTCATGTCCGCCATCTCCGGCATCGACATTGCCCTCTGGGACCTCAAGGGCCGTCGCCTGGGCGTCCCGATCCACCAGCTGCTAGGCGGTAAACTCCGCACCAAAGTCTCCGTCTACTCGTGGATAGGCGGGGACCGGCCAGCCGACGTGGAGGCCGCGGGAAAGGCCCGCTTAGCGCAGGGTTTCAAAGCAATCAAGATGAACGCCACCGAGGACATCAACTGGCTGGACTCGCCGCACGCGCTGGATGCCAGCGTTGAGCGTCTAAAGACTGTGAAAGCGCTGGGCCTGGACGCCGCGCTGGATTTCCACGGGCGTTTGCATAAACCCATGGCGAAGCAGTTGGCGAAGGCGCTTGAGCCGCACCGGCCGCTGTTTATCGAGGAGCCGTTGCTTTCTGAACACCCTGAGGCGATCAAACAGTTGAGTTCTCAGGTTTCGTGTCCCATTGCCCTGGGTGAGCGGTTGTACAGCCGCTGGGATGTGAAGCGGTTCCTGGAGGATGCGAGTGTGGACGTCCTGCAGCCGGATATCAGTCACTGTGGTGGGATTTCGGAGATGCGGCGAATTGCGTCTATGGCGGAGACGTATGATGTTGCTATTGCGCCGCATTGTCCATTGGGGCCTATTGCGTTGGCGGCGTGTATTCAGTGCGATCTGAATACGCCGAACTTTGTCATTCAGGAGATGAGTGTTGGTATGCACTATAATCTCGAGGCGGGTGAGTATGATATCACGAGTTATGTGAAGGATGCCACAGTGTTCGAGGTCAAGGATGGGTATGTTGAGGCGTTGACGGCGCCTGGGTTGGGTATTGAGGTTGATGAGGAGGCGGTGCGGCGTGTTGCGCAGTCTACGCAGCCTTGGCCGTGCAAGGAATTTTACGGTCCTGATGGTAGTATCCGAGAGTGGTAGACTAGTATAGTTATAGTAATCGTGATCAGATATTGACAAGAGAGGTTTTATGTACTGGGTAATAAATCATGCCTTCCGGGCAGCATTGTGGTCATCTGCCCGCTGGAGACACTCCAGAATCAAATTCCAGAAAGCATCCAAGTCCACTCCCCTTGGGATAGCAACTCCCTTGACTTCCGCGCGCGCAGCAATAGAGCGGCCTAGTTCTCCCGTGATAGCCACATCCGTCCCATGAAGTTCATCCGTCACAATTTGAACGGAAAACCGCTCTCCACCGTTATCGTCAAATTTGATAGCCTTTTCTGGATGCAGGCTTGCAAAGACAGGGTTGAAGTTTGACAAGACTGCAGCAACAGCAAGAGGATCGTGTAGTGGTGGTCCTGAGCTCAGACCGAACACGGTATCGTAAGTCGTGGCGAAGAAGACAAGGAGATCATAGTAAAGTCGACGAAGGACGGTTGGAGGCGCCGACGGATCGGACGATCCGTGAAGAACGCGCGATTGCACGGTGGGAGAAGCAAGGACCTGATGTGTCAGGTCGAGAGCCATGATTGCGGTCTTCGGGGCCACGATGGGGTTGCTGAAAATGGACTGGGAAGCCTCCGGATCGCACTACATTGGCGACGTTAGTGACTGGCGGGAGGGGGCGGTAAGAGCAGTACGTACGTAGATGTTAAACTCTGCATACGGAGTGATGTTCCCGATTCTTGTATGCTCCCCCGGCAACCTGCTCATGGGAGCACTAGTGAATCCATTTCCAACCCCACCTCCCATAATAGTCAGACCTTGAATATGCTCTGCCACTTCGGGAAATGTCGCAAAAAGAAGGGCGACGTTAGTAAGGGTCCCAGTTGCGACCACCCAGGGAGTGCCTTTTGGCTGCGCGAGAAGCGCATCACGCATGGCAAGTATGGGATTCTTGTCCGTGATCGGTGGCACCGTAGCTTTGGGCAAGAGATCCGTGCCATCGAGGCCAGAGTCGCCTAACGGTGTCAGTTAACCCAATGGGTTTACGAGATAGGATATACTGAATTCCTACCGTGAATGTTTGGAGCATGAATGGCAGGTCGACAGAAAGGCTTCTTATTGCCTGGGTAGACGGGGATTTCTGGACGGCCAATGGCTTCGAGAATGCTGCCGGCGTTGGCCGTGGTGTTCTCCAAAGATGCATTGCCATGGATGGTCGTGATGCCCAGGAGGTTCAAATACGGGTGATGAGCGGCGATAAGGATTGCAAATGCGTCCTATAGAATGTCGTTTAGAAACTAACCGTATCTTATATGCCATAACGCCAGGACACTCACATCGTGACCTAGAACGACTGTCAATACCGCGGTTAGATATAAGGGAGAAAGCCGTACGAACCAGGATCGCAATCCAACCACAGGGGAATCGGAGTAGGTGCCTTTGCCATATTAATATTAAAGTCCTTAATGAGCAGTATTTTCTTTCTGACTTCTTGAAGGAGGGATGGCCTTTGACTTATGTATGTATGCATTATGAGGGGAGGTCCTGATAAGCCTTATCGATTGCCAGCTCACAGCCCTATGCCCTAATTACCGTATCTGGACACCATTGTCATCCTATCCGTCGCGGTTGATCAACTCCAACTCTTTCTTGTCTCAAACATTCCTCACCGTATGTGATTTTTCTTCTGAGAGTTGTTTATACTACGATGAGATGACGAGCGACTTTCATCGCCCCGGTCTACACCCGCTGTCGCATCTCAAAGCTGGCCCGACAACCTCTAGCTCCAAATCAACAGCCCGACCTGCTTCCTCAACGGCGCAGCCATCTCCTCAAACATCCTCCCGATCACGTCTTTCAAAGTATAACTCTAGTCGTGATGAAGATATAGATACATTCAGCAACAAGGCGACAACAACACTTATCCGTCGCGTTCTTTGTCCTCAGGCGAACAGCTCTTCGTCCCTAGAGGAGCTGCTACCTCCCCTCACGAGCTCCAACGATGTAGACCATCAGCTCTACGCCCTGATCGCTATCATTGTCAAAGAATTCGTTCATTCGTGGTATTCCAAGATCACGTCCGATCAGATTTTCGTCAATGAGCTTCTGCAGGTCATTGCGCATTGTACGCGTGCGCTCGAGCAACGGTTGCGACAGACTGATGTTTCCCAGCTGGTTCTGGATGAGATTCCTGCTCTTATCGAAGCACATATAACCTGTAAGGATAACATTGACTTGTTAATTGATTGCTCGGCCTATAAGGTTTAAATGAACACAATACTAACTGGCGCTTAAAACCTGTAGCATACCGGCTGGCTAAACAACAATCGACCCTTTCTGGATTGCCAACATCGACTCGCGCGATATATCATGCATTAAACCCACACCCGGGTCTTTCGCCCATTCCGGACCCTGCTGACCCCCAGAGTATTGCTGAGCAGCGTGAAAATGAATCATCATACCGACAATTACTGGTGTACGGAATGCTGGCCGTTCTCCTCCCGACGGAAGACCTTGAGAATAGCTGTTTGCGCACCTTGCTAGGCGACATTCTGGCGGATCTCATCTTGGGAAAAGAAGTCAGTGGAAGAATATGCGAGGGATGGTTCTTGTGGGAGACAATTGCAAAACTTGTTGAAGTCAGTCAGCAGAAGCCGCGCTATGACGACAATAACAAGTCTCAGGGACAGCCAGAGGACCGACTGAGGAAATTCGGCTTACTCTCGACCGAGGAAGAAGACCGGGATTTGTCATATACGTCTCAATCGCGAATCTCCGTGTGGATCTGGGGTGTCCTTCAATACGTCTACGTAACTTTTCTTGCTCTACGTTTTATTGCGACGGGGTTATTTCGCGTTGCATCACGACCTCAATCCACTACTTCGCGAGTAACGAAGACCTATCCTCCAAACGCGACTGCTAGTCCAGTCAATCAACGTCCGGTACTGGACTTCCGGCTGTTTAGCATGGTATCGGAACTATTGGCGGTGCCCCAACGAATGCCATGGTTGGGAGGACTTTTGGCGCTCTTTCAACATCTGGTACTGGCGGGTCCAAGGAGATTAGGAGATGCTGACAGTGTCCTTGATAGGTGAGTAATTTTTTTTGCCCTAGTGACCTTCCGTGTTTTGTCCAGTCCCTCTCAACCAACCATTGCCTCTTCTTTTTGTCTCCCTTTCATTCCCCTCACCCGGCGGCGGTGGAGCAGCGGTACGGTTCGTCATCCGAACCCATGATCTACACAGCGCTGTCAAGTGCGCCCTTTATCTCCTCCGAGCAAGAAGACATCCCAGACGGCTGCAGAGATGGCTGCATTGCTCGCATATGGCGTCGGTCACTTGATCTGACCATGACTGCACGGTTCATCCCGAGCGTCAGGGATGTGAGCACGCTTATTGGCCATACCGTTTGTGACCGGCGCGTACGGTTATGATACGGTACCTGTATGGCCAGTAACTTACTGGTCACGATACCAGTAATTACCGTTCGGGCTTTCCGTCATTGTCTTTTCTGCTCCCTGATTGTGTCGGACAGACCGAACTCCAGTTTGAGCACAAAGATGGGGCCCCTGTCAATCAACCCATTTCGACTTTCTCCAACCTTTCCCCGATTGTCGCTCTTTTGGTCTGTGTGGATAATGCGGTCATACCTGGCCTGGACTGGTCCTCGCCGTCTCTTTCTCCAGACTCCCTTTCGCTTTGTCTCCCCCCAGTGCAACTCTCCCTGGGTAAATCTCGCTTACTGGTCTTCAGGGCTTCGATTGGCGCACAATAGGTGGCCGGAATCCACACACAAAAACGAATGGAAAATCCCTCTCTTTCTCAACCCTGGTACACATACACACGGACATCCATACGGTCAGCACAGGCCAGGATGATACATAAAATGACTGGCGACGATCACCCACGCATCAGCGGGCAAACGGCCATGCAACTTGCAAAATTTTCGCCGTGATAGGGCCGAAAATGGCCTTTTCGCACGAACCAGCCAATCAGCGAAATTCTTGCCGTACAGGGCTTTTTGCAATTCCGGTCTGACCTGAAGCCCCGTCAAGGCTCACTAAACCATCTTCGGCTATATGCACCACTACTATTGATGCTTCTTACTCTCGCTATCGCCCTGTCTCCTCTTCTGGCCGAAGAGTTTCCGGGCCATACATAACAAACAATGCAGTCGACCCGCCTGGATTTCGTCATCTCCAGTTATTAGAGCATCCGCTCTCGCCGTTATGATTGGATTAAGAGTTCGTGGAGGTCTGGCCAAGCAGATCTCATTAGCTCCACGCTCGCAAAAATCTTTTTTCACTCATGCTCGAGTCAGAAAGATGCATGTCGAGCCGCTCTCGCCGTCTCCACCGCTTGGGGCTAAAGTACCGCTCTCGATCGATTGACCACACCGTCCTCATTGGCGCAGTTCATTTTCACCGTTGATTTACTTTCCATGTTTTCTTTTTCTTCGCTTGCTAATCCTACCAATACAAATTAGGTTCCTGTACGAGACCATTCAAGACTATGTGTTGACCCCCGCTCTGTTGCCCCGTCTGCTTCTCGCGTCCAGGACGGCACTTTTCCCAGTAAATGTTCCTGCGCCGCAGGGGGCGGAGCCTGGTCGAGCAGTGCAAACCCCGTTATCAATGCATACCCCTACGTCATTTGCAGCGGAGGGCGGCAAAGCCAACATTACTAACAAAGGGAATGCGAATACGTCATCGGCCGAGAACACTGGACCATCAGCACCGGAAATTGCTGCTATCAGGCGACATTGTGCGGTCAGTATCTTGGCACTGATTCCGCGGCCGGTTGCGCGGCGATTATTTGGTGCTGCGCACAATAGTAGTAATAATAACAACCGTCATACCATCTCGATCGATAATAACGATCAACTTAACGGCCACGGCTATAATAACGGTTATAGTGGGCACAATAACACTACGAATGACTCGCAGAAGCGGCAAGAGTCAGGGCCAACAGCTGGTGGATCCGCTGATGATCGAGAACACGGGGCAGAAGAAGACGAAGAAGCGGTTCTCATTGTGGCCATTGAGAACGAACTTCTTGGTCTGCTGGCGGATGAGTATTGTAATAAGCATCTTGTGTATTCGATTATTGAGACTGTTCTGGTGAGGCTTGTGCCTGAGTTGGCTGAGCGGTCTGTTGGGGAGTTGTTGGAGGATCGGGGGGTTTCTTTTTCTTGAGTACGGAGTACCTTTTGATCCTAGACATGTCCATAGATAACGAGTTACGAATGTGCATAGCTCAAACAGTGAGAAATAGACCCTTCTGCTCAGTGAATGATTCATGCAACTCCTGCTCCGGGCTTACCTAATCACCTACTAGGGCATCTGTTCAGGTTGTCCTCCATTAACTGTCTGTCATGATTCCCTCAAGAAGCCCTAGAAGATAGATACAATATCACTCTCGAGGTCCTTCTTTTCCTTTCCCAGTCTTTGACAATCCTTACCAACTAGAATGATACCTTCTAGTTCATGGAAGAGATAAGATAGGGCAATGAAGTGCTACGTCTAAATGGACAAGCTCTCATCTGTCCAGAATACTGCGAAAGGCTTGCGGAAAGGAGAAGTCAGCTGGTCAAATTGTTTTGGACGTTCTTCAAGCCCGGCGGTCGAGTGCAAACGGAATCTGCGAAGTCTAACCGGTATTCATTCCCCCACGAGACCGAGGACTTGGACTAATATGACTTTATTGCTTTCTAGTGTAAGCAAACACGGACGTATACGAAGAGGGACAAATTATGAGTTCACCAGAGTTGCGATGGATTCTGTCTTCAACGAACCGATAACACATGGACTATGTCCATCACCATTTTTCAGACGAAAGGAGAGCGGGGACGCATTTCAAGAAGCACTTAGTAGTATATACAAGGCGGGACAGTTCTTGCAAGGCCATCCAGAACTGAGAACCAACAAGGGGCTGGAAGTGCCTTACGATCTGAGCTGGTCTCTGGGCCACCCTTGTCGGAAGTATGAACAGCCAATACGCACGAGAATTCGCCTAGCAACAATTGAACCACATTGCTAACCATCAATCGAAGCTGTCCGCACGAGATACTGAGATGCGAGCGTGTAGAGGACGGACGTCTCTTGCTCGGAGAACGCGATGGGAAACACATATTCCCATCATTTACGAACCCGTTTGCGGGCCTGAAGACATTCAGATGCTATTTGATACCGGAGCCCATCAAACAGTCATAACAGAGAATACTCAAACGCATCGTTCGTGAAATATTGCAGGACCCATACCGCAAAGCCAAAGGGCTGTTCAACGTTACAGCTCAGTGAATGGATGTTGCTTCAAACAATTCTGTGGTCACGGCCGAAGCCATAATGGCAATCGTCCCGAGGAAGATCACGCCGAAACGCCGGTCTAGCATTCTTTTTGGTTAACTAGGATGCATCGACATCCAATGCATTCCGCGGAGCTTGATAAAGGCGTCAAGAGAGCATAGTTGAAGACATCTGGAGAGACATTGTGCTCAAAGAATATCTAAACATGGAACGCGTGATCAACAGTACAGTCAATGAATGGAAAACACAATGGCTTATCTACCTTATTGAACCTTCGTTCAGTGGCAGCTTAAAAATGCCACAGCACGAGAACTAAAACAACAATCGTTCATGAGGATCTAATCTACGACACCATAATGCGAAAGCTTAGACGATGACACCACCCTAATGAACTCAAAGCTGGACTAGCACCAGCTTGTCTTCAAATGCCCAGAAATGCTATTAGATAAGGGCTAAACTAGTCAATTTTCGAACACTGCAGAGGATCGCGATGATGAAATCGCTCTTCTCACCCCTCTAGATAATCAACAGATCCTTTGTACGTACTCCGTACTTGTACATTATCACAATCTAAAAAAAAAAAAAAAAAAATTTAAAAATAAAAAAATAAAAAAATAAAAAAAATCTTTCTCAGTGCCCAAGGCCTAACGCAGGGGCATATATTAGGTATCTGCGGGGTGGATTTGAAGGAATGCATAAGGATGAAGCTAGCAGAGTGCGGTTTATTGAGGGTGAGATGCAGTGCGGTGCTTAGGGCAATAATCTTCATACTCGGGGCACGTTCGGATCCGGAGGATTATGATATACTTGAGTAAAGAATTCAATTTAAATAAATCGATATTGATTATGTGAAGATTAAATGCTAACTAAGTGCTCGCATTCCATAACTAGTACATAATAATAAGTAGACTCGGTGGCCGACATGAGGGGCAAAAAGAACGACACGACAAAAAGAAATTATTCCTTTCGCTTCGCTTTGCGCTTGCGCTCTCGTTTATCAACATAGACAAACAAGCGGTGTGAAATAAAAATTAATATGATGATGAAATTGAACAGAATGACAAGGGTGCAAAAAAAAAAAAAAAAAAAAAATTTGGTAATCCATATCGATCGATTGATTGCTTTTGCTTTTCATTTTCGTCCCCATCCAGGGTATCCATCCATATTCCATACCCGTACACGATTATCGGGTCCATCCATGGTTCAAACCCCGAACAGAAAGCCAAAATGCGATTTCAAAAAAAAAAAAAAAAAAGATTGTAAGGACACGTATATGCAAAATCAACTCAAACCAGCCCCAATTAACAGGCAGAACACCGGCAGAATGTCAGAATGTCTCAAGAACAAATCGAATATCATATTCGAGTCGTCGTCGCGCCGCCCCGTATGTAGTCCCAATCCATACATATAGCATTATCGGCAAGCATGACTCAGTTGCGCGCTTTGGGGAAAATATCGCATTTGCATTAGCACGGGAAGATCGGGTTTCGGGCTGTTTTTTCTGCGGTTCCCCGAAAGGTTAATTTCAACGGCTGTCTGTTTTGTTGATTGGTTTTAACAAGACGGGGCTGCATATGTATAGAGACAGAGACGTAATAGGAGAATTGAAGTGTGTAAAGTATGGTAAGAAACAGGGTGGAGAGAATGTAACAAATGAAAGGCCTTCGCAGAAGGCGTATGTATATACGCGTACACAGAACAGAACGGGAATGGGGAATAATAAACCGAACCGAACAAAACCAGAAAACATCAAAACGAACACCAGTAAACATGAGAAAGAGAAAATGCAATGGTAGGTACCAGCCCTAAACGAGACCATGGATGCTCCTCTTCCTATTCATTTGGGAGGACGGATCGTCGTGTTCTTCAATCCGAGTGAATCCACCGGGAAGCATATGGGACTGGTTCTTAGCCAAGTCCAGTCGCTCCATCAACTTCCCCATAGTAAAGTATTCCTGCGCACATAGCCCTGTCGGTTGTTGTTGGAAGTAGTTCATGACTAGTTCCAAAGCCTGACGCGCTTCATCCTGTGTGGGAGACCCGGGAGGGCTGATTGGCGAAACGGTGGCTGACTTGGAATAGATGGCTGGATAAATCGGTCGAGCCTTGATCTCGGGATGACTGCGATTGCGCTTAACAGTATTTGATAGATCTGGGACGGTGTTGGTGTTGTGGTGCTCTTCGAAAGGCGATTCAAGAATCGGAAGGGACAGCGGATGAGGCTGAGGTTGTTCGAGAGGTGACTGTTGGTGCTGCTGCTGCTCGGATATCATGTTGGGATCAACCGTGCCGAACGGGAACGCTTCGTTCCTTGGTTTGTTGGCATCCGTGGCAGGGGGAAATGGGTCCGACATCAACGATGTTGGACTAGTCACACCAGGCGAAAGGGAAGAAGCAGTAGTATCCGGGGAAGTCATGGCTTTGTTGTTTCTTTGGTATTCTGCCAAATCAGCGAGGCTCTCTGCCAGGTTCGTCTTGATGTTCTCGTGACTCTGAGTGGGAGACAAGGACGTTGGTGAAATGAACCCGGTGGGCGAGGTGGGAGAGATCAGAGTAGGAGACTGCACGGCAGAAGCCAACGCAGAGTTGATACTAAGACGGGTTGGACTGGTCGAGTCACTTTTGGCGCTAGCAAAAGAGCTCTTTCGAGACTTGGAACCGAGAGTATGCTTTTGCTTGAATTTCTCCAGCCATCGCGTGGTCAAGACCTTCTCTTTCCCATCAGGGCTACCGCAGGTGCTTGCGAAGAACATAGCTTTCTCCCGGATTTGCGCATCAGTCAAAGGAAAACCTTGTTTTTGATAATTGCGAGCCCAGTTGGATAGGGCTTTCTCGATGTCGGGGACCCTCCCTTTGGCGCGCTTAATGGGAGATCGCGTTGTGTCCTCGGCATTTAGATACTTCTCCTTTTGGCGCAAAACCTTTGAAACCGTACTTAACCTAATGTTAGATCATGTGCTTCTCTCTTGTAAGCGGAGATGACTATACCTTCTTTCTACACCAAACAAAGCTGATTATCATGTTAGCCAAAGTCCAGAGACAGGAAATATGACAAGCTTACCTCCAATATCCGTCTGCTTCGCCGTCTTATGCTCCTCATGGTAAAGACACATCCGTCGACGGTCCTCATCCGTAAGCGTCCTCCGCGGCGCAGCACTACTAGTCGACGACTTCCGTCCCGACTGCTGAGGCGCAACCTGAGAAACACCAGGAAGCTGAGTATGCGACGACAGACCAGAATCCGGGAAATGCGATTGCGTTGCGATCAAGCTGGGCCATTGGTGCGACGGGACGGTCAATGGCAGCGAGGCGTAGGGCGGAGGTATTGACAGGCCGTAGGACGAGTCCAAGGGCATGATGGGATGAGAGCCATAGCCCATGCTGTGGAAATCGGGGAGGGTGGGCGAGTGCTGGGAGGAATTCATGTCTCCGACTTCCATCCATGAGGGAGGGCTGAAGTTGTTATTGTTGCTGTTGTCGTTGGAATTTGACCCTTGGTGGTGGTCTGTGTCCATTGTTTGTGCTTTTTCCTTTGAAAGAGGATTCGCCGGGAAGGGTTGTGAAAAGGTCGAACAAAGGGCTGGGAACAATCGAGGAGAAAAGGGGGTTATTCAAGCCCAGTGAGTAGGATGAAAAAAAAAAAAAAAAGATTGATGTAAAGCTTTATGCTGCAGCGGACAGACCAAGATGCATATTCAAGCAAGCAATGAGAGGGAAAAGATGCAGGAAGGAATCCACAGAGTCCACTGATCTTGGAAGGATTGCAGATGGATTGAATCCCGTGAGAATAGTCTACTGCAGCTGAGAGAGAAATTGAGAGAGGGAAGGAGAATAAGAGCGGAGGAAGGATGTAACTATACAAAAGGGCCTGCAGGAAAAGAAATCGGAGGCGAAAAAGAAGGGGAGCAAGCAGCACGACTCGGCGGGGCGTGCGGTACGTATCTGTATCTGTATGTATCTATACGAGTATGGTGTATGGTATTATGTACGGATGATCAGAGGCCCGGAAAGGTAAATAGAAGTAGGCACAAGACACAGATGAAGGAATGTCTGCAGTCAATGCTTACGGTGTTAAATACATACGGAGATACATGGAGGAATACAAAACAGGTACTGTACATGACAGCATGAGACAAGAAAGAAAAAAACAAAAAAAAACAAAATCGAGGGGAGCAGAAAAGGTGAGCGATACGGGCACTGATTGGTCACGGCGTAGATTGGGGAGAGGACCGGGGTCTTTTTTAGGTTGGAGAGGTCTAGTCCAATAAGAGCGCGAATTGCATACTTGACTGAGATGGACTAGTCTGATATTATCGGGATCTGGAAGACCCTGTCCTAGTACAGTATTAAGAGCAAAGAGAATGAGATAATGAACGGAATAATGAAATGAACGGAATGAATTGGGTACGGAGAGTACGGAGTATAGGCGACTCAATAGTCAATGGATACTCGATCTTAGTGGAGCGGAACCTTGAAAACTCTTCAAAGAAAAAAAACAACGAGTCAAGTAAAGCGTTGAGGTCCGAGTATTTTTTTTATTTTTTTTATTTCTTTATTTTTTTTTATTAGCTACTAAGTAACTTGGGGCTACTGACAGATTCTTCACAAATGAACCAATAAATCCGTTCAAGCCGCGATCCTCCGTGGCCGGACGGGGAAATCTCCAGTAAGCCAAGATGCTGTTGGATGGACGGACGGAGAGCGGATCGATGAACCCGCTGAACCTAAAGGCGCATGACATTCTGATCTAGCCAGCCACAACGGTTGCCGTACTTACAAGTACATACTGTTACTACGGAGTAGCTACCATGTGAAAAGGATCAGGGGAAGGAGAACGGAGGATATCCGTACTGGAATGAATGAATCCAGCATCATATATAGATCTTTATTTTCCGGATCTGTATCGGAGATGAGCTTACAATAACTTGGATACGTTGAATCTGACATTGAGCAACAAGTACAGAGTACACTGTAGAATACTCCTACTCAGTACAGAGCATATTCACTGAATACTTGTACATGAGCAAAAGACTCACCACTCGTCAGCTGATCTGCATGTACTTCGTAACGCAAATGACAGTTGCAGATAGCCTCCAACCAATCACAGCCTCCATCATGATTTCATTTTCGTTTTTGTTACATTGGCATAGACACACACCACCAATCATCGCCCAGAAGGGGCTATAACTGTAATACATAGCGGTAAAAATACAGAGACTAGAGAAGCTAGGACCCCCGGGTACCAGTGCCCCACCCCACTTGCGCAGACCCCACCAGCGGCCCACAGCACGGCCCGGTACCCTAACCCAGTCATAGTCTGTATGTATGTATAAGTCCGGTTAATATCGAGAAAGGAGAGATTTACTTTGACTCTGCCCGCAACTTAAGCAGATCGTGTTTGGGGTTTTATTGGCTAGAGGAATTGGTCAGTATTTGTGCTGCGCTGTATATGGAAGGAGTTTGTAGGAGTTCTGCTCTGTACATATTCCTAGTCAAGCAAAGAGAGTATTCATTGCGATGCGCACACTTGAGGTATCCCCAGCTACTCTGTACCCTGCACGCTCATCATGCATGTACAGCCTTACTCAAAATAACACTAGTACCAGTCGGGTAATACGCGAAAACGTGATCGCCCCGCTGTTCGGACTGCCACGAGGCCCTCTAGCGTATTACGTATCTAAAACTTACTGACCAGATATTAAGATGGTATGATTTGGTTCAATTGATCGACTAGAATTGAGAACTTCTGAGCTGCTTTGTAGTTGATCGATAAGAATACGGAGGTTAGCAATGATAACCAAAAAAAAAAAAAAAAAAGAGAGAGAGAGAGAAAAGCAAGCATCAGGAGTGGAATTGTAGGAAAGAATAGCTGTCTTATCCGCCGGGAGCGCCAGAAGGAAGAATGTCGGATGATGCATTTTATTTTATTTTTATTTTTTATTTTTTCTCATCCTTGCCCCGTTATTGACATGATCAATCTTTTCTTTTCAAAATGACATCGACAATTGAGGATCCTTTCCTATTTACAACTGAAAAATGGAGGTGCCGTCCAGTCCATATCAAAAATCGCACTCTTTCCGCTCTTTTGATGTATTCCAAATCCACCATACGCAATGCAAATGCAAATACCAATTCCCCAAACAAGCAGGTCCACAGAGCGCAGAATCAACAAATATGTAGTATAGCGATACCACATTTGGCATTTATTCAAGCACAGCTGTCAGGTACACTAGGCTTACTGCAGAATCTTTCTTTGAAGTTGGGTAGGCTGGCATGCATGGTCACGTCGGTCGTCGGTCGTCGGTTAGGGTAAAATAGCCACATACCCTGCTCTGCTCTGTATCAGCAGAGTATCAGGGTTATTATAATAGTATTGCTTCTTCTGTCGGCAGTCTCGGACTTGCGATATTCATCTACCTCCTTCCTTTTCTACGTATCGACGGGCATAAATAACAAAAACAAACCATGAACGACGAGGGATCAGATCACGATATCCGGACAGATTAGCCCCGTCTCAATCTTGAGACACTGCAGAGTGAATCTCAAATCGAGTACCCGTACCATACGCACACCGTACCCGTACTTACTGAGTTTTAAGATGAAGATTCAGTCGCACTGTGTATCTGGTGGTCTTTGCTGGACGATCTTCGCGGAGCTGTCCATACTGCCGATGCGTAAAGTCACGGGTATGCCGAAAAAGAAAGTTTTCTCAAATCTCTTAGCCGGCAAACTAACAGTAGTACATAGCACCAACTAAGCGAATTACAGTTGCTAGAGAGCTGAAGAACAAAGGCCGAGGACGGAGGAAGACAAATACAAGTACTATGTACATACAAGTAACAGACCAGACAAGTAACTTGGTAAGCACTATGATTGCATCCGCAGCCGCCGAATCCATAAATGGCAATGCAATTTCGCAAGCACCCGGCATCGGTGCCATGACAGTCACCTGACAAGAAAGAATTTTCATAATTCCAATTCTGCAGGACTCTGGGGGGAAATTCCTTCTTGGGAATGAAATCTGATTGATCGATTCCGGCTTAATATATTAGTGCGTGTTATTATATTAAATCAAGCATGGTTTGGTATAGGTCAATGGAGGTGCATTGCATTGCAGTGCATTGCATTAATCCAGGTAAAGAGGCTGTGCATTAGCATAATACAACTTGTATTCATACGAGACGAGTACATACAAGTACTCACCAGGATCACTACCAGCCTGTACATGTGCTTGTACAAGTACAGGAACTCCGTACGATTATCCTTCGGGTAGATCGGCGTATTGCGGATGATGCTCAGTGATATCTCCGCACAGCTCCGTCTGTACAGTAACTTGTAACTACTCGTACGGTACTGATACAAGTACATACAAGTACTGATATATACCAATTACACACTGGTACCAGAACAAGTACTGCCTGTTAAGAATAGGATCATCTAGATAACCTACTAAACCGCCAATAGTTCACTTCCTGACAGCTCTCAAGCCCGCATAGGCCGCTTCTTAATGATGTGCCGTGTTAATCAAGGCAGGCCATTGATCTTTACAAGGACTTACCCGGGCGAGTATAGTAGGATTCAATTCGATCAAAGGAGTTATGCCATGTTATCATTGACCCCTAACTAACCCTGCTGCTTTTCTGCATAGATATTACTACTAATAGAGTACGGAGTACTACAACCTATCAAGTATTACTACCATTGACAAGTCGTGTATTACACAAGGATTACACAAGATCCAATCGCGTCCTCGATCCTCGCACAGATTTCGAGTATCCTAGGTGTTATTGTAATATGGACGCCCAGGGCACGACGTCCGGACCTGCCCCGAATCCCGATCGAGAAATCGAAAACCTACGCGTCAGGATCAGACATGCCAATACAACCGTTGATGATGGACCCGGTCTAGATTTAGGGCCCCTTTCTTTTCTTGCGTGGACGAGGCTGAGTCTGGATAAGGAGGGATTGTACGGAGTAGAAGATGAGTCCGATTGACTTTCAGAACTTTTGTTTCTTGTTTTCGTTTGGAAGCTATATATGGAAATAGAAGTCATTTGGTTCTTCAGATGACCTCAAAGGAAAACACGCCAGTCCCTCAGACAAAAAAATGGGACGTTACGAATAAAAGACGACTGGACATAAGTACATACTAACTCATCATCATTTCAAATCATCCCTATCCCGAACAAGTAACCATGCCATACCAGCTTGTTACTGGCTGCACAGATAACTCTCCCTGTTCCCCTCTCATCAAACTCTATCGCATATTTTTCTCGCCGAGATCAATCGCACAAGAGCCGGGCCTGCTGGGTGCTGAGGTTGGTAGAAGAATATATCCCGCGAGACACACCAGCACGGGTTCCCGGGGAATCTCCCTAGAGCGCGATTGGCCCGCGGCTCTCTCCGGGCTTTGAAAGGTCGATTTCGGGGTCTCCTTTTACCGCTTGATAATCGACACTGTGGCCAGTTAGTGTCGTCTCTTCTTAGTTCTCATGCATGGGTCTACCCACCGATATCCTCATCAGCGAGCTCGTGCGTAAGTCCGACGCGTTGCGGTTGGTGCTTGACCGAGCGTCCGTACACAATAGCTTGCTTGAACTGTTCCTTGATCGACCGATGGATGGAATTACACTAGCACGTATTCAGTATTACTCATCACGAGATTCCTAAACCACAATATACGTACGAAATCTTCGATCGTGCAAGCATTGGCCCGAAGCACAACGGGTGCCGTGTAATCCGGCGCCCTGCCCTTGGGCTTGGTGTAAATTCTCCGCAGGTTGAGCTTCTCCCACATCTGTTCCAACAATTCATCGACGTTCCAGCCGTGCTCGGAACTGATGGGGCAGGCGTTCGGAATACGGTAAAGAAGATCCAGCTCCTCGATTGTGATGGAGTCAATCTTGTTCAACGCATAAATGACGGGGATGTAGCTTCGGCTCTTTGCTTCCAGGATGTCAATCAGGTCGTCAATGGTGGCATCGCAACGGATAGAGATATCGGCAGAGGAAATCTTATATTCGTTCATGACAGCTTTGATTTCCTGTAAGGACGCGAATTAGCCGCTGCAAAACCCGCAAAATCCGCAAAATCCGCAAAACCCGCAAGAGATGAAACACTTACGTCGTGATCGATATGAGACAATGGAACGGTGCTCGTGATGGCGATACCACCCTTGTCCTTCTTCTTGAAAACGATGTTGGGAGGCTGCTTGTTGATACGGATACCGAACCCTTCCAATTCGTTTTCGATGACCTTCTTGTCGACCAGAGGCTTGTTGACATCGAGGACGATGAAGATCAGGTTGCACGTCTTCGACACGGCAATAACCTGACGACCACGACCTTTACCATCCTTGGCACCCTGAATAATACCCGGAAGATCGAGAATCTGGATCTTGGCGCCGTTGTACATCACTTGTCCGGGCACGGTGGTCAAAGTTGTGAATTCATAGGCGGCAGCTGCAAGACCTAGTTAGCTAACCCTACTTCACTCAAAAAGTACCGTTGTTTCGCACGAACCTTCGGAATGCTGGCCTGTTAATCTACTCATCAGAGTACTCTTTCCGACGGACGGGAAACCGATGAAACCACTGTCCAGGTCAATATTGTTCGTTCGACTAACATGGGAGTTTCAGATATGACGTACACACTCGCGACACCGGTACGGGCAACATCGAAACCAGCTGAACATGGCGCCCGTTAGCACATGATATCAAATATGCACGATGGAAAAGCACGTACCGCCACCTCCACCACCGCCTCCGGACGGGGTCAAGAGTTCTCTCTTTAGCTTCGCCAGCTTAGCCTTCAACTGTCCTATACCATCCCGTCAGTTATAATCCGGTTTTGTTCCTTTTCGTCTGTGCGCGCATACCCAAGTGGAAGGAGGTGTTCTTGTTCTTCTGAGTCCGAGCCATCTGCATGATAATCAGTATGCAAATTCTTGTGCGCGCAAGGGTCGAATCGATTCGGCACGAACCTCGTCCTCGATTTGCTTGATCTATAGGAGAACATGGTGTTAGTCAAATTCGTTCTGCAATTGCTTTTCGACATTCGGGCGACTGAAAAAAAAGACGAGGTAAAAAAGCGTGAGCAACCTACCTTATCCACGGTGGTCGACATCTTGACGGTATGATACGAGGGTTACCCTCTGTCTCTCGTATAAAAAGATGCGATAAGTCTGAAGTCTTCGAAAAAGCTGGCTTGCAATGCTGCGCAGAACCCGTACGTCAGTTTTCAAAAAGGATATGGAGACTTTGATTGTGGCCGCCACTTTCATTCGCCGGTTTAGTCAGGCGGAGTGGCGTGCATGCCTTGTCGCCTCAGGCGGCGTCAGGCACCCTAACTATCGCTTATCTTCGGATGGCGTGCGAAGTCGCCGTTCTCTCCTGAAGACGCCGACCCGACCGGACTTTTGCGATTTACTTGCTGCTACATCTCCTACATTCTTTTATCTGTATACTATCAGGAGTACCTACACCGCATTCATTTGTCTGTATCACTGCTGAGGAAGGACCGGTGTGACGTATGTACAATTCGATCCTCGATATAAAGCGCAATTGACCTTGTGGTCTGGCTTCGCAATCCTTCTTTCCTTCCGTCGATATACCCCGGACCGCGTTTATCGGCGATCTCAGTCCTTAAGTACTACTCTATCGATAACCATAAATACCTCGAACATCTATACCACCTTGCGTGAAACAACCGAACCTACCAAACCCCTACAGAAACCGTTATCGTCTATCAACATGCCCTACATCAGCAACAGATCCGCCTCTTCTCCGGTCATCCCGAACCAGAACCCTACTCCTCCCCCAGACACTGCTTTCGAGAAGCTCATCCACGATCTTAGTGCCGCATTAGGGCCAAGCTCGGGGCTTGATTCGGATGACGTCGACCCACTCGATATCCAGTGCCTGATGGGGGACTATGTCTCCAATTCGGAGGAATGGGCACAATATGCTTTGGGGGATAGCAGTCGGCCGTATACAAGGAACCTCATTGACGAGGGGAATGGGAAGAGTAACTTGGTGAGTGGCGCTTGACGACCCGAGAACCAAGTGATTGGGTCAGCTGTACCACTGGATCACATGCTTACGCCTCGCTTTTACCAGCTTATCCTAGTTTGGAGTCCCGGGAAGAGCAGTGTGATCCACGATCATGCCAATGCGCACTGTGTCATGAAGGTAGGCATCGCTTCTCGAAGTCGAAACACCGTGACCTAACTGACTTGTGTAGATCCTCAAAGGCACCCTCCAAGAGACCCTCTATTCGTGGCCAGATCAGGAGAAGGTCGAGCATGGACAAGTATCGCCTCCACAGGTGAGGAGGGAGACTTCTTATGGCAAAGACCAGGTCACCTACATGTCCGATGAAGTACGTATCCCTGCAGTACTGGTATTTTAAATGGATAACTAACTCTTGTCTAGTTGGGTCTTCACAAAATCTCCAACCCTGATCCGAACAACTTTGCCGTCTCATTACACTGTAAGTCTTGTTTCCCCATTCATTATCTGTCTGGTACTGATGGTTGCAGTGTATACACCACCTTACGCTGCTTTACACGGTTGCTCCATCTTTGATGAGAAAACCGGCAAAGCAAAGCATATCAACCAGAACAATTTCTATTCGGTACGAGGAGTGCGAAGCTAGATAGACCGTGCCGCCTGACGATATGATACGACGACCACTTGATGTTGGCTACGACTGTCCATTGATGGAACACTCGACATGGCTTCTTCGTGGACATGATTGGGAGACATGGAAGATTACGCCGTAACGAATTTTGTTTGCTGTGCTTGGCGACTATTCATATGTTTTTGCTTATCTCTTGAACGGTGTAGTCACTGTTCAAGTGCAAGCAATTCTGTTATGCATTATTCTTAATAGTTAGTTTTGTCTAGAATGGATACCCACCTTATCAATTCTTATATAACTATTCATTGCCAAGTATTATGTCATTTCGCAGGCCATGTCTGACTGTATGTTTTGTCTATAGTTATCTGTGTTTTTCCGAAATAGTCGTTTGCATGTCTCTGGTTTTAGGATCAGACATTCACTGCGGTACCGTTCATAAATGCCATCTTCCTCAATTCATATTCAATGGTTTTCTGGTTCTATTGAACGTTCCAACTAGGTCACCTGACTGCTTCTATATATATACATTCTCCCTTGTTGACTCCTCTTCTCATGATCAACTATTCCACTATATATTTTATCCTGAAGCACCAATTTTCCAAACAGAACAACCACTCAGAGCTACAATGATGCTGGGCCCAATTTATCGCTAATCATGGGTTGCCCTAGCACAAAATAGTCTCGGTAAGCTTTGCCTTTACCCTGTTCTATCTGTTTAAATATTAGAACTAACAGTTTTTGTCTCTAGTGAAACTTCCCCCGCCGCTATATGGTTTCCCGCTGGAAAAGAGCCTCCTTTTGCAAACGATAACTTGGCTTGCCGACGTTTTTTGTACGATTTTTACGTCTCACGGCGAACGATGGTGGGACTGTCCTACCTTTGTGGGCTTGATATATACACCGTCTATATACAACAAGAGAATTCTCTTGACGATGCATGTTGAGATCTGTCTTAGGCTGTTCGGCTATGGTTGGTAACAATGTTGCCCTCAAGTTCGATCGCCTTGGGGATCTATAAGTCCAACGCCATAACATCGCTGCTTGCGATTCGTGTGAGTCGTCCCCTAGGAGATCTTTTTCTTGGAACCAGGTGACGACCCGACTCCCAAGGCTTCGCCATCGCTCAAAGCATACACTGTGCGAACTTATGCCCGGCAAAGTGACCACACACGGGCATTTACTTTTGAAGACGAATCACTGCAATCTGTTTCTACTAGTCGCCTTACAACGCATGAGAATATACTATGTATATACTTCCACTGCAGTCTGAAAGCTTGGTTGAAGCGGCAGAGCATCCGAAACCACGCATGGAAATCGCTGCCATTACCAACATCGGCTACCAGACAACGGCTACTATGATCTTGAATTTCCGGCTTGGTGCCTCCAATAGATCCGTGACGACATTCGATTTCAAATAACGAAAACCGTCGTTCTGCATCGACGCCTACACATCCCTTTGTTTTGCAGGCCATGGGGATGTGCCTCATGATTTAGAACCGGAACCCTTGAAAGATTTGTATGAACATGAAATGTGTTGTGTACTCTCATGATTCGAGCACTTGAATTGAAGGACGGTATCAGACAATCAGAGTTGTCGGCCAACAGAACATGGCAATATATGCGTACCAAACGAAATACTACGCTATTCTGAGCAAGCTGTGCGACAAAGATTCCCACAACGTCCTTCGAATACCCAAGGCAAACAACCACGGCGGGACTGTTATACTCTTGCCGGCTCGGTTTATACGCTATATACACACAAAAAACGGATTATCTTTCCGGTACGGAGGGATAGATGTCTTAGGTTGGCTGGTCTAGAATTGACATCTTTGGCCCAATATTTTGGTTGCGTTGTCAAGATTTAAACCAGCCCCAACCCACATGTCCAACAGACCTAAAAAACCAACAAAAAGAGGTCTGGTTCATTATTTCCCAGTCCGTTTGAAAGGCAATCCTAGAGAGCGAGAATGGGGGCTAACTACCACTGTCTCACAGCATGTTTCGATGCAAATGCTGACAAACAAACGCAAAGCTTACCATCACCTGGAGAGGAGGATTTCCATACTGAATGGATCGCTAAGCGAGATAATCGAAGATGTCTATATCTTAACATACCATTGAGGAGGCAAAAAGAGACGCGACTCGCCTTTGGAGATTGTCGATCCATTGCGAATGGCCATAGTTTCGAAGAGGATACTTTATGAACCCCCCTCCCCCTCCCCCCCCCAGAGGATCACGCGGCATCTTCTAGCAGCGCCAGTGAAGGAGGCATTTTGAGCGAAGGGGTGTAAGGCTTCTGCCGATTCCCTCGTATACGACAAAATTCAACAGTATTATCACATTTACTAGAAAAATAGCACAACATACGTTGGAGACATGAAATTGTCACATCCCTCTACGAGTGATACATGGCGGCTGGCTACAACTCTCCAATGGCTCATGATGTCTGGGCCCAATAGAGAAAATCGTGCCCTGGATCTCGCTGTACGTGTTTGTTGAGGACACAGTACCAGGTCCAACATTTCTCTTATTTTCAGGGACATCTGCCGCTCGACCAAGAAGCATTTTTGGAAGCTTCGATGTCGTTATCCATGAGACAATTTCCTCCTGGTCAAAATGCCATCCGCTAGGATGCATGAGTTACTGAGTGAACCGCCCTTTACTATCTACCATGCCATGGGACGTGGGAGCCGATCAGCGGTGGCACGTATGGATATCAGCCACTGTACTATCTCGAGATTGAACACGTGAAGGTTGGCGAATAGCACCGGGCCTGAATGACGCGTTAAACAGCAAATCCGTTAGATTATGGCCTCAGTCCTTGCATCCCAAGTCGACTTTGCAGATCAAGTGTGGCGTGGTGCTATGATCTGATTCACGGCGTGGCTCTTGTCGACAGTTAGGAGGCCGTACTAAGTTGGAGTTCACACCTTGGACAATATATTGAACTCCAGTGCCATCTTCCCAGCCAGTCAACAAGTACTTGGCAAGAGTCAAGCCTATACAACCGGCAACAGCCCATAAAGATGCAACACCCTCGTTTTGTCTTTTCCACCGTGTCTTTAAAGGTGGTCACGCTTGGGAATAAACGTCAGAAAATCGAAAACCGACAGACCCTCTATCATTGACTAGAGGTGGGGCAAGGCCTTTTCGGGATCGAGTCTCATTCTGCGCAAGGGTCAAAGGCTACAGACAAGACCGAGCGATGGATTCGCATACAACGATCCCCAAAGAAACCCTTGCACATGTTGGTTCCATGACAGGATTAGCAGATAAGAGAGTCAAGAAAATAATGAAACAAATCTTCAAGACGCGAGACATTCAAGCCTAGGATGAATGTTCCTCTAATCAACGAGTTTGACAAGCTCTTCCTTCGAGCTCCTAACCTCCCTTGTCCTCCAAAGCATTTCTTTGTTGGACTTAGATGTGCAAAAAGGTGTTCATTCGGAAGAGCTTCCACGGTTGGATCTATGTCACCAAACAGAAGAAGCCGGACCCCCGGGGAGAGCATGTCGCAGCCAAAACTAATGGTCGAAGATCGAATGACTACCTTCATATAAGTAATCACACGCCGCACGAGGAAACGACATTTACGTGGAAACAGCGTGCGCGAACAGGTTTCGGTCTGACGAGTAACCTGCAGCTCCACAAGAAAGACATACTGGAAAGAAGCAGCTATTCACTTGTTTGAAAATTCTCCGGATCTGAAATTGCCAATCCAGTCGTACGCTTGGAGACCGGATATCACACTCCTTTTATTCCCAATTGTGGTAATAAAATATCCAAAGGTTGAAGGACTTACACCATCATTCGAGTCGACGCTTACCAGATATCGCCACAGCCAACGTCCATCATCCATCTCTGCTGTTATTTTGGGCTTTTCCAGTCCTCTTTTTACTGGGTAGGCGGAAAGGGAGGGGCTAGGACTACCTTCCCCCGTAAAAATCTCTATCTCACGGTATAGTATGTTCAAAATATTTGCGAAACATGGCTACCACCATGGTCAGCTGCCGAGACGCCCGCTCCAGCGTTTTCCGACCTCCTTCCGCCGGTTACTGGCTTTCCTCTAGCCAATTCGATATAAAGTGGTCGTATTGCCCGTGAATCCCAGGCAGACACAACAACTTTTGCCATGCCACATAACCAAGACCCCAAGGTCTTGCGTGGTTAAAATTTGGAGGGAGAGCCAGTGTGGATTCACAAAACCTGCCAAAGCACAATGCCGTCACTATCTCAAAGCAAGAAGCAAAATACATATCTGCCCAGACGATCTAATCTTTGACTGGAATACAGTGTTCGGATTTGACTTCACTCGCGAGCCTTGACAAATTCGATATGGAGCAAGCAATGTTGAGAGAAAACAAACTCGAAGACTCAGTTGTTGAAGATATCTTCATGATGTCTCGTACTCCTTAATGGACGTGACAATCAAGCTTACAATGGCAACTGGTAGAGCACCAAGGATCAGACGAGATGAGATAGGGAGTCATCCTTTCCCTTTTTTTACTGCGAAGGTATACTACGCTGCGCCGACTTTTTATAGCATAGTTTCCTCTCATAAGATGGAATCAAGCAAATTTGTTTTTTCAGGGGTCAGAAATTTCCCCAGTCACCAGTCACCAGTCACCGGTAAAGGATTCCTCTCTCACTTCCCGCATATCGAAGTGAAATTGAAAGACTCCGATGACTATAACAGAACCAAAGGTGAAGATCGGGAATATCTCAGCCTTTACCACTCAATCGCCAAATTGCAACGGAGTTTCTCGGCGAAAGATTTGAAAATTTTACAGGAGCAGCTTCGAAAGCAACGATGAGCTGCTAAAGCAGCAGAAAACGATTCTAGGTCTTCTTAAGAAACAGTTGTCCGAGAAACCGTCGCCAGCAATAGCTCGAAGCTTATGTCGACGAATATTCAGATTTCTGGACCCTGGTTGTGTTTGTTGCGGGAGTTGAGAAAGTATTCGGTTTGCTTATTGCTGCACACAGGTCTGGCAGGAGAGATGATGTTGTGTGGTCGGTTTATAAGTTAAGGGATGGTTTCTCTCTATTGCAGCGAGTCTGTCATTTTCCACTACACATGATTGATATACGGGGAGATGAGAGATTTTAAAGGTACATAGCACGTCGTTCATTCTTAAAAGCAAGCCCTGTGGTGGATTAAGATATCATAAAGAAGTACCGTGAGCAGCAGTTACAAGAACTTCTGCTCAATAGCTCCTCTCGTCACTTCATTATCGTAATAACAGACCAGAAAACAGCAAAGCAGAAATATCTCAAAAAAATCAACGTCGACACCCATCAAACGCCTCCCGAATCTCAGGCGTGATACTCACCACGGTATGCGCATACTCAGCCTCTAACCAGTCATCTTCGTACCAAAGAAACCATCCCATAAACTCAGACGGCTGGTTATACCGTAGAAGATGAGAGTAATACTTCCCAAGACACTTCTTTCTCTCCGGACTCATATACTTTCTAGCGCAGATAAAGCCCGTTCCAGCAAAGTCCACAAAGACAATCCTTTTCGTATCAAGACCAGAAAAGGGATCAGGGCTAGTAAAAGGATTGACACCCGGATCTTGCGCGATGATGGTATTCCGAGGACTCATGTCCTTGAGTTGTATGTTCCGCGAGAACAAGAGACTTTCAAAATCAATCAATGACTTCAGCATCTGCTCCTGGATGTGCTGGAGGAACATCTTTGGCTCCATGTCTAGCATTGACATGCCCTCGATATGCTCAAGTAGAATCAGCCACACAGTGCAAACCCTCCCCCGCTCTTCGTCGCAATATCCAATGAATAAGACCCGTAGAACTTGGGGACTGTTAGCTCTACTTGCTTGAGCTTTTCATCAGAGCAAAACAGCGTATACACATGCGCTTCATGAGTATAGAACCTATCCATGAAACGAAACGGGCTCAGATACCCTTCATCATCAAAGTAAAGCGGATCACAGATCTTGGCGACCACTATTCTTCTTTGGCTCGCAGGAAATACATCATCAAGATCAGAACTTGCATTTAGAACCTGAACGACCATGACTTGCGAGTTGTGGTCGTGTCCTGCTTTGATCGGCTCTTCGATTCTTAACGTAACTGTGCTTGGTCCCAGGGATCCTCCGGACAAGGGTGGATTCTTCAGACACCATTCCTCCGGGCTTAGTTCTTTTCGTTCGTTTTCTCCGAGTTAGTATATTTCCAATGATCATATTCCGTGTATGTGGAAGGAGGGGTGTGTGATTGAACGGTAAGCCCGAAGCCCCTTAGGTAAGGGTTTAGAGGCTTCATGTTCTGAGTTTCGAGTAGTGTTTACTATTAATTTCACTGCGCGTTGGTGAGGCTTGGAGGTTGCCTCGAATATCAAGATCAATGATGAATGATGAAAGAAAGAGAAAACCATCGTATTGTCATGTGATTGCTGCCTACAGCCGTAGCCCAGGTCTTAAAAGCTGCTCTGTGGAAATTGCAGATAGACTACAAGGACTGAACTACCTGGGAATACATATTACAAGCAAAATATGCACCATTACATCGTTCTACTCAATGTTAAAACCGAAGAACTAGCTTATGCCCGGTAAATAGCAGACGACACAATCAGTTATCAATATCAATATCATCCCGTTTCAATGAGTATATAAACGCCGTAGCAATGTCTTTATCATAATCCAAATGGGGAAAAGCAAACGGAACCCTCTTTTTCTCGTTCCAATAAATCTCTTTTCCCATGCAATGGCAATGACGCGAAGGGAACAGAAGTAGAAGAAAGGAAATGGAAGGGAAGAAAAATAACACATCCCGCCTATACTGCTGCTTGGAGGGAAGAACGAAAAAATAAAGGGGAAAATAGACATATGAAATAAAGAATTAAAAAGAAAAAGAGGAAAGGAAAAGAGAAGAGAAGACAACGCCCAGTCTATAAAAATCAGCCGCAAAGCAGTCGCAAAACATGCAATGCACACCCGGGGGGAATCATCGCAGGACATGGCACCATCATCCAATCAATCACAATCACAGAATCATAGAGAAACACACAAAGTCGAATAAACCAAAGGATAAACAGACTTTTTCATACCCATGTCTGTCATGTCCTTTTTTTTTTTTTTTTTTTTTTTTTTTTTTTTTCCGTCTTTTTTATAATGTTTTTTGTCGTTGGTGGACAGTGAGAAGACGGTCACCCAATCGTACTGTCTGACCGTTGGGCTTAGAATGGGAATCCACCGAATCCACCACGAGGCTGGCCACCGCTGAATCCACCACCACCACCACCACCACCACCGTTCATCATGTTGAACAAGATGTTGGGGTCGATGTTGATATGGGTACCACCGCCGCCCATACCACCCATGCCTCCCATTCCACCCATTCCACCCATTCCGCCCATTCCTCCCATTCCTCCCATTCCTCCCATACCGCCCATGCCACCACCCATACCACCACCGAACATGTCAGCAGGGTCGATGAGGTCGTCACCGTTGTCGTAGGAGGCACGTTTTCTGTAGAAGAGTGTTAGCAAGTTGAATCATAAAATAGGGCAGAGTAAGAATCACATACTGAGGATCGCTCAGGGTCTCGTAGGCTTCACCAATCTCCTTGAACTTCTCATCACCGGCCTCACCGTCACGGTTCTTGTCAGGGTGGTACCTGACGGCCAGCTTACGGTAGGCCTTCTTGATATCCTGTTCCGAGGCATCCTTCTCAATACCAAGGATCTTGTAGTAGTCCTTGCGCTGCGACTTCTTGAGCTCGAGCTCAGCACGACGGATCTCCTCGTGGATGCCCTTCTCGCCCGGGTTGACTTCCGCAACGGACTTGTAGTCCTGGAGAGCCTTCTCCCAGTTACCAGAGGCACCGTGAGCCTTGGCACGCATCTTCTGGGCCTTGATGTACCCGGGGTCGAGCTGCAGGGCTTCGTTGCAGTCATTGACGGCGCTGTCGTAATCCTTCAAGTTGATGTATGCCTGAGCACGGTTCTGCAAGATCTTGGAGTTCACGTCCTTGTTCTTCGAGTCAACGGACAGGGCTTGCGACCAGAGGTCAATGGCCTTGCGGTAGTCCTTGGCCTTGAAGGCGGCGTTTCCTTCTTCCTTGGTCCGGGTCAGTTTCTGCACCATACGCAGCATGACCATGGCCTTCTTCATGTCGGGATCCAAGCCCAGACAGATCTTGAGGTACTTGAGAGCCTGGTCGGTATCACCCATGCCGTAGAAAGCCCGGGCGCGGATGAGCAGAGCATCGGGGTCCTGGTTGTTCTCCCGGAGCATGTTGATGGCAATATCTTGTGCCTTGCCATATGCGTTGTCGTTGGCCATCTTCAGCTGTGCCTCTGCGGTGAGCAAAGTCCACTTCCGGGGCTCCTTGACACCAGCACCAAGCATCTGGCGGGCTTGGTCGAGACAGAAAACCATCATAGATACCCCGCGGTCCTGGGTGAGGATCTCTTCGGCCTGGTTGATGAAACGCAGCATCTTCTCTGCGGGTGCACGGTCGGCAGCCGAAGCAGGGGGTTGGATTTGCGAAAGGACATTCAGAGACTCAGCGGGACGACCCAAGCTGGTCAAGATACGAGCCATACGGTACATGACCTTGGCGTTTGCCGGATCTAACTGCTTGGCACGTTCAGCATCTTCCAGGGCCTCGAGGAAACGGTTTGCTGCCATGTAAGCAGCAGCACGGTTCGAAAGGAAGACGGGGGAGTTGGGCTCAATTTCAAGGGCTAAAGAGTCAGCACGACACACCAATCTCAGAGCATAAGACAATACACACCCTTGGTGAATTCCTCAACGGAACGGCTATAGTTCTTCTCCTTGAAGAACTTGTTGCCGGCCAACTTGAACGTTTCCGCCTCACCACCAGAGCGGTGCGGCGGGGGAGTAGGGCTCTTCGCTGCGGAGCCATTGGCCCCGTTCTTGTTGTCGATGTCCATTGCGTTTACAGATTCGTCGCGGGCAGCAGCCATGGCCGACAGACGACGGAGCTCGTCGGGTGGAAGGTTCAACGGATGAGTATCCTGGTGTTTGGAATGGCGATTGGAAGCCGAGGACCGAGGCGAAAAGCTGAACCTCGAGGACGAAAAGGAAGGTGGTGGAGCTTTTTTAGGCGGATATGAGGAAGAGCGACTATGCGCGTGTAGAGATCGAGAGCGAGATGCGGCGGTAGGTTTAGTAGGCGACGACCTATGGCGGGGAGAAGAGGTTGTTGTCGATGTCGACGTCGGAGGGGAGGACGCCGGCGAGGGAGTAGCGGACGAAGGAGAGACTGAGGTGGCGGAGTTATGAGAACGCGAGTGGGCGTGGTGAGAGACGGTCTTGTGCCTGGGAGGAAGACGATGTAGCGGCGGCGGCGGAGGTATTTCAGGTTCCGCAGTCGCAGTCGCAGTCGTACCAGAGGTAGACGACGGAGGGTGGCGAGACGAGGTACTAAGACTGGTCGCTCTATCAAAGGATTTCGGAGGTGGTGGCGGAGGGGAGTATGGAGGGGGACGAGATTGCGGGTGAGACTGAGGTTGTGGTTGTGGGTGTGGAGGAGCTGAAGCCTGTGGTGTAGGCTGCTGAGGATGAGGTTTGCGTTGGATATGATTCACCGGCGGAGGAGAGGAAGGTTGTTTAATGGGATTAACCGGAGGGATAACAGTATGTTTGGGTTTGCTCTTGCTCTTCTTCTCGTCTTTTCCCTTATCTTTGGCCTTGAATTTGTCTCGTGAGAAGAAGTGAGGGAGAACCATTGGAAACTTTTTTTTTTCTTCTTTTTTTCGATCGAATCGGGACGAAGGCGGTGGAATTGTGCGGATTGGCCGGAGTCGGTATACAGAGAGATATACGCTGTGTATAGCAGGTTGTATAGCAAAAGAGCTCAAAAGAGACGGTGGAAGCAGTTAGAACACATTAATCCATGATCCAGTCAAAATTCGGATACAATTCGGTGGTAAATAGTTGTATATTTGGTGGTTGTATCTTGGTGACAGTGGCAGTGGAAAGAGATGAAAAACCAGACCGCTCATATAAAAACCCGGAAGACAGCTGATATATAACAGGGAAATACCAATCTGAACTGTTCGCTGGCCCGTCGATCTATTCTGACAGGCCAGAATTAAGAAATCAATAAGAAACCACGAGTGACGAAGAAGGGGAAGAAAAGAAGTGCAGCAGATGGAAAAAAATCATGGAGGCTGGACGAGCTGCTGGTCTGTGTTTAGCGCAGTCACAGTGGGATTGCCGGGCCGTGTAAGTACTGGTTTTTGGTATTTTACAGAGGAAACTATTTGGATGATTATTCTGCTTTTTTACAGTATCCAGTAGTAGTAGTTTTAAAGTACGGAATCCTGTAGATTATGTGGCTATCCGAGTCTGTACCAGAGTACGGGGTTCCGAAAGGACATCTGTACCGATGTTTGCTCCAGCCAAAAGTCCAGCAATTAATCCATCTGTCACATCTGTCCCCCCTATTACTCGCTCTCATCTTCCTCTTTAATAGTCTCCAGCGCGTGTCGCTCGCGTTGCCCATCATCACGTCCATAGCCTTCCCACGGGCCACGCCCATGACTAGTACCAGTAGTAGCAGTAGTAACATCATCCAACAGCTCATCAAGCCCAAGCTCCATCTCAGCTCCCCGGACCATATCCGCCGCCTCCCGCTTGAGCCGAGCCTGACTCTGACTCGAAGACGCGAACTGCTGGGCCAGCGGGGTGATGATGCAAGTGGTGTAGTCACGTGTTGTCCGTTCCATAAGTCGCGTGGTGATGGAGATCAGATCGTGCTCGATCTTGTCCAGCAGCTTGATCAATTCGGATTTAACTCGGTCGGTGCTGTGCTGGAAGAGATCGATTCCGGTGCTTTGGGTGCGGATGTGTTCTCGCATACGGTGGAACATGTCGGAGCCTGTTTTGTTTTAACTGGTTTTTAATCACTTTAACTTTAACATTATGGGGGATAATAATATTACCATTTTCATAGGCGCATTTCAGGTACGCGGGATGCAAGTATTCTTCCACGCCAACGGCAAATTCTCGGTTGATTCCGCGTTGCTTGCGTCTCGCTCGGTTGACCGTGTGAATCACATCTCTCTTCATTACCTTGTACTGAACCTTCCAAATATCTTTGAGCTCGTTCATGATTTTGTCGGAGAGGACAATCTCAGCGGCTGAGATTGCCTGGGTATGGAACGCTTGCAGATGAGTCTTCATCAACTGGGTGAACCAGTCGACTTCCAGGGGCATCTCATTTTCAAAAGCACTTTACAGGTTAGCTTTTGCAGAGATGGCAGCTCAAGATAACTCACTTCTTCCAATCGTGAAGCAACGGTTCGATAACAAGATTGGCCCTATACTGTCAGAATTGAACACACCAGATAAGGATGCTACTTACAACTCCTGGTTCCAGTTCTATGGCAGTTAGCTTGGATACTCATAAACAAAAACATAATGCACTAACATGGAATCTAAAAACACCCTGTCGGCAACAAACGGCTTTGTACGTGTTGTAGTTGAGGTCGTTCCAATCCTTGACGGTCTTGGTACATTTCTCGCTCGCCAGAATCGAAGCATCGCCTGCGACGTCAATTATTGCACTTCACCCAGCTTCGTCGATATGCTCATCACTTACCAAAACTGCGAATAACGTTCAGAGTCAAAATATCACAAATCCCCTGCATCAATCCCTCGCACGTCCTCTCAACCTCCTACAACGCATCAGCCACCAACCATCAAGAACAAAAGAAAAGAAAAGAAAAGAAAAGAAACACACCCTCTTAAAACTCTCCTCAGCAATATAATACCTCACCTCAATCTCAACCTTCTTCCCCTGCGAAAGCACCCGCACCCCATCCTCTGCCGCAGCCCACAACCCAATCGAACCCAACACCCGCCGCAAATGAAACAAGAACCTCAACGCAGACGCCTCCCTCGCCTGCTCCGTCACCGCGATACAATGCGCCTGCAACTGCGGGATCTCCGTCTGCTCGAGAGCACTGAACCCAGAAACGGGCGCTTCGCGACGCAGGCGGCCCTGGAGTTTCTGGTACGCGCGCGTTGAGGCGCAGAAGACGGGGAGGTCTTGTTCGAGGGCGTGGTAATAATTAGGGTCTTGGGTGGGAGTGGATGGGTGCTGGGATGTGTTGTGGAAGGAGTGGATTCCGCGGGCGAAGTCATGTTTGAGTTCTCTTTTGGAGTAGGTGTTGCGGGCTTGGATGCATTCGTGAAGGAGGTTGGCTTGGAGGGTTTGGAAGGTTTGGAGTTCGAGCTTCAGGGCTTCTTTTTGGGTTTCTTTGGCGTGGCGCTCGGTGGAGAGGGTTCGGTGGTGGTTGGTTAGTTCTTTGCGGCGGGTGCGAATGTCGTCTTCAGAGACTGAGCCTGAAGCAGAACCTGAATTCGACTGCGTCTTAGAGGTATTGTCAAGAGCAGGCCGCTGTGCAGAAACAGAACTGTCCCTCTTGCGCTTACCAGGCGAACTACCCTGCGAACCACCACCCTCAGAACAAACCTCCAACTCCTCCAACCGCTCTGCAACATCCAGAATCTCACTCTTAACACCCACCAACCACCCCTCAAGCTCCCCAATTTCCTCCTCCAACCTACTCAATCCCTCCTCCCTCAAACTCGGCGACACCAAATCCCTCTTCAGCAACGACTCCTGTACCTCACTCACAGAAACATCATCCGTCTTGGTACAAATAAACGTCAAATCATTCGCAGCGCCGTCCATATGCAACTGCACCCGCATGTTCTGTCCCAACAGGTCCTGCGCGACTTTATCGTCGACGGCGCGGTTGATCGGCGCGACGACCCAGTGCGCGCTGCATTTCTTCATGTATTCCTCTGCGACAGCGATGCGCGCGGCGTTGGAGTCGAAGATGCCGGGGAGGTCGACTAGGGTTGCGCCAGTGGAAAGGGCGGGGGCTTTGGTGTAGATTCGGATGACGCGGACGAGGGGCCAGTGGGTTGTCGCTGTGGTGGTTGTGGTTGTGGGTTTGTTGTCGAAGATGGTTTGCATGGGTGCTTTGCCTTTGCTTTTATCGTTGACAGGGGCAGAGGTCTTGGGACGTTTACCTTTACTGTCGATGTACACGGCAAGGTCTCTCGCAAATGCCTTGGGATCATCACTCTCCACAACGACAGTCTGCCCAAGAACATCACAAACACCACCCTTCTTCAAAAGCCCCTCGACATCCAACTCTTTAATCTCTTTCACACTCAATACCGGATACACAGCACGAATCTTCTCCATAGCCACCGCAGCCTCAGAGTTTCTAGCCATCGTTTCACCACGAACCCCCGAAAACGAATTCTCACCATCATCCTTCAAATCCCCAACCAGCGCCCGAAGCTCCCTCTCCCACTCCCTCCTGTCAACAAACTCCACCTCCGCGCGATACTTCTTCCCGGAGTGATACTTATACGCAATCTCCGTCGCAATAGCCGTAGAAGCGCGCATGCAGTTCGTCCCAAGCAGATTCTCCTCATCGATTATCGCGTTGATCAGCGAGGACTTGCCCGCGCCCGTGCTACCGACTATCCCGATGATGACTTTGGGGGGTGCCGCGTATTGTTTTATCTTGGTGATTTCGGAGAGCCAGTCGGTGACGTCGGTGGTGCTTTCGATTTTGGGTTTTGATTTGGTGAGGAAGGTGTGCAAGTGGGTTAGGGCTTGGACGCCTTTGGCGACGGCGGTTTCGAGGCGGGATAGCATGGGGTTTTTTGTGCTTTCATGCTGGATACGGAATAGAATTTCTTCTGTAGATGCTGGCTTGGTGTCTGTGTCGATGTCTTGGTCGCTATCCTGCGTCTCGAGCGAGTTGACATCGCCATTCACTCTTCGTCCGATGCGCTCGCCCAACAAGGCGCCGAGTGTAGTCACTGTCTTCGTTAGCACGCCATTCACCCACCACTCGCATCTTCATAATAGCAGAGGCAAGACATACACGACATAGCCTCCTCCCCCAGCCCACCAACACCACTACCCACTCCCCTCCCCTGATAATGCCCCGTATAAACTTCCACAAAGAAATTCTCATACAGCGACCCATCAACCAGCATCCAATGCTCCGCCAAACTACCCAGATACTTCGTCCGCTTGATGTAGATATCGCGTACCTGGAGCTCAAAAAAAAAAAAAAAAAAAAAAAAAAAAAAAAAAAAAAAAAAAAAAAATCCAGGATCCAAATGAGGATCAATCTCTGATGGAGGCATATATCGTTCTGTATCCAACGAGCAAGGTGTAGAGGAAGGAGTAAGTAGGAGAGGAAGAGAAATAGAGGGAAAAGAGGAATGAGAGGAGTAGTAGATAGAAGAGGGGCATTGTTGTTTATTTGCTCAATTCAGGTGCCTGGTTTGGTATTGAATCAGTATAGACAAGGCTTGTCGATGGAGGTGTGTATAGTGGTGAAGATATGGTGGGTGAGTGATGGAAGCAAGAACAAACATGAATATGAATATTGCAAAGAGGTATCTCAACTAAACTTCATTAGAATATAATACAGAATCAAGACAAAGGCTAAAACAAAAGACCACCAATACAAATGCAATGTAATACAACCCAAACAAACGCCATTTCTATGCATAAAAAACAAAAATCCCAAATAGAACAAGCCTAAGGACCAGGCGACTGATTCATCCGTCTCGCGATAGCACCCCATCTCGATACCTGTCTCGGACGACGATTCTGATATGGATATTGACTATTCGACGTTGACATCGGCTGCGCCGCAAGGATGCGATCATAATAATGGTTTCCGTATGGAGGTGGCAGGTCATCACCATCCATATACCAATCACGGCTCTGTGTCTGTGTCTGTCTCTGGCTCTGCCCTAACCCCCGCGAAGCTGTATGGTATGGTTCTGCAGACTGGGACTGCGGGATTGAAAGCGCGGGTGCTGTGTTCCTCGGTGCGTATCGATCAAAAGCAAGCCATGTTCTTTGGGTCTCGCACCAGACGAGGTTGCCTCTGCTTTGGACGCGGTCATGCGCGTGATGATTTAATAAATCCGACTCTGAGACGCGTCCGTTCGACGAAGGTGGATGCAGGAGCCCTGAGGACTCATCGTTGTAACTCCTCCGTCTGATTTGGTATATCTCTGCATTCTGGTCTTGATTTTGATAGTATCTGCGCAGCGCTGTGGATCCCGAAGACGCCGGTCTAGGCGGGTAGTCGTCATAATCGAACGAACTCTGGCACGGTGTTTGCGCCCATGATGCCGGTGACGATGTCGATGGGGTAGGGTCGAGGTGTATCCGAGGAATCTCCGTGCCACGCGGAACCCAGGTGGAGGTACGGACATTAAAACTGGAATCTGGGATCGGAGGACCTTCAAGCGAGGAAAGATCCATAGTATATGTCTTTATGGTATGAAAAATTGAAAGTGGAAATATGTATGTTCGCGAACCATGGGACCGACCTGCGCAATCGCCGGGTGTCACATATATATAAGAACGATGATAAATGGAACTGCGTGGAGTAAGGTAAGCGACACCGTATTCCAGAAAGAAGGATAAAAATAATTATAAACATAAAGACCGACACCGTATCGAAGGCGGTGCTTATAATCCTTTCATCCTTTATCGGGCCTGAAGCGGGTTGCTGAGTTACCCAACTTGGTAATTGGTAAAAGGTCACACCTTACACCTTTGTGAGGCTCTATTCTTTGAAGAACACTACTGCAAGAAAATTATCATACATACAAGGGACAAATTAAATGCGCCTAACCAACAAATGACGATCAAACAAGAAATCGTGGGGGAGTTTTTATTGAAGATTCGGGCAAAAACCCTTGACACTGCCACACGATATCCTCGTCATCGTCCAAGCCTCGAGATCGTACTCGCTAATGGATACTAAGATCAGCTATACCATCAGTAGGGCTGAATCACGGGGGCCAAATGTACGGTGTGAGCAATATATAGGTTCGTTCTGCCCCATGGAAGGATGCTCTGCTCCACGGTGTTCGCTGGTCAGCCCAGCGGCGGACGAGGCGTTCCCTACAGACCCAACAGGCTTACTTGTACGAGTACGGAGTACAGTTTACGGAGCAGTCTACGAACTGGTCGCACAACTAGACTCGTAAATAATTACAATGCATAAACTAAAGATGATATACTAAAACACGGGAACATCACAAAGGAAATAAAAAAAAAAACTGGATTACTTCGAAGATTGCACCAGATGTGAAAGCTTTCATGAGTTACATTAAATCGTACTCAGCCACCAAGCGCTTCACATTAATATAAACTCCGAAGCGATCCAGGAAGCCCAAGAATAACAAAAATAGGTATAGAAGAATAAAAAAAGGGGATATAATGATTAACTCTCCCGAAAAAACCACAAAACTAAATGACAAACCCCACGACGCTTCAACCATTCACACCAGTCCACCGGGGATCAAGAGGAACCCACCCAGGCAGCCAGAGCGACCGGGGCTACATTATACACAAGAAGGGAATAATTTAAGCCAAGAAGAAGGCCATGGCGGCGGCGGCACCAGCGAAACCGAAAGAGTTGCTGACGGAGCTGGCGGCACCGGTGAAGAGGGAAGAGGGAGCAGAGGTGGAGGCGGAAGCAGAGCCGCTGTTTCAGTTAGCATATATTCAATGTAGATTAATTGATAGAGGGAATAAAAATCTTACCTAGGGCTGTCACCGGCGGCGCCCTGGCCAGAGGGAGCGGGGATCACGGGGACCGAGCTGGTACCCTTGGCAGCAGCGCCAGAGGGACGCTGACCGGCGGGGCCGGAGGGGGTGACGGGCACCTGGACAGTCGAGTAGGTGACGGTGGGAATGCAGGTGGTCACAGGGATAACCGAGGCGCTGCTGGTGGGGACCTGGACAGGCACAACGGGGCTGGAGGGACCGGCAGCAGGGCTGGAAGGAGCCGGGGCGGGGCTGCTGGAGGGAGTCTCAACGGGAGCGACAGGGCTGCTGGAAGGAGCCTCGACGGGAGCGACGGGGCTGCTGCTGGAAGCAGGAGCAGAGCTGGCCACCGCGGGGACGGAAGAGGTGATAGCCTCAACAGCCTGGGGGGTGGAAGTCTGACGGCTGGGGCAGTCGGTGACGGTGGGGCCACACGAGGTGATGGTCACATCCTCAGTGGAGTAGACGGTCTCGAGGTCACCGTTGGGGAGAGCGACAGCAATGCCGGCGAAGAGGGCAACGGAAGCAGCAGTGAAACGCATATTGATTGATTTGGGAGTTTTGTGGTTTTCTCAAAAATAGAATGTAAAGAGAGTGGAAGATAGTTGGGATATCAAAGGATTGATATATAAAAGAGTGACTGACCGAAGTCGAACGAAGAGAGAACGGAGAGAGAAAGACTTTGGTTTATTGAGCTTGGGAGAGAACAAAAAGAAACGATGAGGAAACGGGATCCGGGGCCCTCTTTGTATGGGTTGGGAGATTAGCCCTGAGGATCGGCAGTCGACAAAAATATCCTCAAAAAAAGGAGAAGTGGAGCCGTGTAGTCGGTAATACGGTGAGACACCGTACGGAGACTCTGTAGGTCTGTGGCGAATGTAATACAATACACTATATTCATAGTGTGGGTTGATCCCGTCATTCGCTTACTGTTTTAGGAATCCGGGCTGACAACTTTCGCCTGGAACCCCTGAGTCTGCGTACTGTACACGTAGGTACATGTATTGTACAACTACTTGTACAGTTATGTGTTTGTCTATGTAGATGTACTTGTACTTCTTTGTACTCCATACACTCATAATGTACCTACTGTGGACTACTACTTACTCTACAAGTAGTATCCCAAGTACCCCTGCCCAAGCCACACCGTTGTTGTTTCAGTTCCTGACCACCACACTCCCCCACCAATCAGAGACATTAAGTATATGCGCGCGGTTTCTTGGCTGTGGGGCTGTGGGACTGTTCCTGAAGAGTTGGACCACTCAAGCCTTTAGAAGTCCCGCGGTGGGTATTTTCCTTTACTTTTTAAACCAATGATAAATTATACAGTGGGTTACGACCCACTTGTAACATTGGCGTGATACCAACTTTAGCCTCTTTCATGTTTTCGGCTTCTTTGATTAATTATTCAGGATGATTCCATGCTGTTTTTACCGGCCAAACAGAGTCCTGAACATGCCAATGTTATCTCTTTATCAAACTTTATGCATCGAACAGATTCATTGATTATTCCAGAGTAAGGAGTTCTATTTCTAGACTACTGTAATGCTTGTCCAGTCTTGACACTGCCAAGTTCTGTCTGTTCGTATTGTTGTTGTAACTTCGAGTACGGGATATAATACATACTGCACAAACACATGCTAACTATCCGACACGGAAGAACCACGGCAATTCTGCATCGCTGAGACTACTGTGAACGTCCAACTTTCCGAGGGGAATTCCTCCGCAGGGTCCGAGCCACTGTGGCTAGTATCTTTTGAGTCTCACTGAGGGATGATCTGTGGGCTCGTGTCATACGGGATACCCTACGGAGTCCATAGCACTCCGGAGTACAGAGTAACTACATACAGAGTTCATGTCGATATTCAGGAGTACACAGTAGAACAGGTCCAGACTATCAGGTCTCTGATTATCGACCCTTCAACTATTAAACATTATATTCTATGGGGCTTCTTTGATGACTTGACTTAGAAGTACATATCAATTTCGTACTATAAATACCGTCAGGGTCTCGGTCTTCGATGCTATTCTTAACCTCTCCTTTTCGGAGCTCTGCACTGTATGGAGATAGGAGCTTCTTCGGGAGGACTCCAGAGTACGGAGTATCCCGACTATGTCACTGTATCTAATAGGTTGAACTTTGCGAACCTTGTCTTAACCTTTCAGATTGACTCTTTCGTCCTGAGGTGTACAGAATACGGAGAAATATTCGCCTCCGAGAGACTGAAGACCAGAGTCTCGGTCCACCGATCAACAGGGGAACTGTACAAGAGCAGCAGAGGATCCTGTAGATGCATATCCAGCATAAAGAACTGGACTCGGTAGATGTACGGGATAAGCAGTATAGAGTTTGCATGTTGTACAGAGCACAGTGTAGATTATGAACTCCGTAGAGTCCTCCGTTTATCCCCGTTGAACCATATCGGGGCATCCCCCGTACCCCCTAAGATGTGCTAAGATATGCTCAAGATCTTTCCCTGCATAACACTAATGTCAGTCCTAATGCTGAGTCCATGTTTTAATCTGTTTCTTTCTTTAGCATATGATCACAATCAATGTGCCGTACATAGCAACATTCATCTGATATCCATCACTCTGGAAGCGAGTGTGGCGCTTCACAGCCTCAACCGTCCAAACTGTCACTATTTTTGTTAACAGTGGGTCAAAGCTGTGCTGAACATGTCAAATCTGTATTTGAAGATAGAATATGATCGCATGCTGATGCATCGCCATTTTGTGTTCTTGTACTCTGTATATATAACTACTACTTGTATATTCAGTTACTCTTCTTGTTGAAGTACATAAATGTGATGCCTGCCAGTCTTTAGGCGCCTACAAACCGCCGGATCCACCCCGTGACCATTGAACACGCCATCCACCGTCAACAACCAACTTTTTTTTCCTTCTCTTTTCATTCAACTTGACTTTCGAGATTTCTCTCGTTTGGTGCCTTCGTTTGTATTTAAATCCCATCTCTAAAGGTGCGTTTTTAGCGAGGTTTCTTAAATGCGATTCTGACATCTCACAGCTGCCGCGTGTTCAGCCTGACCCCACGGCTACAGATCTCCTCTCTCTCTCTCTCTCTCTCTCTCTCACTCTTCCCCTCCCTTTCTTATTCAGTCGTTATCCCAAAAACCATCGCCAAAGTGTCCTCCAACAACACCGCCGATCTGGCTACTGCCGCTGATCCCAACGAGTTGTTTTTGCCTGGTGACAGGCAGAACAACCTCGTTGATAATATGTCTTCCTCAACCGCCGCCGCCGCACCTGTCCCTCTCCTCCGACCGCCCGTACCGGGAAGGAATCGCAACAACAGCAATGCTCCCAAGCCCAAGTTGACATTGGGCATTCCGCCTTCTCCTAATACTCGTCCGCTCGTTAATGGCAATCCTGTCCCTGCCACCCAGGCCGCCCCGCCGCAAATCCAACCTCCTCGTCCCGCAAACCGCCCGGCGCCTCCGCAACTGCGACTCGCAACCCCCATGGGTAGCAGCTCTGAAGTACCACAAGAAATGCCTCGAATGGTCAACGGGAGACCTGCGCCGCCGCCCCTCGTGACTACCAACGTGAACGATGCGAACAATCATTCCGGCAATTATACCTACCTCGACGGGAAAGCCAGTGGCCCCGCTTCCGCTTCATCGTCGAATTACTCGACCCTTTCATTCGCTATGGGTCTCCGTCAACCGCCTGGCGGCACACCAGATCCTTCGTCCGCCATAAGCTCCGTTTACTCTGATCGCGAAAATGGGGTACCGGAGCGCGACAACAGCAGTGTCAATGGGCTCATCCCCGATTTGGACAAGTTGAGTCTGGAGAAGGGCAGGCCCCTTGATGCTGATGACTTGGATGATGAAGGGTGGCTGGCCGCTAGTGAACAAAAGAAGATTGTCGAACTGGGGAGTCTGGGCGAAGGTGCTGGTGGTGCAGTAACAAGGTGCAGACTCAAGGAAGGGAAGACTGTGTTTGCATTGAAGGTTGGTTGAATACGATCGCTTGGTTTCTGCGCGCGCAAGCTAATAACATCAGATTATCACCACGGACCCCAATCCCGACGTCAAAAAGCAAATCGTTCGCGAACTCAATTTCAACAAACATTGCGCTTCGGATCACATCTGTCGCTACTATGGTGCATTCATGGACAAGTCGACTGGTACCATTTCGATCTCTATGGAATTCTGTGAAGGTGGGAGCTTGGACAGCATCTACAAGGAGGTTAGGAAGTTGGGTGGTCGCACTGGTGAAAAGGTGCTGGGCAAGGTGGCTGAAGGTGTCTTGAATGGTTTGACATATCTTCATGGGAGGAAAATCATCCATCGAGGTGGGTCTTCTCGTCTCCAGAGACAATATTGGCCATGACTAATCCGCACAGATATCAAACCATCCAACATCCTTCTATGCCGAAATGGTCAGGTGAAGCTGTGCGACTTTGGAGTTAGCGGTGAATTCGGAACCAAGGGTGATGCCAACACGTTCATCGGAACCTCGTACTATATGGCACCGGAGCGAATCACAGGTCAATCATACACCATCACATCCGACGTTTGGTCGCTCGGTGTAACCCTGCTTGAAGTCGCACAACATCGCTTCCCCTTCCCTGCCGACGGTACCGAGATGCAGCCTCGCGCCGGTTTGATCGACCTCCTGACCTATATTGTCCGCCAACCGATCCCCAAGTTGAAGGATGAGCCGCAAAACGGCATCCGCTGGTCTGATAGTTTCAAATACTTTATTGAGTGCTGGTATGTATTGTGCAATCCCGCTGGTTGAATATATAAAGTCTGACCGGTTTCAGTCTTGAGAAAGAGCCTCCCCGCAGAGCCACTCCTTGGCGGATGCTGGAACATCCCTGGATGGTGGACATGAAGGGCAAGAAGAAAGTCAACATGGCCAACTTCCTGAAACAAGTGTGGGACTGGAAAGAGTAGAGATTCGACATGTCCGCTCTGCCCGTCTCAGCTTTACCGCATCACTTTTCTTTCAACCCTGCGCCCGATTTACGTTTCATCCCAGCGATGAAACTTGTTTCTTATCTCGATCCTTCCTATAATACTCTCTGCATATGCCACGGCCTCTCCTCTGATGCTTATACCTCACGACAAATGGCAGGCCCCATGGTTGACCCGGTCGTCAACCCAGCATGAATCGTGATACGACGACACTCCTTTTACCATAACAGCGTCTGTTTCTTGCCATTCCTTTTGAGGACGGTGTTTTAGGATCATCATTATTTATCATCTCTTTCACGTCTTTCCTTGATTATATTGGGCGACTTTTACACATATCTCTTGCACTGCGACCTCATGTTCAGGGCATGGTTTAAAAGCAGGAAACGATCAGTGGTCAGCAGTGCTGCCGTGCTGATGCATTTATTGTTTGTTTTCTTTTGATTTTGTTGGGTACATTAAGGTTCTGGAACTGGTACATTCTGTGGTGTTGTTGATTTCTTTTGATTTGAATGTATCATTTTGTTATGTGTTGAGGTGCAGGACAGGTACATATATATGAATTTATTGCTTCTATATCTCTTGCATACGGAGTACATACATACCCTAATCCAGGTTCAGAGAATCTCGGAGAATCATAATACTCCCAGAGAATGGCTCCTCAACTTTGTGGATCTAGCAACTAACTAGTTAACTAGTGCCAAGCGGATCGAGCTTTGGTATGCAAACACCCAAATCGCCAGACAGCAATCACATGACACCTTGTTCCAACATACACTCGGTTGTCCTTATCATATACTTCGCTATCCATCTTGACCCACGATCAAAACATGGATAAACCATCCACATCTCTTCCAAAACCCCTGAACCCTTATCGAAGGGGCTGCAGGCTCACAGTTCGAACACACACACACCCCCCCTCCCCCCAACGCGAGTGACATTCAGTGGCTTGGGAACCACCAGTCCCGAATGTCAGGAACGGCGAGAAGTGAGCCCAGTCGAACGATGCCTGAAATATCCCCCCTTACCCGGCGGACCGTTAGGACCAGGTATTGTGGCCCTGAAGATCGAGGCATTGATCAGAGCCGGAGACGGTCGCAATTCTCAGGTCATGGCGGTACAGGTTCTAGATGCCAGCCCTGATCTTGACGGTCGTTTCCCTGCCAGTCGAACGGTGGTGGCTAAGATCTATGACCCGCTCTACGTTGACGATGAAGAAAACTGCGTGAATCCGTTTCGTAGCATGGATCGGTGCTACACCCATGAGGCTCGCGCGTATGAGCTACTTTCGTTTGACCATAGGTTTCGGGGAGATGATCTGCCTGTTCCTCGTTACTGTGGGTCTTATTCATTGGATATCACAGAAGCAACTGGGAGTCGCACCGTTCGACTGATCCTGCTTGAACATATAGGCGGAATGAACATGTTAGATGCGAATCAGGACGTGTTCGCCTTCCCTCAGCACACCCGCCAACAGATGATGAAATCGATCGTCGACTTTGAAAGCTACCTCTTCGAACGCGATATATGGCTCCGCGACGTGTGTCCTCGAAACATCATCATCGCACAAGATCCCGACGTTGATTCTTTCTCTAATCCCGGTCCTTTCCGTGGTCTCAATCCCAAAAGACTCGTCTTTGTGGACCTCGCCCACGCTCTCTTTAAACGCATGTGGGACAGTGCGAATCCCGAGGAGGACGTGGAGTCGATCATAGGTAATAGGTGTCATGGGCAGTACATCTCGCCTCTTCTGAGATGGGATGAGGGCCAAGCGTTGAAGTTTCAGGATTGGTTCGAGGATTGGGATTGGGATGAGTGGATTGCGGCTGAGTATGCGCATACTGCTGCGAGTATTACGCCTGAGATTCGGAGGGCATTTCCGGGTCCTGATGAACCTCTGTTCTAGAAATTTTATCTCCAAGAGATGATGTGCCTTTATACCAGATAACAATAATACTGATAATAAGAATATCCCCTTTCGTATATTATCTATTGACCACGACAGACTCGCTGCGATAGAAAGCTACTGTTTCCGTAAGCCACCTCACACAACAACAGCATTTCTTTCTGCCAAAATTCGGACTCCCCACTCCATCCTGTATGCATAACGTATGTCAAATGTGCCCTTGAGTCACAGATTCTCTACGGTCCATGGTCTGTGCAACAAACGCAACAGATGTTATATCCCATATACAGCGAAGCATAATTGATACGACGGCCGCTTGATTAAACTTAACTGTCAAGTCAACCCAACCACCTCATTCTTTCATGCTGTGTGTGTTGGGTGTACACACTCTCTGGCAAGCACAGAAATCTCCCTAATACAGAAAAGATTAGCGGCTTTCCTGCCATTCATGACGGTGCCAGTAGTCACGGACATGTAATCAGAAGAACACGTCCTATCCCTGAAGTTCAATCGCAAGTTAAACCACTACGCGACTATGGATAATCTCAAAAGACTCACACGAGCAGAGACACAGATGTGTTTCCTCGGGGCAAAATTTGCCCAATTCTCACGATTGGGCACTGCGCATCAGATCATTCCAATGGTGGAATGCTGCAGAACTCCGCAGCGAGAAGGATCCTAAGCTACCAGATCATACCATCCAGCCAATTTCTGATCCGGGAATGGACTAGACCTAGCAACTTGCTTTCACGACCACCACCTCAATCAAGATCTGGCTGCCGGAAGAGCGACAAGTTTATTGTCGCAGAATTCTATGTCTCTGTTCAACTGGACGTCTGTCCAACGGACACCATTGTGCGGATGGTTCCATACATGTCTGGTTGGAATAGTTGCCAACTCTATACCGTGAGTCGGCGAAAGCAGCCGCAGACGTCGACGGGCCGTATCGAACCTTCGGATTCGCTGATGTATGTTTCTTTAACCTGGATGTTTGCGCTTATGGAAATCGACAACGAACAATGTATTCTAATCGAATACTCCTATGCTTGAACGGTGCGCTTAGTATTTTCTCATAAGATTGCAGCTATGGTGTGCGTCTCTCTATTTTCGCATCTCAGGGAGTATCCACAAGCAAAGAGCATATCAATTCTGCTCTGTGTCTTTAGGTCTAACGCTTTAGCTTGGCGCAGCACTTGCTGACTGATTTGACAGGCTAGTTGTATTATACTTAAGTGCTCCATGGTTTCTCGATATTTATGGCTGGAGGGCACGGGCAAGTAGTTGTTGATGAATGGGCATCGGGATCTTTCTCGCAGATGACATGTGTGCTGGACAACAATATTCTGTACATCCCATATACGGCAAACCATGATTGATACTCTCGTCACTTGATTAAACTACCAAGTCACTCCACCTCATTCTTCCATACTGCGTGTGTTACAGAGCAGCTGTTAAGACCTGATTCTGCGAGCAGAGCATAAACGTTTTAGCTTGCTTTTAGCCATTCATCGAGTTCGGGCTTTCTTGCCAGGAGCAGGAGCATGTGTATTTCAGAGGCTGTGTCGAGTTGTGCTTTTCTCATAACTTCAGCGCATTTGAGTGACCATGAATGTAAATCCATTCTTAGAACCTGTTGCCTATGACTGAGCTGTTATCATCGTCACAACCCTGACCCCCAGAACATGTTTCTGGTGGTAGTATCACTACAATAGAGAGATAAACCAGCTGGACCATATAACAACAGCATTTCTTTCTGCTCCATCCTATATGCACAGCACATGCATGTACCCTCCCTCAATTCAACAAATGCTCCAAAGGTCACATACCTCTTCATAGCCCTTGCAACAAACGCAAACAGAAGCAGCATCCTGGGTATCGTCCAAGCCAGCCACGATTGCTGTGTTGGTTGTTTGGTGAAAATTGCTTTCATGGATCTCTTCTGTGTAGTTGAGTGTTCTCACTCTCCACATCGATCTCTAAAGATGAAATAGCTGGTTACAACTGAGTCGCAATGACGAGCACTTTATTTAAAATTTAAAGGGATATTGGTGGGGGTGTACAGGACAGACAAGCCTGCTCTTGTGGTGTTCTAGTACTGTTCAGTGACCAAGTTGACGAATAGCTCAACCAATGCCCAGTGACATCACCCGTTGTTGCTTGGCTTTCCCCAATCTTGTACCAGTTAGAAGCGACGGCCAACAAAGCTGTGCTGAGCGTTCATGGGCTGCATAACAGGAGGAGAGGAGGCGGGAGGGAGGCGAAATGAGCAAGGCGAGAGCTTCTGTCTACTACTAATAGTTAATTGTCCCCTTTTAGTTTGGGGAACAACCTGGATTCAATAGTGGTTGAATGTGATCTCCATAAGCGGTAACCCAGAACTTGCAACTCCTACTAGCACGGAGATCATCGAAGGTTGAAAACAGAATCGTTGGCTGGTAAGCTACAGGTCATCTGCTATCAACCGAGATATGGGAGAATGCTCGTGGGGGAGGGGGGGGGGGGTTCAACTGAGGGAATTCTGTACTGTGTCCAATCATGCGTGAAATTCCTGAATCCTCGAAGTCTTCTGATCTCGAGTGTGATATGCCATGATATTACGTTCTTGTCCATAGTGTGTTGTCGAACCACTTTTGTTGCTGACAGGGCTTCGCATGTCCTAAAAAAATTCCATATCGTCCCGGCATCAGGTCTATCGGGCTCAGGATGGTAGCGTTTCTCGAAAGTCCTCCTCGTAGGCTGTCTGGGTATTTTTCAATTCAAAAATAGCTGTCAGCTTTAGAAAATCACATTTTTTCCCGAATATAAAGACCAGTGGATATCAACTTGGTTACGTTTCCCTGTAGTGTCTGTACCACCATCAAGGTACAGACCTGAAGAACGATTGAGATCATCTTGGCCAATGCTGGTAGGCGTCGTGAATAGGTGACGGCATTTCGCATAAACTAACTACTTGGAGCAACGAATTGCGGTTAATTCGGGAGTCATGAATGCGTCTGCTTGAGATTTGCCAGAAGTCTATATCGGTGCCATAAACGAGTATCATTCCGGAGCATCTTTGAGCGCCACTTATTTGGACTAGGATTCAATTTGTTGCACGCTGATAGCCTCTTCTGATGAATCTTTCGAAGATGCTCAGTGGGCTGTGCATGCTTAATCCATTCCCTGTCCGGAGATGGGCAGTCTTTCTGCTCTCACAATGGGCATTTGGGCATTTTCGGGACGTTTCATTTGAACTGTTTTCAATGATGGGCCAGTTCGTTGAATGTATCTCTGTTAATCGTGCCATTACGGCCCATTTTAGGGCAATACGCCTCGTCCTCATGGACGGATTTTCTTTTTTTCTTTTCTTGCTACCAGTCTTGCTGGAGCTGACTAATTTGGCGCGCTTTGGTGGGGGCGCATTGGTAGCTGGATTGTCATGAAAGACTGAATATGTATTAAACAACACATTCGGAGCGCACTTCCCACACTATCAGGGCTATCGGCTCCTGATGGTGGTAATTCTCTTCGAAAATCTTTCTCGTATATTGTGTGCGTGTTATTTAGCTCAAGTATGGCAATCAGCTTGAGACAGCCGCTTTCTTCTGCGCATACGACCACTGGATATCGAATCGGCTGTGATGCTTGTCGATGGTTCCTCTATCACGCAAACTAGGAGGGCGGTTCTCTCACTGTGTAAAATCCTGAGCTCTTTAGCCAGCTTTGATGAGCGTCGTGTACGTTGTGACGTTATTATAACATGAACTTTGTATTTCGGGGTAATTTTCCGATATACTTCTCGGTTTGTCAGAAACATGTCGCCGTGTCCCTGGATGAAAGACATTCTGAAGGGTGTCTACAACACTCTGTAGCGTTGTGGTTTACATATCGACCACTTGCTTATTGGATCAGGCTGTATAAATAACGGCATATCAATGGATGAAAAGTATGCCATTGCATTGATGACTTTTGACATACCTCGTTCCCGATTCGGAACGCCTTCAAGGTGGAAAGCGGGAACTGTAGAGATTATTCTCCCTCTGTCCTTCATCTTGATTCGGGATGCCTCTTGAGCCATCCGAATTTCCCATTTAGTAGGCCCAACAGCGGCACGACGTCTTCAATGCTCTGGTTTTCATATCCAAAGCTTGGATCTAGCCTTTGCCTGCATAGCGACAGGCAGGGACTGTCACTTGAAAAGTACACAAAAAACACCGAAGAGCCCAGAAGAGTACCAAGAGCCACAGATATACGTTGATTTTGTTGAGCATAAGAATCAAGGAGACGAATCACAGCCATGAAGGTGCTCTCAGTGGCCTTTATCCAACCGTGCATCTCCACGGCAAGATTAACAGCAGCAGGATCTGTACATCCAACATTGAGCATCATCCCAATGGGTCCATATAGGTGCACTCAGCAAGTACCGGCTTACTTTGACCATTGTCCAAATGTTGCAGATGCCTCCGAGTCCATATTTCTCAGATAGCCATACCCAGAGCTTTCGTTCAATGCCGGACACGGTCAGCGCAACACTAGGGCGGTAGTGTGGCGGACACACCGGAATAGCATGTCTCCAAGAATGAATAAACGCATAAAATTCGTTGTGCTATAGCTTGGTCGGTCTCAAGGCTTTTCTTCATTCCAAGAGGCCACGGCATATCCAACCACGAGTGATCCTGTCGTAGGGCAATTTTCAATATCTGTAGACCATTGAACCTCGAAACAGTTTAAGAGCATCCTAGTAGTATGATTTGTGATATTTAAAGGCATACCAGGTGGACAGATATCCCGAGGAGCAAAACTAACTGCGTTTCGTTCGATCAGCGTTCCAGACTAGTGTGTTAGCAGGCAAAAAGCTCAGTAATGCGGACAGAGACGTTCAGCCTCTTGAAGTTTAGCTCTATGCAGTAAGCATCACTGCTGCATTGTCACAAGGCCGGAAGCCCTTGCTCCGTGCCAATCTAGACTGCCGATTGAATCGAGTCTGTTGAAGGAAAACAGTCTACTTGTACTTAGGAAGGAATCCATAGCAGGTTCCCGCAGCTTTCATGTAAGTTGCAATCTACCTTGAAGCTAATATTAGTCTGAATGACTTTAAAAAAATGCAATCAAGAGACAGATCACCTACCAAGCAATCTCCAAATTCTGACACCAGACCTTAATTTCGCGGACAACGCGCTGGTCTCAATGACAAAGTCCGGTACACCGGACAACATACGTCTGACTGGAGTTGTAGTCGGTGATAGCCGTGGCGGCTTTTGCTATCGCAGGCTTGTAAAAGTCGGGGTTTACAGCTGCGTTCACTGTGGGGAGTTTTGCGTCGGTATGAACAATTTTAAAAGCTTTTCCCGACTGGTTCAATGACTCCGTTCGTGTGTTCAAATGGCTTCATCTGACATCTGCTTTCATATTCAATTTTTTCTTTTTTTTTTTTTTTTTTTAGGATTTGTCACATTAATTTCTCGACGAGAAATGAGTTTCACCGAACGAGACAAGCCGTGTGAAGCCTCCACAGCTCACTTGATAGCGCTTGAATCATGAATTTCACACACAAAACTGTCTCCTGGTCTTCTAGCCGATCGGACAAAGATCATCAAGGGAGTCTAGGATCCCGACGAAAACACGCCTCTGGGTGATGAGGAGCGTGGCATGGTTTAGGCCAGTAGAATGCGCCGGAGTACGGATTAGTACCTTTGGGCGTAGTGCGACCCCGAAAATCATTGTGGCAAGGTACCATGGTTCGAAGCAAAAAGCTATGCTTTCTTTTTGGATGGATTTAGCTCCCCAGTTTCGTTGGTCTTGGGGGAGTAGATCAAGGGCATGCGTGTATCATGTATGGATGAAAAGTATGCCTTTGCACTCTCGATGTTTGTCTTTCATCATACATTTGATCCTGCTGGTTTTATTTAACAGTTATCCGGTGCCATATTTGTGTGTGTGTGTGTGTGTGTGTGTGTGTGTGTGTGTGTGTGTGTGTGGTACGTCTAGGCTGTGTGATAATATGAATATCACAAAAAGCAGGACCACTGGCGGAACCAACGTCGAAAGGGTGCTAAACTTCCATAATAAATGGAATCGTAGGATACGGCTGGCATGTTCGGGGCATTCTCCATTATCCTCGTTCTCTGGGAGAGACAGTTTCTGTCTTCGTATACTGATAGACGAGGTGACAGCTCAGTCGGCGTTTACAGATCAATAAAAAAGCAACCATTATAATTGAGAAAAAATTGGACATCAAAAGTTGAGAATGTCTTAACACATATTCGTGCCTATTAAGCCTCATCAATAAAATACAGCATGTATACATAGCACATAAAAGCCACTCCATAGCCAGAGTACGTAAGATCCAATTCGCCCGCTTACCACATCATGATCCTCATAAACCAAACCAAAAAGAAAAGAGACGGAAACAAAGACGGAGATATCACCGGTTAACCGGCTGAGCACCCAAAACCCAACCAATTCCACTAGCCAACCCGCCAGTAACCATGTTACTAACAACATCTCTCTTGCGCATCCGGTCTTCGCTGTCTGCTTCGTGGTCGTCATCGCCGTCCACCCAATCATGTCCCGCAGGACGAGATGTCGACGAGCCAGCCGCCGCCATCCCGCGGAGAGGAAGCGTGTTCTTGTGAAGGGCCATGGCGGCGCCACGAGCGACCTCGAAGAGTCCCATGGGTGCTTCTTCGTGGGAGCGATTTTGCTGTTGCTGTTGTTGGTACGCTCGGGCACGTCTGGCGTGCTGTTGTTTCGTTTCGAGTGCGTCTTGTTCGCTGTCGCTGGGGCCGAATCCACCTGGGACCATGGAGACGGTGTCGCCTTTTGTGTCCCAGATTTCTTCTTCTTCGCTTTCTTGGGAACGGAGCACGCTCATTTCCTCGTCGCAGCGGCGCCAGGCGCCGAGGATTTCGGGGAGAGGGTCGGCGTATGGGACGAGGACTAATGCAAGGGAAAGGATCTCCATGCGTTGGGAGAGCTGGTTGATTTGGGATTGGAGGCTGGGAGGTGATGAGGTGGCGGGGGAGCGGTAGCGGCCTGCATTGTAGACCGCACGCCAGGAGATGTCGTCCTTGACGGAGGTGGATGAGGGTGTTTGAGTAGCAAGACGTGTGAAAATGTAGGAGTATGCGGTGTCAAGATCATCGGAAGCGAGGGCGGAGGATATAGCTAGGGAAATTACCCGTCGTTCGGCAATGATAGGTGCGTCCTCTTCAGGAATTGGAGTGTGCTCGTGCGAGTCACTGTCCGGTAGTATGGGCGGAAACCCTGCTGCAACCAGGTTTCGCCCAATAGAAAGAAGATCATCCAGATTCGTATACCCCTTAGGATTCTGATCGAGTACCTTTTCAATCAGAGAAAGGGGATCTTGGTGAACGCGGATGCTGACGGGTTGGAACGGAACCCCGTGTTGTAGTGTGAGCGAGTAGAATGACAAGGCATGTGTTGCCGAGATGAGAGCCTGAATCTGCTTGAATGATACAGAGTCGGGGAAGTGTGGCTGGAAAGTTTGCAGGATATCGTATGCCTTTTTCATTCCTCCTCGTGTTCTGTTACCATTACTAGCATTGTCGTAAGCTGTGGTGATAGCGTCCTTGACAGCGGCTTCAACCTGCGACGCTTGCAGGGGTGCCCTCATATCCGTGTAAATGTTCACAGCCAACTTGTATTCTGCGGGGATTAGCACCGAGAGTTCCAAATTCTGTGAGCCATGCTTACCCTTGACCTCCAGCAACGCCTTCAAGATTTCCGTCTCTACAACATCCCGCGGGACTCTCCAGAAAAGACCGTGGTAAGATGGTCGCTCCGTTTGCGCTTCCGCCTGCCAGTTGTGAAGCCAGAGCAACTGCTGGCGGATGTTCGTCCAATCGCGACCCGACCTCGCGTTTCTTGTGGTTGAAGCTATGACGCTGCGCAGATCCAACAGCTGCACGTCCTCACTGTTATGAAGGCACATGTTTGCGGCTGCGCGACAGGTCACAGGGTGATCCAATTCGCTCAAAATCCCAAGAGAAGAAAGGATGGCGCTGATGAATGATATCGAGGTGGCAGAGGGGCGAGTCAGGGGATTCGAGTACCCTAATAAGGCGTTCTGTAATAGCGACGCTCTCGACGTCGACGAGATCGTATTCGTATCATAGGTAACCGTAGGAAGTGGCGAGTCGTTGGGTATAGATCCTTCAAGACCCAGTTGCTGGGCGATTCGCGTGACAATCTGTGCGCAACCCTCCAAAGTCTGCCCACTGGTATCAGAGTTCGCGTAAACCACGGCAAGACCACTTTGGCCATGTCGGGCTTGCAAATCCGCTAGTTCATCACCCTGGTATTGCCCATTTGCATCCCCATAACCTCCAAGATCGATATCTTGAGGCCCGTTCCAGTCTGTATAGGCACCCACAACACTCTCCAGGTCTACCAGACTCCGCGACAATAGCCATTCATTCACCGGACCCCATGCAGCACGCGAAGCTGTTCGCGGTCGATACGGTTCTTGAGTAACCGTGACGGATTCACGCTGCGCCGCTTCGTTGAGCCTCCGTCGTTTCGATCGATGACTGCCGTGAATCCAAGGACCGATGAGTCCGCGCAAATTTTTGACTAAATCCATGTTGTCGCTATGCGATCCTGTCATCGAAAGGAGCACATTGACGGCCGTCTGATCATCCATAGACTCAATCACATCCAGCGTGAAGGTCCCATCTTGGTCGGGGTAGTATTCGTAGTTCAAGCGGAGTAGGGGTATCAGGCTGGAGATGAGCCACGTGCGTAAGACCGGCGAGCGTTCGTAGAAAGGCAGTAGGAGATCGAGGATAAAGGGTTGAAGGGAAGTTTCGGCATCGATTCTATGCGCGCGATGGATGAGGAATTGGGTCAGAAGGTCGGTCGTATCGTCACTGTCGTCGTCGTCGCGATATTTCAGCGGCAGTAAACGGAGCTTCCGTACACGTTTCCTCGCAGCTGCTTCTGACAAATCCTTGACGGACGACAAATCAATATCGTCCTCCGACAGCACAGACAAAGACGAAGAGGTATCAACAAGCTCCTGAAGTACAGGCGTATAGTACTGTGGCTCTATACTTTCGGGAAGGAAGGTCAGAAGGAGGCGTAGAACACGCTCTAAAGGAAGGTAACCGGGAAACTGCGCCTGGAGTTGCGGAAGGGCAGCAATCTGGCCACTGGCACAGAGATGCGAGGCCAGAAGAATCGCGTGAGCACCAGACAGGCCCGCGAGCACGGCCATGTTGAATTAAATCGTAGACATTTGAGTTAATTGCCTGTAGAGGGCGATGTGGCCGGAGACGTCAAGCGGCCGACGCTCGGACCAATCAACAGCCGAACCTCCGTCCGCAATCCAACCTCAACTCCCTCTCTTACGCTTCCCACGCTAAAAAGACCCCTCCGTTTTTGACAGCTCTACGTGCTTCTCCTCAGGTTCATTCATAATGGCGTCTGGTTACGGTCTCAATGGCGGTATGTGTTTCTCAGTTTGCCTTTTTAGCGGTCGATTTTCTTTTTTCAGCCGGTCATAATGGCCGGGTGTGGCGCCGTGCCGGCTTCTGTTCCTCTCCGATAAACGTCCTGGAGGCTAACGGTACGATTCTCTAGGTCCTTCCCGCTGCTACGGTTTCTGGCAGGAAGTCCTCGGTTGCTACGTCGTCAATTCCGGTGAGGGCGAGACCGGCAAGAAGAAGTGCATGCCCGCATTGGAGGACTACTACGAGTGTCTGCACCACAGAAAAGAGGTACGCTCCGATATCTGGCTCGGATGAGTAGATACGAGTGAATGGATACAATGCCCGTGGATGGTTCAGGATGGAACATCCGGGGAACGCGGGGAAATGGACAATTTGCACGGAACGGATTCTGACAAGCGATATCATGACAACAGGCTCTCCGCACAATGAAGATGCAGGCCGCCTACCGCAAGGCCGAAGCCGCACACCCCCGCGAGAACGCTCCCAAGGCGGAACAGATTCGCAGTCTGGGGTTGTTAGGGAATGAGGAACAGTCGGCAGATGTATTGGCGAAGGCGTCATGAAGGAGGATGCGCATACCCAGGATACGGTGATTTTGTTACTTTACGTTTGCGCGTCTTTGTTTTTTACTCCATGCCATGGATTATGGGACTGTATAGAATGGACTATTCAATTGGAGCTTTACGGAGTACTCTGGGTCAGGACTGCATATATATATATATATCTGGGTAGACTAAGACTCCCGGATAACCACCTGCGCACTGGAAATTTCAATAACACGACTGCGATAACTGTTAGGATTTGTTTCTATATGCTCGCAGCATGGACAATGTACAAGTATTCGGCGCAGTCTGTAAACATCATGACGGCATCAGAAATACGCGAGACCTGATTGGGACTTTGTTTATGCCTTGTTACTGAGGCATAAATGACTCACACCTAAGGCAGCGACATACTGGATGCGTACAACTAGAGCTCCATGCGGCTGAGCTTGAATTGAGAATAATGATCGAAGCTAATGATAGCTGCCATATTCTATGTGCATAAATCCAGTGCAATTTTAGACAGTTTACTCTCCATTCTGCAGAATGATCTTCAAGTATGCGCCCGTGCTGATGACCGGCAGATAGTATTCTGGTATCTTGGCATGTCATGCCTCATTCTCTCTATACATAAATAGTGAAGAAGAATAATACTCTACTCTGTATATAGAGTACTCTCATTAACTAACTACTTCTTCATGAATAAGAGAGGTGGCATAATTTCGTCGATCACGGCGGGCAGGGATAGTCACGTGCCGTAGGAAAACCTTTACGGGGCGTGGGTCACACCTTACCCCTTCCAGACTAGCGCACAGGGCCCAAACATGGCGCCGACACAGGCCCCAATGATATAAACCCGGCGGCGTGACCTCGAACGGAGCATCAGTCGTTGTTGACCTGCGCGCGCGTCTCTTAGCCGGTTTCCCTATTACACTTATCCCTGCCCGCTCTCTGCGTGATTCCACGGTGGTATTTTACTCCCGTGTTATCATTGCTTATCTGGGGATTTGATTGATTTGTCTTATTTTATTTTATTCCTTCCTCCCCCGTTTCCGATGGCTGCGTCGTGGGTGTAACATCCCCGGTATACATACTTTCATACCATACATACGCTTACCTCCTACTGCTTTAGTGTCTCTTACTTAATCCCTTTGACTTGACTGTCGACGGTCGTTTGGAGGCACTTTTCTCTTCGCCTTTTTTTTTGTTCTTTTCGTGTCTTTTTTATTTTCTGGTTGATACCCCGTTGCTTTTTGTGCCTGTAATATTATTTGTTGTTTTTTATGCTTGACTCGCAGTGACGACCATGACTTCCAGGTATGGCTTTTCCGCCCGTCCAATCCCGTTCTGCCGTTACGTCGCGCTAACCCATTTTCGTTTAGACTCGATCGTCTCGTCACGTGAGTATCCGTCGCCAACCCGTGCGACTGCCAGTCAATAAACGTTAACTAATCACATGATCACAGATTACTCGAGACTGGCAGCACGCCGGTTATTCGCAACACAGCCGCCCAGCAACTGGCCGATGTCCAGAAACAGCACCCAGATGAGCTCTTCAACCTTCTAGGACGGATCCTGCCATATCTCAGATCCAAGTCATGGGACACCCGGACAGCTTCCGCCAAGGCTATCGGCCTGATTGTCTCCAACGCAGAGGTCTTCGACCCTAACCAAGACGACGGCCAGGAGATCAAAAAGGTGGATGAGGATGTGGACGAGGTTGAGATCAAGTCAGAAGATCAGTCGCCTACAGATGATGGGTTGTTTCGGTTAGAACGGTTGGATCTTACTTCGATTCTCAGATACGGCCACCGGTTACTGGGCAGCGCGGGCAAGGAGTACGAGTGGTCATTGGCGTCCATGGATCCGGCAACGCGGTTACAGCATCAAAAGAAGACACTCACCTCCCGTTTGGGACTCGCGGGCGAGTATATCGAGGAGGACCTGATTGACGATAATGATCTTGTCAACAAGCCAGCATTGACTCCCAAGATTGATACCTCTGTCCCTACCCTCCATAGAGACAACAGTCTGCAGAGCGCCGTCGCATCGCCCAGTGAAGCTGCCAACGGTGAAGAGCCCGGTCTGAGTAAACGGCAGCTGAACCAACTCAAACGGAAGAACAAGCAGAGTGCCAAATTGGGAGCCAACAAAGTCCGTGTGGTTGACATTTCGTCGTCCCGGAAGCCATCAGATAGTGCCCCTACCCCGACAGTGTCGACACCCCATCCGATCAAGTCCGAAAGCAACGGGGAGGAGAAGAATGGCGACACCAAACCCGACTACTTCTCGCTCGATCGAAGTGGCGATGACGACGACTCGAAGATCGTCACGGAGTTCAAAGGGGTCGAAACACCGGAGAAGCCTCTATTGGAGCCGGAATTGGTAGAGGAGGGTACCCCGGTTGGATGGCCGTTTGAGCATATGTGCGATTTCCTCATGATGGATATCTTTGATCCGAATTGGGAGGTCCGTCATGGTGCAGCTGTGGGTCTCAGAGAGGTTGTTCGAGTCCAAGGAGCTGGTGCCGGGCGTTTTCAGGGCAAGAGCCGAGTTGAGAACGATATTCTGAATCGGAAGTGGCTGGATGATTTGGCATGTCGCCTTCTTTGCGTTCTTATGCTCGACCGCTTTGGTGACTACATTTCGGACAACGTCGTCGCTCCAATTCGGGAAACCGTTGGTCAAACGCTGGGTGCGCTTTTGTCCCAATTACCCCCGCGATCCGTCGTCGCTGTTTACCAATGCTTGTACCGGATCATTATGCAAACCGATGTGGGCCTCGAACGTCCCATCTGGGAAGTCTGCCACGGTGGAATGATTGGTCTCAGGTACTTGGTGGCCGTCCGCAAAGACCTGCTCGTGAAGGATTCCAATCTTATGGATGGCATTTTGCAAGCGGTTATGAAAGGACTGGGCGATTATGATGACGATGTGCGTGCCGTCAGTGCAGCAACCCTCGTCCCGATGGCGGAGGAATTCGTCACCTCCCGCACAAGTTCGCTAGGATTGTTGATGAACATCGTCTGGGACTGTCTTTCGAATTTGCAGGACGATCTTAGCGCCAGTACAGGTTCCGTGATGGATCTCCTGGCGAAGCTCTGCACATTCCGTGAAGTCCTTGACGCCATGAAAGCAAATGCAGCCGACAACCCAGAATCTTCCTTTGGCAAACTGGTTCCCCGTCTATATCCCTTCCTCCGCCACACGATTACCAGCGTCCGTTCCGCTGTTCTCCGAGCCCTCATGACATTCTTGCAGCTGGAAGGTGAGGGCACAAATGACTGGGTAGACGGCAAGGCACTCCGCCTGGTATTCCAGAACTTGCTGGTCGAGCGCAACGAGGGTGTTCTAAAGCAATCTCTCCAGGTCTGGTCGGAATTGCTCAAGGCCCTTGAAACCCGTGGATGCTTCAAGTCAGAGACAGAGCTGTCGAGTAGCATTCAGCCCCTCGTCACATTAACCATGGGACCATTTGGTGTTCCTCGATACCCCATTCCCATGAACGCCTCGCTCTTCATCAAACCCTCCGGCTTGCCTTACCCAATGAGTGCTGCCGCTCCCGCCAAATCGTCTCCAAGCTCGAACAACACAACTTCCGAACCAGGCAAAGGACGCAAACGCAAACTCGAAAAGAAAGACGCACCCCCGCCACCTCCAACGTCTTCAGCCCACAATGTTGATGGTCATATGCTGCAGGGTGATATCGACTTGGTCGGTGCGGATACGATGCTGCGGTCCAAAATCTATGCTTCCAAGGCTCTTGGCGAGCTGTTGTTCTTCTGGGATAAGTCTCAGCTCTTCAGTCTGTGGCAGCCGGTCATAGAAGGCCTGGATAATTCCGCTTCTACCTCGCAGCTCTCAGCAGCCATGGTTGTGGAGGAGTATGCGCGATTCATGGGACCGAGCAGCAAGTACACCGAATCGATATGCGAGCGTGTCCGCCCGATTGTCGAGGGAGATCGCCCGGCGTGGTACAGTGATGTCGCATGCTACCTTCATGTGGCGCGCGCTCAATGTCACTCGCTTCTCAGTGCGTTCAGAGACCATGCTCATGTTCCGTCATCGAAATTGCCTGTTCTGGCGGTGATCGTTCAGGGCGATACCGAAGCCGGCCCGAGTGCTTTCTCTTTGGCTGATGCGGAGCGGGTTATCGGCCCTGAATTTGAACGATTGAAGAAGGGCTTGGCCCCTGCGCAGCGCATTACGGCTCTCCAGGTTTTGAACGACACTCGCGCAACCACGGAGTCCGCTATCAACGAGGCCAGGGAGATCAGAGAACGGAGAGACCTGCGTATCCGGGCTGCGGGTGCGGGCGCGCTGGTTGCACTTCGCGATATCCCCAAGAAGCCTGGTCATATCATTAAGGGCATGATGGATAGCGTGAAGAAGGAAGAAAATGCCGAATTACAGCAGCGCTCCGCCACCGCGGTCGCATCCCTGGTCGAACACTATACAATGGCCGCAAAGCGCGGACCAGTCGACAAGGTCATCGGAAACTTGGTCAAATACTGCTGCGTCGACACTTCCGAAACCCCCGAATTCCACCACCACGCACACCTCGAGAAATCCATTCTATCCCTCCGCAAGGAAGAAGACCGACGCGACCACCCCGATGCAGCCAAGTTCGAAAGAGAGGCCAAGGAAGCCAGGGTCATGCGCAGAGGTGCAAAGGAAGCCCTCGAACAACTTACTGTCAACTTTGGTCCTGCACTTCTGGAGAAGGTTCCGAATCTTGCATCTTTGATCGAACGGCCGTTGAGAGATTCTCTTTCTGGGGAATTTCCGCAGAACATCCGCGATCCGGAGAACGAACTTGGTCAGGAGGTTGTCGATGGGTTGTCTACTCTTCGTGCTCTGCTGCCCAAGTTTGATACTGGTCTTTACCCGTGGGTTATCGAACTTCTGCCCATCGTTGTCAAAGCGCTGCAATGTGAATTGTCGGTTATTCGGTATGCTGCTGCCAAGTGCTTCGCCACGGCGTGCAGTGTCATGAACGTCGACGGTATGACGATGTTGGTTGAGAAGGTTCTTCCATCTATCAACAATGCGTTCGATGTACACCACCGACAAGGAGTGGTAGAATGCATCTATCACCTTATCCATGTCATGGAAGATGGAATCCTGCCTTATGTTATTTTCCTTGTTGTCCCTGTTCTCGGAAGGATGAGCGATTCCGATAATGATGTGAGATTGCTGGCTACAACATCGTTCGCAACGCTGGTCAAGCTCGTTCCTCTCGAAGCGGGTATCCCCGACCCCCCAGGTTTCTCTGAAGAAATGCTCAAGGGACGTGATCGGGAAAGAAAGTTCATGGCACAGATGCTGGATGTCCGGAAGGTGGAGGAATTCAAGGTCCCTGTCGCGATCAAAGCAGAACTCAGACCCTACCAGCAAGAAGGTGTCAACTGGCTCGCGTTCCTCAACCGGTACAACCTCCACGGTATTCTGTGTGACGACATGGGTCTTGGCAAGACTCTGCAGACCATTTGTATCGTCGCTAGTGATCACCACATGAGAGCCGAGGAATTCGAACGCACACAAGCAAATGATGCTAGGAAGTTGCCATCTTTGATTATTTGTCCTCCGTCGCTGTCTGGTCACTGGCAGCAGGAGGTTAAGCAATACGCTCCGTTCCTTAACTGTGTGGCTTACGTTGGACCTCCCGCGGAACGCTCGAGACTGCAAGGCGAACTCGCAAAATCGGACGTCGTTGTGACTTCTTACGATATCTGCCGGAATGACAACGACGTGCTCAATCCGATTACCTGGAACTACTGTGTTCTGGATGAGGGTCACTTGATCAAAAATCCCAAGGCGAAGGTTACGTTGGCGCTGAAGCGTCTTACGAGCAACCACCGTTTGGTTCTTTCCGGAACTCCGATCCAGAACAATGTCTTGGAATTGTGGTCGCTGTTCGATTTCCTGATGCCTGGGTTCTTGGGAACCGAGAAGGTCTTCTTGGAGCGGTTCGCGAAGCCTATTTCTGCCAGTCGTTTCAGCAAATCGTCCTCCAAGGAACAAGAGGCTGGAGCGCTGGCAATCGAAGCCCTCCACAAGCAAGTCCTTCCGTTCTTACTCCGTCGTCTGAAGGAGGAAGTCCTGAACGATCTACCTCCCAAGATCATCCAGAACTACTACTGCGACCCCAGTGAACTCCAAAAGAGACTCTTCGAAGACTTCACAAAGAAAGAACAAAGGGAACTCCAGCAAAAGGTCGGCAGCTCTGAAAAGAACGACAAGGAACACATCTTCCAAGCCCTGCAGTACATGCGCCGTCTCTGCAACTCTCCCGCTCTAGTCGTCAAAGAAGGCCACAAGCAATACAACGAAGTCCAAACCTACCTCAACAAGAAACAATCCCAAATCCGCGACGTCTCCCACGCCCCCAAACTCGCTGCCCTCCGTGATTTACTTACCGACTGCGGCATCGGCATCAACCCACCCACAGAAGGCGAACTCAGCACCGGCGCCAGCTACGTCAGCCCGCACCGCGCTCTCGTCTTCTGCCAGATGAAAGAAATGCTGGACATAGTGCAGAGCGAAGTCTTCCGCAAACTCCTCCCATCCGTGCAATACCTCCGTTTGGACGGTAGTGTCGAGGCCACGAAGCGCCAGGACATCGTGAACAAGTTCAACTCGGATCCTAGTTACGATGTGCTGCTGTTGACGACGAGCGTTGGTGGACTGGGATTGAACCTGACGGGCGCTGATACGGTGATTTTTGTGGAACATGATTGGAATCCGCAGAAGGATATCCAGGCCATGGACCGTGCGCATCGTATCGGTCAGAAGAAGGTCGTCAATGTCTACCGGTTGATTACTCGTGGTACCCTCGAGGAGAAGATTTTGAAGTACGCCCTTTCCCCCCTCCGATCATTAAATCCCAAACTAACAATAATAACAGTTTACAACGCTTCAAAATCGACGTCGCCTCCACAGTCGTCAATCAACAAAACGCCGGCCTCGGCTCCATGGACACAGACCAACTCCTCGACCTCTTCAACCTCGGCGAAACAGCCGACCACGCCGAGAAGCCCTCCGCAGACACAACCACCACAGCGGCAGGCAACGAAGTCGACATGGTTGATATTGACGGCGAGGTTAAAGAGAAGGGGAAGAAGGGGTGGTTGGATGATTTGGGCGAGTTGTGGGATGAGAGGCAGTACCAGGAGGAGTATAATTTGGATTCGTTTTTGGCGAGTATGAAGGGGTGACCTACTCTTCGAGTGAGTGGATGGGTTGAGCGAGGTGTTTGAGTTGAGAGGAATGGATGGGAAATAGAGGAAGAAAAAAGAAATGATGTTTATGAAACGAATTGAGCTAATTCTAATACAGCCCCGAGTGGTGAGCGAGGGCAGGGGAACAGAACTACCAAAAAAAAAAAAAAAAAAAAAGACAAGAGATGGAGATGAAATGAATGTATGCCTTTGCGATGCTTTTTTTTGCTTTATCACAGTGTATTTTTACTCCTTTTTCTTTTCCTTCCTATTTTGTACATAGGATTCCAGATTCTACGAAGATTGTTTGGGTTGGTTAGTTTTCGATGGGTTCGAGAGTTCTGAATGGAATGGAATGTATTCTACTTCCTTTCATTTACTCTTCTTTGGTCTGATTAAGTTGGATTTGGTGTTGGTGTTGGTGTAGCCATGTGCCAAAATAGCCAACAAATAGAACTTATGTCAAAATCATCCATTCAATGATTCAATAAAAAACCCCAATTCAATTCATCATACTCTGACATGCACAAGTGGTTATCATGATTTCAATGCCGACTCGACTCGATTGACAGTAGACGATCGAGGACCGACATCCAAGAACGGACAAGAACAAAACATAAAACAGGAAAATTCGAGTGGAAAAAGGTGAGAAAAGGGAAAGAAAAACGCCATCATCCCGCATATCGGACGATATGATCCATCCAAGCGCCTGTAGTTTCAAAAGAAGAATGTGAGAAGAAAAAAGGAAAAAAAAAAAAAAAAAAAAAGAAACGAAATGGTGATAGATACAAGAAAACACAACCAGTTCAACCAAATTTGCCGACTGACTGTGGTGTGAGATGACCAACGCGTCTCAGAAATGTGTTAAAATCTATGTGCAACTCCATAAATGCAATCATGAGTATCGAATCAACGATGCTTCGGCTGCGCCAACATATTCAACCGACTACTCGTCATAAACCGATTCTTCTGGACGCTACCAGGTGTACCAGTAGCAGTGCCAGTACGGCTCATACCTCCAGGAGTGCCGCTGGGACGGCTAACCTTACCCGCAGAGCGCAACGGCGTACCGGTACGGACCTTGACAGGGCTAGGTGTCGGGGGTTCATGGCGCTTGACAGGTGTGTTGGATTTGACGCGCTTTGCGCTGCGTTCGTCGGATGTGTTTATGTTTGTGGTTGATTCGGCGGGAGGGACGTTCTCGGTGTTTGCCTCTGCCTCGTCGGGTTCCACGCGGTGACGCTTTTTGTTGTTGATGCCGTGCATCACGCCCGGGACTTCTGGCATCAGGGACTCGTCTTCGGTGACGGTTGAGGGGCGGACGGGCCGGATTGAGGGCGTTCCAGGGTTTGAAGTGGTGGCCTTTTCTGGGGTTAAGGCTGGCAGGGTGGGGTAGGTGATGTCCGAAGCGGGACGTGTGGATGTCGGAAGCTTAGATGGGGATGGCGACGCGGGAGGCAGGTCGTTGGGAGATTTGACGCTGGGCGAGAAACCGACGCGTTTCCTGGGCGAAGGCGTCTGCGCGACATCGTCCTTTTCATCCCCACCGTGGACACCGTTGAACAGGAGATCAGGAGTAAAGTCCGGCGCCGCAGAGTGCGTTCCAGCAGCGATCTTGGCGGGGTCTTTCGAGAACAAAGGCTCACGACGACGGAGGATCGACTTGAGATTGGCAAAGCTGGGAAGGTTGGTCTTGAGGCGCGGGTTGAACTCGGTCTGGGGAGTGCGCGGGGCAGCCATAGGTTTGCTGACGGGAGACTGCGTCGGTGCCGGGATCATCGATGGCTTCTTGGGCGGCTTGACGCTAGCAGATGACGCACGAGCCATCGAGGATCTGGTGGGGGTCAACAAAGAGCTGCGGACTGCGGTACGGCGCCGCAAAGGATCGATCGTGCGTCTGGGAGTGGTGGCGGGCGCAGCGGCCGGTGCAGTAGTAGCCAGGGCATCACTCTCCTTGGACGGGCGACGAGTAGAAGCATCATCAGTCTTGTCATGCTTGACGCGCTTGGCACCAGCCACAGGAGCCGGCGAATGCCTGACAGGCGTAGCTTTCGACGGCGTAGCCTTGGACGGCGAGTTGTTCTGACTCTCAGGCTCATCAAGACGCGCCTTGGACTTGGTCCTTTTCAGCGTCTGAGTAGCATCCACCGGCTTAAACCGACCTGGCGCAGCTCTGAATGCAGAAGGATGACCAGCAATAGAATCCATCTTCTTAAACTCGGCCATGTGAGCATTACTAAACCGAGTCGCTCTGCCCTTCGGCTGCGCGATCCTCCTATCACTCTCACGCGTGTTGTCTTCAGATTTCTCCTGCGACTGCTTGTCCTGGATCATCTGCGCCTTGATCCTCGCCACATCCTCCCTCACACTCTCCATCAGCTTCTTCGCCTCACCACTAAGCTCCGACTCCTGGCACCCAAACTTGAACTCGAATCCGGGCGTGCCGTACTGGCTAGCCGGGGAACCCTTCGCCTTGGCTTTGGTAGGTGTATTCTCACCAACAGTATCCTTGACAACCTTTCCATTCGCGTCTTTCTTGACCGGGTTGAAGCCAAGGATTAATCCGGAGTCGACCTTTTTGGCGGTGCTTTGGTGCACCTTGCTTGGATGCATTTCGCCCATTGGGGGACGCGTGGCGGCGGTGCTCGTGGGGGTTTTGTTTTCCGTGGGTTTCTTTTCGGATTTGGGAGTTTTGTTTGGTGTTTTGTTCATGGTAGAGTTGCGAACTGGCGTCTTTTGGACGGTGGGTTCAGTGGGTTGAGGTTCGTCGTGTTCCATGACGGGGGGTAGTTTCGTCTCGTTGGTGGTGGTGGTGGTGTTCGTGTTCGTGTTGTTGTTTTCGTTGTTTTGAGGTGCTTCAGGCTGAGGCTCAGGTTCCTGTAGAATAAGGAGACGCGATCAGTAAAGATAGAGGATGTTGAATGTCACAAGCAAGAGAAGGTCAACGAGTCTATGACATGGTGGGAGTGTGATATTCCTGATTACTCACCTCGGAAGACCTGGCGCGTAAGCGGGCAGAACGGCGGACCGCCATATTGGATATTAAGCAGAAAACTCTTCTTGTGGTGTACTGTACAGAGTAGAGGGGAGTGATTCACTGTGTTGTGGGAGACCGAAAAGGGAGGCGAGTATAAACAAACCCTGAACACGGTAGGCGGTGAGCGGTGATGTCAGCTACACCAAGTAAGTAAGTAACTAACTAGTTAGGGCATTAACTATGACTTCAACTCCTACGAGAAATGAGGGGATATGACAGTCTTGAATTCTATGGGTAATGTGGCAGCTAAAGCCTAAAGACCAAACGGATATGTCTCTCCCTTCCCCAACGGCGTCGCCGGCTGAATCCTCTCCAATTCGCGCACCGCCTGCGTCCGATCAAACCACACAAACGCATCAAACTGATTCTGCAAAAACGCCTGCGAATAATGCGAAATCCGCTCTGTATCCGGCCGATAAATCACCCCAATAAACCTCTCTAACCGTAACGTCTCTGCCTCCATCGCCTCCCTCAGCGCGGGGTCGATCTTGTCTTCCCTAAGATCAAGAACGAAGCTGGGGATACCGGTTTGATGCGCGAGCATTTCCCAGGAGTCATTGCGGGAGGGTCGCACGTCCATGACTTCCATGTCGTCGTCCCATTCGTGCGCGGCGGCGACGGTACCAGTGTGTGTCCCGCAGCCTAGAATGGCAACATGCTCGCGGCCGAAGTTCTCACGGCATAACTGCCCGATGTTCAGCTCGTTGCGGCGTGATCCCATGGATGTATATCGTGCGTCGCCGACGTGCGAGTTGTGCGCCCAGACAATCGCCTTGCCCGTGGGATTATGTTGGAACAGCCGACGCAGTGTATCAAACATATGCGTATCGCGCAACGTCCAGCTAGTCGCGGAGCTATAATACATAGCCTTATAATACCGCTCCGCATCACGCACAAGATACGCATTCTGCTCGCCGCTATGAAACTCATCGCCATCCCGCTCCGCACTCTCCCTCGCATACTGCACCCGTCTCTCAATAATCTCCCTCAACATCGTCATAACCTGCCCCTCGCAATTCTGCAACCCGCGTAACGAAGCCAGTCCATACGCCGTCGGATCATCAACCCACGGCTGCAAACACCCATACCGACTCCGCGCATCCTTCCCCGCCTGCGGATCAACATGATCCAAATAATCAATCACAGCCCTTATCGACGCCCCCATACTATACAAATCCAGCCCATAAAACCCCGCCTTCTGGCTAGCCGGCAACTTCGAGTTCCGATCCCGCATCCACTCACATAGATCTTGCATCTCGCGGTTTCGCCACATCCACGTCGGGAAGCGGTTGAACGGCTCGTAGTCTGTTGTATGGCCGCCGACGCCTGCTTTGGGACCGGGTCGTTGGCGGACGTAGCGGTCGACGGCTTCGGCGTCGGGCCAGTCGGCTTCCACGGCGACCATTGTGTAGCCGTGTTGGGAGATGAGGCGTTTTGTGATTTCCGCGCGCGCGGAGTAGAATTCCGATGTGCCGTGGCTGCCGTCGCCTAGTAAAAGAACCTTGTACTTTGCAAAATCATCGAAATGAGATGCGAAGCCGGGATCACTGATGGCGGGTAGTGGCTTCGCAGATGCAGTAAAAAGTTGCTGGAGTTGGGCCATGCTTGTGGTGAATGTAGAGAGTCTGGATAAGCGGAAGGGGAGGGGCATTGATTGACTATTATAAAATGAAAATGAGTAGGTGGGGACGTAGGTACGGGCATTATATCGCCGTAAAAACAATGAGATCACGCATCCGTCAATCGCGCCAATCGCCCCCGGAGTCATGATGACTTCAGTGCCTCTTTAACCCTGTACATAGGTACCACAACAATAAAAAAGCATGTTCCTCTCCAATCCACTAAAACTCAAACCCCTATCTACAATCATCCCCTACACTTACACCCGATACAGCTTGTACACAACCAAAATGGGAACCCCAATCCACTCCCCCTCCCCCCGCCTCGACCGCTTCCAACAATCCCTCGAATCCGTCTACGGCCCCTTCACCAGCATCCCGGACCCGAATGCCTGGACACCACCGCGCAAATCCGGCGGCCACAACGGCCGCTATCTCTGGACAGATGCCTACGGCGTGCTGAACCTGCTCACTATGCATCGCGAGTACACGAATACGCTGGATCTCACGGCGAATACGTCTGAGACGGAGAAAAATCGGTATCTTGTTATGGCGGAGCGGTTGGTTGAGACTGTACATGATGTTCTGGGGAAGACGAGGGATGGGAGGAGACGATTGCCTGGGGCGAGCGAGGAGAATGTTGTTGGTGGGGGTTTGCGGATTGGGAAGGAAGAGGAGGGTGGGATGGATGGGGATGGGCAGTATCATCATTATTTGACGGTGTGGATGTTCGCTTTGAACAGAGTATCCATGGCGACTGGTGACCCTAAGTATAACCGCCAAGCCGTGTCGCTAGCGAAAGCGATTCATCCACGATTCTTCGTGAATCGGGAATCTAGCCGGCCGCGGATGGTATGGAAGATGGCGATGGATTTGTCAGTGCCGTTGGTGCAGTCGGAGGGGAATCTGGATCCGATTGATGGGTTTGTTGTGTTTAGGCTGTTGCAGGCTGCTGCTGTTAGGTTAGAGGGAGCAGCTGGAGAGGGGGTGTTGAGTGAGGAGATTGATGACTATCGGAGGGTTATGGCGCGGAAGGGGGAGCATTTTGTGTCGAGTGATCCGTTGGATTTGGGGATGACGCTTTGGACTGTGCATTGGTTTTCGGAGAGGGAGGAGTGGGCGGCTAGACTTGCTGGACGGTGTTTTGAGCAGCTTTGTACGCTTTCCCCTTCCTTTTCTTTTTTCTTTCGGTCATGTCTCATGCTAAAGTAGACGACCTCTTCGAAATAAACCGGTACCTAGAACGAAACGTCAAATACCGCCTGGCCTTCCGCGAATTCGGCACTAGTCTGGGCGCACAGTGCCAGTCGCAGCAATCCACCGAGAAAGACCGCGCCGTTGATCTGAAGAACTATGCTGATGCGATTATCACCGCGTGGGATCCATATATGGAGTTGACGATGTCGTCGGATTTGATGCATGATGATTTAAGGCCGATTACGAGGGTTATGTATGCCACTGCTTTGATGCCGGGGGGTGAGTATCTTTCTTTCCATTGAGAAAATTGAGTTAGTATGATGCTGACGATGCAGCTTTTCAATATGGGTATTTTGGTATGGAGCCTAGGTCGACACTCGAGAAATAACAATTGATTATGTTGCATGCTTATTGTACACGTAGGACAGAGACGGTAACTGTATGTATAGGGTTCCTTAACAGACATTAGCATGTGCACAGCACCCATTCCTGGGGAAAACTCACCTTATGTATGCTCAAACACCCGGCATGCCCACAACATCCCTCCACGCCGGCACCTTTCTCGGCAGGAAATAAATCGCATAAAGCGTACCCAACGCAATTGTCAATCCAGACCACTGTCCAGTTAGCCCACATCACACCAATAAAACACAGTAAACAAAGACAAACCTTCTCCAACCACGTATGAAACCAAATCGCCGTCATAAACAACATCCACCACCCCAAACCCGCAACAGCAAGTACAAACCTCAACGCCCAAACGCGTCCTTTCTCACCCTCACCCTCATCTTTCTCATTCCCCTCTTCACCGGCAGAAAATGAAAGTGCCTTGCAAATCGCATCACCGGCAATCCCCACCCCCTCACAAACAAGAACCCCCGTCACAATAACCAACATAAAAACATGCCCACTAACATCATGACCCCCCGCCCATTTCCCCCCAGCAGCCTTACAAGCTGCCGCCGTAAATGCAGTCTCCAACGCCGCGACTTCTCCCGCCCCCGTAGCCGCCTGTGCAGCACCCGCGACACCACTAACGACGCGCTCACAGCTACCGCCCGTAATCACAAAACTGCGATCGATTACCGGGGCCCCGAAGAACCATTGTGTCATTAGGTACCATGCTGTTGTTGCGAGGGTGTAGCGTGCAATTGCCTGGGTGAGGCGTCTCGAGGAAGTAACTTTGTTACGGTAGACAGGTTGCGAGATGAGTAGTGATGCGAACGCGAGGGTGAGCCATAGCCAGCCGATCTTCACGAAATACACATTGAAGACGTTGTCCTTCCGCGCGAAGTAGTTCACCGGGCTTTCCGGGGGCGAAGAGAGGTTTATGTCTGTTGCGATCGAGGGGGCTAGGGGCGCGGGATGGGCGTGCGGGGACTGGGCAGTCGGTGAGATGGAGGAGTAGAGGGAGCCGATTAGGAGGGTTATTGGGTAGATTATGAGGGCGACTGGGGGGATTTGGTGGGAGGAGGCATGTGTTTTTGGTGGTGCTGGCGTTGTTGGTGTGGAAGGGGGTGATTTGTCGCGGGTGCTCATTGTTGCTATTTCGTTTGTTTGGGTACGCGTGTTATTCTCTATTTCGAATGAGAGAATTGAGTAGAGAGTTCATATGAGAATTGAATGAGTTGGTGTATACAAGAGGATACAAGAGTGTACAAGAATTGGTGATTTTATCGGTTGGCGGAGTGACGTTCTTTTCCAGGTTGTGCTTCGGCCGGGAAAATGACGTCGCCGACAGCATGTGCAAATACAACCAATCTATAAATAGGAGTACATATATAAGTTTCAATAAACACCCTATTCATGATTTACGGTGTTGAGATATTATGAAAACAATCTACAAGAATACCTTCACCACTGTGATAGGTGACAGGACACACTGACCAAGAACCTGGTCATTGGGCGCAACTGGCACCAGCAAGGAAAACGGACGACGGGGCGATTCATAGTCCGATGGGGTGATTGAAAGCCGAGGATATTCAGCATCAATACTAGTTAGTTCGGGATGTTCACTAATCAATTATGCTGCTGATGTGCTGTTTCAGATAGAAGGTACATAAGAAGGTTGCAGAATCCAACTACTTACTACTTAATATCCAGTGTGCCGAAGAGCACAACGTTGACTCTGGTGGAAGTGTTTGCTACGAACAATGTCTTTTCTCTTTGCCAAGGGCCATGCCTTCAACCCTGAAAAGGACATCCCAGACCTAGATGGGAAGATCATCCTAGTGACCGGAGGCAACAACGACCCTCGGTAAAGAATGTATAACCTAGTTGGCCAAACACAACCCAACAAGGATATACATGGGTGCTCGCAGCGTCCAGAAAGCCGAAGAAGCGGTTCTCGACATCAAAAAAGAAGCCCCCTCCGCGCATATCGTCTTTCTCGAAATAGACCTTGCGCCTTTATCAAATCTGCGGCAGACGCTTTCCTGTCTGAAAACGACCGTCTCGATATCTTCATCAAATAACGCCCGTGTCTTTGCCACTCCACCGGGCTTGACCACGGACGGTTACGAGATCCAATTCGGCACCAATTACATGGGCCCAGCACTGCTTACTCGGCTGCTTTTGCCGGTGCTCGATAAAACAGCCAGTACTATCCCCAGAAGCGACGTTCGGATCGTAAACGTTAATTCCGAGATGTATCGATGGCCTCCAAAGGGCGGTCTTCTTAGTCAGATCAAGACACCACTTACCGAAATCAGCACCACGACGCGTTACACCCAGTCGAAACTCGCTAATATATACTTGGCCAAGTCCTATGCCAAACGATATCCTCACATCAAATCTGTTGCGCTCCACCCGGGACTTGTGCAGACGAACATTGGCGGTGGGATGGTAGCGAACCCGATTTTATCGTTCATTTTCAACCAGATCCTCACGAGAACAGCGTCGGTTGATGTTCCTACAGGTGCGCTGAATCAGATTTGGGCGAGTTCCGCTCATTCTGATGAGGTCAAAAGCGGTGCATACTATATTCCGTTTTTTTCAAGGAGGCAGACAGAATGGACATGATATACCAGACGGAGATTGCCGATGTGGGAAAGCAACCCAGACGGTACGACATGTACTCCTCGCCTGCCTTCTCTTCAAAGGCCTACGGGAGGAGATCTTCGGGAGAAGGAGCAGAGGACCGGAAGGGGAAGGGAGTATAAAGACGGTCCTGAACACGCCTAAGCTCGCAATCCGTGCAGCCAAATTCATGTTACGAACCGGGCTCCTTGGGCAATTCGGAGCCGTGTACAGTGAGGAAATAGATCAGACAGAGCACTGAGGTCTTTGGGTAAACAGCAGCCAAAGAGGGCCCGGGGAGCCCGGATTCTCACGACTCCGAGCGGAGCCAGGCCCTCGATTTAAACAAGCACCATAGGTGTACATATTTACGTGCCCAGGGACAGTTTGAGACAACCGTCTTCTGCGCGCGGAGATAGTGCATTCCAGTCTCCATATTATCTAATACTATCCAAAGCCGGTTATGTACAATGTAGTCAAGGTATGCGGCATATTTCCACTCCATCACAGAACCCTTTTCCAAACATTCCTTACCAGGAAAAAGACACTTTACCAGTCACAACTACCCACAACCAGGGATTACCTTCAATAAAACCCACAACCTGTCAACATTCACAACCCTTTCCAACCATCCTAAAGTCTTGGAACAAACAGTCACCAGGGACAGAGGGCCATAAATGAAGATTTTGCACCTGGCACACCACTACACAATCCACAAAGACAAATCAATGAAAAATACAGAATCCATGCGCATTGATCGCAAATGGATGAGGTCCCAATCAACAGTGAAACTGTAGAAAGGCAGATGCACAGATACTTGTTTCAGATATTGAACCACCAGAAAATAATCAATGTGTGAATGACCACTATATTTGGCAACCATCAGCACCTGACAATATCTTTGTCCATAGGACAAAAACATCACAGTATTATAGCAATAGGACATCCAGTTTCTGTCAAAGATTAGCCAAACAAAACAGAGCAGAGATGGGAGCAGTCTTTATGCTCATACAGGAACAACATTCTGGATAGTATTCGTATTCCCAGTGATCCTTCTTATGTGACGGCTCAACGCCAGACAAACAGCGCCAACATGTCAAACGACGCCATACAAGCAATATGGGTAAACAAGGGCTTAAGCCGCACCACACAAATGTCTATAAAGACCGTTCATCGCCTAGATAGATTTTCTTTTTCTTCTTCTTCCCCAGATTCGATATTCTCGTCGATGGCTACAATAGTCTAGATAGGAATTCAATTCATTAATATCTACTATTCCGAGCCCGTGACATCTTGCATGCCAGCAGGGGTCATACAAAGTGTCACGGGCTCGGAATAGTAGATATTAATGAATTGAATTCCTATCTAGACTATTGTAGCCATCGACGAGAATATCGAATCTGGGGGAAAAAGAGAAGAGGAAATCTATATAGAGGAAGAAGGGGTTTTATAGGCGTTTGTTTGACATCACTAATGTCTTGTCTGGCGTGTTGGTGTCGTTTGTCTGTCAGTTGTTGACGCAGCGTTGAGCCGTCACACAAAGGGTCACTGATAGTCTGTTATGGAGCCCTTGCTGGTTGTGTTCCGTGCTGGCCTTGGCCAAACTGTCATCCCTTGGGTTCGTATGAGAACCCCATAACAGAGGTCAGTTTTCTTCCAGACTTCCACGATGATGATGGCAACGTGTCAGGTGTACCCATGGGCCATGACAGTTCTATCAGGAGATTTATGTATCATAAATAGAGAGATATTTAGACATATGAATTTGACAAGGTTATAAGAGATAAAAAGAGTGAGATAGTAGAAGTTGGCAAGGAGAGAATGAGAGGATGGAGAGGATGAAGAGAGAAGAAGAGGATGAGGAAAAAGAAATTGATGAGGGGCAGGCCATCTTGTTGAGCTGGTGTATCAGATAATGAAAGAAATGATGGTCAAAGGATGTTTGACTGTCAAGGTTCTAGAGATTTCTTTGAGCTGAATGAAGTGTTCTTTGTGTCTTGGAGTTGTGCCAAGGATGTTGCCAATGATAACAGGCAGGTTGTCACTGTGTCAGTCTACAGTGTGCCAGTCAGTTCAAGAACCAGTCAGAGACCCAGAGCTTGTTATCATTCAGTTGCCAGTATGGTACTAGATGGATATATGCTAGTTGAGAGAATGTGATAATGATAGTGGTTAACTATAGTCCTGTATTGTTCGGATGCCAGGCGTTTGGATACTGCTGCCTACCAGAGCCAATCATTGGTCACCGCCGACAACCTCGCACAAGTTCCGCAACTACTATCTGAAACCGAAGCCAACCTGGGAATACCAAGCCCGCCGGGCCCCTAAGTATATTGGGCTGTTTCACCCAAGAGAAAAAGCAACCGTACAAGTGTTTTCATGTTGCTCGACTTTGCAGCTCTTGTGCACCAGCGTTGCATACTTGTTTCTCCTCTTCCCGGCGCTGTCGTTGTCGTCGCCAGTCGTGGCCCCATTGCCAGACCATCATCAGAACCGGCGCACACAGGAAACAGATAAATCCAATCACGGTGAAGGCCCAACCACGACCAATACCTTCGATCATGGGCAAAATGATGGCCGTCGCGCCCGCCCCAAGCCAGCATCGCGTGAGGTTGTTGGCAGCTGTCGCGGTGGCCGGACTCTCCTGGTAGATGTCGACCATCAGGACACTCAGGATGTTGAACGTAGCCGAAGAGGTGTACCCAATGAAAAAGAGCAGGATCAGGGGTCCCGCGAGGTTGGTCTGGTAGTGCAACACCCAGCCGTAGACGATCATGCACAGGCCCTCCAGGATGACCAGCGGGAGGACGACTTCGATGCGGGCGCGTTCGACAGGAAACTCGGACAGGTCCTGTCGGCGGTTTGTGGAGATGATGAAGCCCTGATGGCGGGCATGTCGTTGGTAATTCCAATCCGCCAGGCGGCCCTGGGTGTAGGCGGCCACTAGGCTACCAACGCCAACGGGGATGAAACAGAGGCCAATCTGGACGTCGTTGAAGCCGTACATGGCTTTGAATTGAGAGGTGACGCTAGTGGAGACGGCGTAGTAGCTGCCAAAGACAAGGCTGTTGCCAGTAAGGATGAGGAAGACCTCCTTGTCAAAGATGATAAACAACGTCATGAACGGGTTGGGGAAATGGATGCGCATCTTCACTGGTCGCGGCTCCTCATCTGACTGGCGTCGCGAGCAGAAGAACTGCTGCAGGGACATGTTCCAGAGCGGAGGCGGGCGAGAGCCATTGCCCACGATGTTCCGGGCGGTTTCAGGGAGAAAGAGCAGCAAGGGAAGGAAGAAGGCGCCGGCAAAGATCGTCAGGAACCAGAAGATTGAGGGCCAGTCCAGGAATTGGGTCAACAACCCACCGATGATGGGTCCGAGCGAAGGCCCAAGGATCCCTCCGGCGGACGCGTATCCAATATAAACACCGCGTTCAGCAGCGGTCACCACATCGGCGACGATTGCATTGGCCAGGGCAACAGTGCTGCTGCTCCCCGTGCTCTGCAGGCAGCGAAGGATGAGGAGGGCCGCATAGTTGCGCTGGAGGGCGAGCCCGATGTTGGCAGCGATATAGACGACAAAGCAAATGATGTACGCGGGCCGCCGACCCGCGCTGTCCGCTAAGCCTCCAAAGATAGCCGGGGCCAGTCCTTGGAAGATCTGAAAGACAGATCATTAGTTTTCTAAACTTCGTTTATCCTCTCATACAGATTCCACGCACCATATAAGTCGTCACGGTCAGATTAATCAACGTGTTGCTCACATGCAGCTGGTCGGCCAAGGTGTTCAGCGCTGGGAGATAGATGTTGGCGGACAGTGGGGAGAAGAAGCCGGCAATGGATGCAGTAACCACAATCAAGATTTTGGCCTTGCTTTCGTAGATAGAATAGACCTCACCCGAGTCACCCTGAGGCTGTTGTTCTGGCGTGGACGAGGCCCGATTCTTGGAAGGCGAATTTGGAGCATTGTTTTCACTCGTGAGTTCTGCGGCCATTTAGGATATAGAAGAAGAAGGAGATGAAAAAGAATCGAATTCTGAACTGACTGGAAATCTTGAAGCACAGAAAACAAAGACCAAAGGATTTAACGCGAGAAATTGAGATAGTTAGAGGACCCTATTAGTAATGGATGCCTATCACTTAGATCCAAACGATAGCTTTCAATGATCTTATAACTAATGGAATATTAATGGAGTATTACGCGTCTCCACAATTGTCAACAAAAAGTACAAATGCGTTCGTGGTGTAGATAAGTACGCCGTACTGCTCTTGTTTGGCTATAAAAAGGTCTGGCATGATATATGATTTTACCAACACTCACAATATCAAGTGCTTACTACACCATGAAACTCTTCTCCCTCGTAGCCCCCTGTCTGCTGCTCTCCGGGCTATCATCTGCAACCAACCATACCACCTGCTCCTACCCCTCCAAGGACACCATCAAGTCCGTCTTCTCCCACATCGTCTCCGGTGACTACCCAGCTTTCTTCACGCATGTTGTCGACACCGTCGATTGGGACATCCAGGGCACCCACCCACTCGCAGGCCGGTACCTGAACAAAACCCTCTTTGCGGTTAACGCATTGGCCCGGCTGTCCAAAATCCAGGACAACACCGCTCCTCATGAGACCACCCTGATCAACGTTGTAGGCGGCTGCGACGAGGAGTGGAGCATGCAAGAGATGGTTGCCACCGCTGTTTTTCAGAATGGTACGTTTGAAAACATACATATGATTTCTCATATATTTTTTTTTTCTTTTACCCCCCCAAAGACTGACCAAAAAAAGGCTTTCATTGGACCAACAACTATGCGTGGGTGACTCGGTGGAATTCCGCTAGCAAGATCGTCCAGGTGCGCGCGTATCTGGACTCGGCGCTGGTGGGAAAGGCGATCAAGGAGAACGAGGTCACTACGAACTCGACCTTTAGTACGATGCGGGATACTTATGAGCCAGGGCCGGGGGGAATACCGAATATGACGGCTATTTTGGGGTATGAAATTTGAACATGGGAGCGAAGGTAGTCATCAAATCATATGCAGATGTTTTCTTTGCTTGTATTCTGTAGCATTAAAAAAGAAGCAAAAAAGGGGGCCAGGGTTACTGTGCGTTGGGAATACTGATACCCATATGACCATTTATCGGATCAAAATACACATTTACCATGGATTATGAACATTCAATCGTTGTACCATGTATGCTCCATTGTTTCCCTCCTAGAATCCTTCACTTACTCTAGCTATAAAGCTCAACTAGACAGTGCCTTATTATACCTCAGACAAACGCACTAGAACTTACGATGAGACAACTTCACCATCAATGGCTTCATCTCCCAGAGCAAATGAGCATTCTGCTCATTCCACTTTGCACTCTGAGGTGCCAGTTCCAAATCAAAATGCCACAGCAACTTGCATAGAATAACACGAATTTGCAAGTAGGCGAAGCTGGATTCCCCCGTAGCATTCGCGTTAGTAATCGAAGAGAGAGAGAGAGAGAGAGAGAGAAAACCGACGAGCACGTACTTTTTGCCCAGGCAGTTCCGCGGACCCATCGAAAACGGCTGCACTGAAGCCTTAACGTCTCCAGTGTATTCTTTTGGTGCATCACCTAGCCAGCGCTCCGGGATGAACTGGTCCGGATTGTGGAAGTTGGCGGAAGACTGGTATGTTGCAAACTGGTGGGTTCCAACTGAGACCTGGAGAGGAAAAGAAGAAAATTAGTATTTGCGTGATGTATATATGTAGGGGAGGGGGCAGAGAGAGAAATAGTACATTCTCTGGAACAAAATGCCCATCAATCACCGCTCCGCCTTTGCCGGTGCGACGGGGAAACCGTGAGGGAACGGGCGGGTATAGACGCAAGGCCTCTTCGATTACAGCACGTAAGTATGGCAGCTGCTGAGCACGGTGATTGGTGATCTCGTCCGCAGAAGAAAAGGCGTTCCGGACCTCAGCCTGCAGACAGGCGAGGGCGGCCTGGTTACGGAGCAGGTTGAATGTTGCTCCACTGAGGCCAGCAGCGGTAGGCTCGGAGCCAGCTGTGACAAGGAGGATGAGGGTTTGCGCGATCTCGGGACGACTCATTCCCTTGCCGACGCTGTTGCGTTGAAGAATCTATGGATAGGGGTCAGGGGAGAACAGAAATGCAAAATAAAAACAAGGCATCCTTACTGACCGGAGTGACAATATCTTTCCGAGGAGTTGATTCATCCAGCCTACGTTGCGTTTTTTCCTGCGTGATCTGCATGTGCTTCTCACGCGAGACATTGACCATCGCCGAGCCGCTGGATATCCACTTGAGAAGGTGAACGATGCCAGCCAACACGGGATATCGTCTCTGCATGCGGACAAATCGGCCGTTCTTGATACCGTTCAGCACGCTAACCATCCAGGGGTCATACTTCCCTGTCTGAAGCGCGTTAAATGGCTCTGAGAAGCACAGGTCGCCGATTGTGTCGAAAGTCGTGAAGATGTACCAGGACATCAGATCAACCAGACCGTCTTCGGGACCGTCGACACTCTTTTTGAGCTGTTTCATCAAGAGATCAATGTAGCTAACCATAAGCGGTTCCTGATTGCGCAGTGCCAAGTCGGAGAAGGCGTAAATGACCAACTTGCGGATGCGTGCATGATCTTGACAATTGGAAACTGTCATGGTCAGCACACACCATCTCTCTCCACCATCTTTTTAATATACACACCTAAGATACTAGGAAGACCGTTGGTGCTTTGGGTGAAGAAGTGCATGTCTTTGGAAATTTCCGGTTTTCCAGGCTTGACGGTATATATATCTAAGGAAAGCAAACCCATTAGCAAATAAAATCGTGATCGATCCCCCAAAAAAGGGAAGCTCATGAGCTGCTCACCTCTCCAGGACTGCGCCGTGTTGAAAGACAGTGAGTCTGGGCTGATCCGCACCACCGGGCCGTACTTATCATGAAGCAATTTGGCATTCTTGACCTGGTAACCACGAATTTCTTCCAGATAGTTGATCAGATGCACGGCGGACCGGAGAGGTGGGCCAGGGAATCCGGACAGAGGATGTAGGAAAACGTTGTAGATGGTCTTAGAAACGACCACCACAATAGTCTGCTCTGAGAGGTCAGCTTCTAGAGCTATCACCCCTTCCAGATGAATGGATAGATGAATGGATACAGACCATCACGACAACAACAGCCATGATGGCCGTTGGGTTCCCAACCGCGTACCAAGGGGAGGGCTCCAGCATTCGAACAGACATGATAAGGATAGATCCAGGAAGTGATAATAGTAGGAGTAACTTTCAACTGTCGATGGTTAATCCTAAGGGTCGCCCAACACACGAGGGCGAGTAAACGAGTCTCTTTGTAACGGCGCTGGCAACCAACTAGGGCACAGTAGTAAGCCTATCGGCTGTCAACATGCGCCCTGGGTGGCGACCGTCACATCCACCACTTTCCCTTTTTCCTTTTTCAATTTTTCACAGAAAAAGAAAGAACCAATGCAAAAGCTGTGGAATGGTCTAAGTTTGCCCTGATGTACAGAGTAAACACCTATGCAGTCAGCTGCGGGGATGATCTAGATGGAAGTATGCAAATATGCCTGTGATTGCTGCGGTAAACTCGCTTTTTGCGGAAATGTATCCATATATCTCCATAAACACCTGAATACTTAAGATGCCCACCCCTCATTTTACTGACTGGTGGCTTTTCATACATTGGGTCTTTCACATTTCATCCAAGTGACCGTCAAATACGTCCATTATGCAAGGCTACCATTACCCCTGCTTCAATGTCACCTCTCCGATCCCCGACGTCTGCCTGGTACTGGTCCAGAGCGACCGAAAACTCAACACTTTCACCGAGGCGATGCGCCGTGATTTCCGGCGGCTTATCACCCGTCTGTCCGACGACTCACAAGTGCGTGCCATCGTTATCGCGGGGGCAGGGGACCACTTTACAGCGGGGCTAGACCTGCAGGAGGCCATGAAAGGGCCTATTCTCAGTGGAGTCGATCGCACTATCGATCCGGCCCGAAAGGCCCGAATAAACCGTGAGTACATTCTGGACTTTCAGGCCTGTGTGGATGTGGTCGAAAGATGTGTGAAACGTACGTGTTGTTCCTCCTCCCCCTCTTGAAGGATCAGGACCCTTGGCTGACAAGGGCATGTAAATGTGTGTTTGATTTCTAGCGGTAATTACTGCCCTGCATGGATTGTCCTACGGACTTGCTATAGACCTGGCTTGCTGCGCAGACATGCGTATCTGCGCCGCCAACACCCGGTTCTGTGTCAAGGAGATCGATATCGGGATTGCGGCCGACCTAGGCACGTTATCACGCCTGCCCCGAATGGTGGGCAATGCCAGTTTCGTACGAGACGTCTGTCTGACGGGCCGGGAGTTCTCCGCGCAGGAAGCGGCGCAAGTTGGATTTGTCAGCTATGTCGAAGAGACGAGGGAAAGAGCCATTGACCAGGCAGTCGAGATAGCCGGCCAAATCGCGCAGAAGAGCCCAGTGGCCATCCAGGGAACCAAAGACATCCTCAATCATGCGCGGGATCATCCGGTGGGCGAGAGTCTGCGGTATACTGCTGTGTGGAACGGGGCCGCGCTGCAGACGCAGGATGTTAAGGAAGCGATGCTGTCGTTCCGTCTCCGAAAGATGCCTACATTTGAAAAGCTGTGACCTGGTCTGTATTTAGAAATTCCAAGAGCAATATAAAAACCGGTCCATCGATTTCCAGACCATCCTTCAGTTGCATCTGTAGTCTGCCCGCTCCCTTTCTTGATCAGTGGATGGAGCAATAACAAAAGAAAGAAAATATACATAAATTCATAATGCCTCAATTGCGATTCCTTTGTCTCCACGGAGCTGGCACAAATACGGATGTAAGTGGGGAGGTTGATATCCCCTGGTCCTCGCATATTGATTCTCACGAACCAAAATCTCACTATGCAAACAAAAAAAAAAAAAAAGATCCTCCGTTCTCAGCTCGGCGCTTTATCCCGCGAATTAAGTAACGACCAGACGGCCGATTTGCATTTCCTTGAAGGAGGGGTTGACTCGCCTCCTGGCCCGGGCGTCCTGGGATACTACGACGGGCCCTACTTCAGTTGGTACAACTGGCCACCGGTACTGGGCAGCTCCGAAGATGCACAGTCCATCCGGGAGGCGTACGAGATGGTTGATGAAGTGATAGAGGAAGACGGCCCGTTTGACGGGGTGATAGGGTTCTCTCATGGTGGTGCTCTGGCCCATGGGTTGATGGTGCGCCACGAACTTCAACGACCGCATGACCCCCCTCTGTTCCGATGCGCTATTTTCTTCAACTCAATGCCGCCGCTGTTTCGGACAGACAAGGATGATGCGAATGGAGTTGCTGGGCCGTGCATAATTTACGATAAGCTGGCACTTCAGAATTCGGTATGCGGTGTGCTTTCGCTACACGTTGTGGGGCAGAAGGATTTTGCCTACGAGCATTCCATGGCGTTGTACAAGGACTGGGAGCCCAATTCTGCCATGCTGATTGTGCATGAGCGTGGTCATGTTATTCCTAGCGACGTGAAGACGGCACGGCTGATTGCTAAGGAAATCCGAGAGATGGCGGCTCGGCTGATGGGAGTGTAACCGACTAGGTATAGTAGCTATACAAGCGATACTTCTATAAAAATTGCGTGTTTATGTATGCTCTCAAATCAAGAATTGTATACTTTAGGATCCTTCAACTATATCTTTACCTAGTGTTGTTTTACTGCGTTACTACCACTATCACCATGGTCCATCCCAAGGCATCGGCCATCCGTCAAAGCGATAATATTCGTCACTGGTACACGAGGGAACTACTGCAAATACCTCCCAAAACACTTGATCTCTTGGTCAACTACTCCAAGATCCCCTTCGACCAGGTCCTGGATCATGTGTCGCGTATTGTAGGTATAATGAATGGATGATACCCTTGTGCAGCCTGCTCCCGTATTCCGGTCCTGTTACCAGTGTCAGCATCTCTGATCCTCATCCACACATCAAAACAGCGCGACGAAGCCTTCAAACTGTTCCCCTACCCTTGCATCGGCCAGTTCCGTTTTCTTAGCCTTCATCTGGCCTCCCACCCCCTCTACCCCTCCATACTGTATCGGCTGAAGCATGAATCTCACACCTTCCTCGACGCCGGCTGCTGCATGGGCCAAGAACTGCGCAAGCTCGCCATAGATGGCGCTCCCTACGCCGCCCTGCACGGCCTGGACGTCGTTCCGGCATTCTTCGATCTCGGCTACCGCCTCTTCCGCGACGAAACCCTCATGAAGCAGGGGGGTGCTGTGTTCCTCGCCGCGGACCTCCTGCACGACGAAGTGGCACCCCCGTCCGCCCTGGCGAAGAAGATCGACATCATCTTCGCCAACAGTTTGTTGCACCTTTTCCCATATGCGGAGCAGTTAATGGTTGCTGCGGGGCTGGCCCGGTGTTTGAGACCGCGACCCGGTAGTCTCATCATCGGGCGCCAGGTAGGTGCGGCCACGCCTGGGGAGTATCGTGGTCTCACGGACGGAACAACCACGTACCGGCACGACAAAGAGAGCTTCTGCCGGTTCTGGGAGGAGGTGGCGCTCCGGGTGGGGGGCGAGTGGAAAGTCGATGTGCGACTGGATTTGGAAGAGATCCAGCAGGGAGTGAATCAGGAGCAAATTTGGAGCGGGGAGAAGATGCGACGCTTACATTTTACTGTGGAGAGAATTTCATAAAGTACGATTGTATGTAGTTAACTGATCTTAATTCTTATTGGTGGTTGGATAGGTACTAATGAACTACGGATGTCTCCGATCGGAGCGAGTCATTCTCGGGTACCATTGGCCCATGGGTACAGTAATAGTAAGCACTAAGAATGGTTGCAGGGACGATCCTTCCGAAAAAATTGACGCTAAACTAGGTTCTCCGTAGACAAGAGGATTCACCAAAGCTTGTCAAAGCTTGTCAATGCTTGTCAAAGCTTAGCTGACAAGGGGGCCCGCTTTTCAACAGGACCAACATAAAGATGGGGCGGCCGATAGACCATAATCTCGGACACTAGGAGCCGATGCATGTTAGCTTCTTCCTGGTGGGAGAAGGAAAAAGATAGTAAACATACACATGGCGTTACGCCAGTGGCCCATCAACCCAGGTAGACGATGGATGATCATCATGAGTGGGATAAAGGACGGCGGCCAGCCCCTGTCATTCAGTTATGCAAATTAATGTATGCAGCACCAAATTAGGAAGGTAGGAAAGTCAAGACGTACATGGCCGTATAGAAGAATTGTCCGTACAGATCTGCATTCGCCTTCAAGCCGCGCGACACAAAATATTCATCTTGCGAGGCAACTCGGTCGATTTCCTGGGCCACTGCGAACAGTGGATTCGATTGTGCGTCCAGCATTTGCAGTAGCTTCTGGATGGGACGAATTCGTGGGTCGACAGTCTTGTAGCTCCGATGCCCGTAGCCAAAGAGTCGCCGCTTCCCCTGCTTCACCTCCTTGATCAGAGCGGGCACGCGGTCCGGGCTTCCGAGTTCAGTCATGACGCGGAAGGCAGATTCGGACGCCCCGAAATGCAGTGGACCATATGCAGACGCTAGCGCACTGATGAGGGCCGAGGTGGGGTCCGGGAGAGTAGACGCTGTCACTAGGAGGGTTAGAGTTGAGTTGCTGAGACCATGGTCGACACTAAGGGCGCCAAAGTGCCGAAAGCAGGACAACTGCGTGTGGTTGGGCTCGCCAGTGCTTGGGTCGACGTGGCCCATCATCACGAAGAGGTTCTCATAGAAAGTGCGATCCCTGGAAGGCAGACAAAAAGATGTGCCCTTGAGATGGCTGGCCGCCAGGCCCACCACGACTGCGAAGGCAGCCACCGTGCGAATGATGCCAGCATCCACTTGATTTCCATTACCATGATAGATGTTGCCGCCTCGATTTGCAGGGATGGAGTCCGGTTGGTTGCCGACATAGCAGGACAGACCCGCCATGACAACAGGCATCATTGGAGAAGAGCGTCTGGTATAGAAAATACGAGTCAGAGTGTATACTGACAACACGCGGGGAAGACGCGAAAGAGTGGGGGGAAATCCTACGGGAAAGACCGGACAACATCCACCACGCTCTGAGGGATATCCCGCATGGCGTTGGCGATTCGTTGGCGAAAACCCTCCCTCTGAGAAAGTGAGGGAAGGTCCCCCCTGAGCATCAGATGCAAGATATCCTCGAAGTCACAGTCCCACAACTGCTCAATGGAGTAACCCTGAAAAAGCAAAACGCCCTTCTCGCCATCACTAGAAGCAAGTTTGGTTAGAGAGTAATCTACTAAAGGGAGGGGGTGGGAACATTCATTCTGGGGCCCTTAAACGTACATCCATGTCAGACTTGATTTGATTGGCGCAGTGTTTTTTAGGCCCGGGTCGTAGCATCGCAAACCTCCGGCAACCTTATCAGCAGGATTGGCCGTCTCAGCCGGTCCTTTAATCTGCTTCAGGGATGTGGCTAGAATGGCATTGTCGCGAATGGGGATCTCATAGTCCCTTCCCGTGCGGGAGTCTTTGATGGACAACGTGCCGTCAGACATGGGTGTGATTCGATAGAGAGATGTGAGTGAATCAAGGAATGTTAATTGTTGACGATGGAGAAGCCAGTGTAGCTTTCGACATCATTCTTATATCTTACATACACCTAGCAGGGGTCAAAATTCATTACCCTAATGAGTGCCTGCATGTACTTTGGATTAGAATATCCCAGTAAATTGATGTAACCCTAACCCACAGTTCATTTATTCCGGGCCGGACTTCCGTGAGGTTCCTGTTTTTCTTGCTAAGTATAGGTTTGGAAATAATCTACTAAGTCGTGGTCCATGAGCTACACCTTTGGTCAGCCCGTGCAAATAGAAACAAAGAAAGAAATATTACACGTCAAACTACTATTGTACTTCCAGGGATATGAAGCCTCATCCAAAGTTAACCCCTCTTCACTGGGTCCAGGTAAATGTAGAACGGCTTCATCTCCCACAAACCATACACCTTCAACTTATCCGCCCAATCGCAGCTCTTTACCGCCAGTGAAATATCGAAGTTCCACAGCAGGCGGGCCAGAACCACTTTCAGTTCATTCAGCGCGAGCCTGCCTCCATCTAGGTGAGAAAATAGCGCTGTATATGAGTGAGGGGCTGGGATACTGCTTACGTGCGTCCAATACAGCTGCGTGGCCCAATACTGAAAGGCTGAAAGGCGGCCTTGTTATCAGATGCAAATTGAGGATTATCTAGCCAACGCTCCGGTCGAAAGGAGAGAGGCTCCCAAAAGAACTGCGGTGAATGATTCATGCAGAGTGGAGGGACGGCAACCCGACACTAGTATGTATAGAGTGAGTATTTAGTGTTGAAGTCAAGTAAGCCGATTGGTAGATTGAAATAAAGTAAGAGAGGAAAAGAGAATAAAACGTACTCCGCCAGGAACCCAACGCCCAGCAATCATTTCTCCTTTTCCTGGAATCAGACGCGGTTGGGATGTCGGGGCCGCGGGTTTAATGCGCATTGACTCGTTTAAAACCGCTCCCTGATACCGAAGCTTGGCCGTAGAGGCGAAAGTGATGTCCTTTTCCCGAGTAAATGTGGACCGCACCTCGTCGACCAGGCCTGCAAGGACGGGTTGGTTCTTGCAGAGATAGAACAGCGTGAACGAGAGTGTGGTGGCGGTCGTCTCGCTGCCTGCAATCATAAGAGTGCCGTAGGTGTTGCGGATCTCGGGCAAACTCATCGGCGTCGTTTTCTCGTCGAAGGGGAGGAGGTGGCTCATGAAATCGCGCCGCTCCGTCACCATGGACAAACGGTGGTTGACTTTTTCATGCGTGAAGCGTTCATGCTTCTGTCGCTGCTCGACCAGGGACTTGGGCATCAAATACTGTAACCAGCAGTATACATGCGGGAACTGTTTCATCGCCCGCGTGTACAGGGCAAATTTGAAGGCATTGAACATATCGATCAGCCACGGATGGTATTCCGATTTCTCCAGTCCCTGCAGAGAGTCTGCAAATGACAGATCCCCGACAATGTCGAAAGACATGAAGTTGAACCAGGCGACGATATTTTGTGGACCTAGTCCGGCGTTCTGTCGTAGCCGCACCATGAGCATGTCCACATACTTCATGATGATCGGTTCCTGCTCGCGAAGTGCCCTCTCCGAGAAGGCCAGATTTAGGGCCCGTCGGTACCGCATGTGGTCCACTACGTTGGTCGCAGTTACGACATTATACACGCCTTCACTCGAAGGGGATGTGTACTCGGGATCTTTGGGAATGATGGGGCGCCCGGGCCGCAGCGCATAAATATCTTTCCAAGCCGCAGGGTTGTTGAAAGAAAGCTCATTTGGATGAATGCGAACCACATCTCCGTACGCATCATGCAGCTGCTTGTAGAGAAAGGGCAGCCGACCAGTAACCTGCCATTTTACATACGGGATGGGCGTGGCCGCAAACAGGACTGGTCCTGGGAATCTGGCCAGAGGGTGGAAGAAGAGGTTGTAGATAATAACCCCTAAAAGGTAGCAGGAATACTGAAGCAAACATTGTTATTATATCAAATTATTAGAGTTAGTTCTTGGGGAGTTACTGCTGGACCACATGCTTACCAGGACGACAATAGCCCCCATCACCAGACCGAGGCCGGGGACAGCAGGAAGCTGGAAATTTTCACTGATAAACATCTTTAGAGTATTTGCACTTTAATGAGAACAGAGAGAATAGATGATCAAAAGAATTAACAGATTTGTAGAGGTCGGTACCTTGGAATACTTTGAAACATTTTATACTTTCCACAACACTTGTTTGCTTATTGTCCATGAGTTGAAACTCAACATATCCTAATTAAATAATTATCTAATTGTCATTACCTACCTTCTTAAATGCTGTGAATTGTCGCCTGCATACACGGTAGATTAGAATATTTCAGTAAATTGATGTGACCTTGGTCCATAGTACGGGCTTCTGTGAGGCTCTCATGTATCTCACCAAATGCAGTACATGCCCAAATTTCAGTTCTAACCCACACCTATATCCCCGCTTCCTGCGTATGCACTAACAAGGATCAAGATTGTTATAAATAATTGGCTAACAAAAGAACCATACAGCATGTAGGATGTCTCAGCCTCGTCAGTTATAGAACCAGACATACGAGTTGGCATCGGGGTCTCCGCGAGCCGAGGACAAATAACCCTTTCCGGTGAATGAGGGAACGTACTTGGTGGGTCAAAATGAGGAGAAATTATTGAGACAAGTCAAGCCCACTTCATCACCAGCAATATGTCAGCTTTTCTGTCTTGTTCCGTCTTCCACATTTCCAGATATCCCCTGAAAAAGGAAGAAAATGGACCCTGAAAACCAATGGGATCAAATCCTGGTCAAAATTAAAGACTACGTCTTCTATCATGAAATTACCAGTGAGAAAGCATGGTCTCTGATTCGAGTCGCATTTCTCGATGCCGTGGGATGTGCAATTGAATCAGTCACCAAAAGCAAAGATTGTCATCATTTGATCGGCCCTGTTGTCCCAAGGAGCGTGACACCAGACGGGTTTAAGCTCCCTGGTACTTCGTATCAGCTTGATCCCGTCAAGGGCGCATTTGACCTTGGGTTGATGATCCGATATCTAGACCACAATGATGCCCTTGGAGGGGCCGATTGGGGACATCCGTCAGGTATGTAATATGAAGAAGAGAAAAAGGCAGTTTCATATGCTGGAACCATTCTGACTGGCCATAAAACAGACAACCTTGCGGCGATTCTCGCAGTCATGGACTGGCTCGCGCGTGGAGCTCAATCAGGAACTCGACAAGCTCCCAACATGCCGCCATTGACCATGCGAACCTTGTATACGGCCATGATCAAAGCCTACGAGATCCAAGGCTGCTTTCTGATCAAGAATGCCTTCCATAAGAAAGGGCTTGATCATGTCATTCTGGTTAAGCTGGCATCGACTGCAGTAGTATCCTGGCTGTTGGGTCTCTCCGAAGAGCAAACCCTGGCTGCTCTTTCCCATGTGTGGATGGATGGAGCTGCCCTCAGGGTGTATAGATCCGGCTCCAATACCATTTCACGAAAGGGATGGGCAGCAGCCGACGCGTCTATGCGAGCGGTTTTTCTGACACTTCTAGTGCAGAGCGGACAGGCGGGTGCACCGAGGGCCTTGACGATGCCCGGATGGGGGTTCTATGCCCGGTCATGGGACGGCCAGATATTTGACCTTCCAAGAGACTTTGGGACCTGGGCTATTGAAAACATCTTTTTCAAGGTCATCCCGGTGGAAGGCCATAGTATTTCCGCCATCGAGGCAACATTGGTGCAACGCCACAGACTGCTGGAGTTGGAACGTGATCCCAGACAATCAATCGAACAGATCCGGGTGCGGATCAATGCAGCTGCCTATTTTCTCATCAACAAAACAGGTCTGCTCCGAAATCCAGCAGACCGTGATCATTGTCTTCAGTATGTTTTGGCACTGACTTTGCTGAAAGGGGCCATTCCCCAGCCAGAGGATTATAGTGACAGCAGCCCGTGGGCAAGCAGCCCAGACATACACGAGCTTCGGTCCAAGATCGAAGTCATTGAAGATGAGGACTTTTCACGAGACTATCAGGATCCGGAAAAGAGAAGCATTGCATCCGCTGTGACGCTGATCCTGGCTGATGGACTTGTTCTTGATGAAGTGGTCGTCGAGTATGCGGTTGGCCATGTGAAGCATCCAAAAACGTTGAGCGAAGTTTACCGGAAGTTCCAGCATAATTTATCTCCTTGCTTCACCTCAATGGAAATCCATCATATCCGACAGTTAGTGGAGGACGACAGTCAGTGTGTGTCTGATATTGTGGATCTCTTGTCTAGACCTATGTATCAACCGAGACTGTGATATAACGCGCAAATTAACATGAAGATGAGGTCACTAATAGTTAGCCTAAAGTTGATTTTTATCAACAATAATTTGTCACTACAAAAACGCATGTAGCTAGCGAATGATAGACCAGAACTAATGCTGCATATTACAGCCACCTCAAGTGACCAGAAATGTAGCTCAATGGCCATCCCACTGGCAGCCACTGAGAGTTCACACTGTAGCCCTCGTTCCATGTGGACCACAGGCCCGTATGTACTTCAGTCACATGGATCATAATTTGTCTAGGTATGGCATTCATTGTGGGGAACGACTCATGCATAATATATATTTTAAATATCTTACCCCTCATCTGAGCCTCAAGATGTATGATAGATCCCTGTTACTTTTTTATCTATCTCCAGAAGGCTGCGTGTTAGCAAGGCCCGAGGAATATAAATAAAGCCCTTCGCTCTCTGCAGAAACAGTGAAAGCATAGGATAAAGTTTCTTTTGCCTCTTCTACATTTTACTGATTCAGTTTCTCGCTTGCGACAAAAACGCCTCGCTTCCATGGGGTCATATGTTGAATCCTTCCCAGGTCCGGGCCAGGGACCAGCGGACGAGAAAGTTATGCCAATTGCAGTTGTCGGCCTTGGATTCCGTGGCCCTGGAGACGCAACAGATGTGGAAAGTCTCTACCGCATGATCCTTGAAGCGCGAGAAGCCTGGAGTCCTGTGCCGAAATCCAAATGGAATAATGACGCATTCTATCACCCAGAGGCAAATCATAACGGGACGGTGAGTAAAGCTCTCGCCAAAATGCCAGCATATCCTAAAAGCTTATTATTTCTTCTCACAGTCAAATGTGCAAGCTGGTCATTATTTTACCGGAGATCTGTCGCGATTCGATGCTCCGTTCTTTAATATGACACACACTGAAGCAGAGGTAAGCTGTGTGGTATCTCTTATTTATCTTGTTCGCTCCGTGACTAAACTAAGCCCAGGCCCTGGATCCACAGCAGCGGCTTTTGCTAGAGTGCTGCTATGAAGGCCTTGAAAATGGTAAGTATGCCTGACTGGATATCTCCAGCTCATCTTTTGGCTGGCAATTCAACGTTGACAATCCTTCATCATAGCGGGGATTCCCTTGGGAAAAGCTGCCGGAAGCAATACTGCCGTATTTGTAGGTTCTTTTTGTGGGGACTACACGGACGTCTTGCTTCGCGATCCAGATGCCATGCCTCTATATCAAGCCACGAGCAGTGGTCATTCACGCGCAATCATATCCAACCGGTTGTCCTATTTCTTTGACTTTCGGGGTCCGAGTGCGACCATTGATACTGCATGCTCCGCAAGCTTGGTTGCCCTCCACATGGCATGTCAGAGCTTGCGGACAGGTGAATCAGAACAGGCGGTGGTGGCTGGGGCCAATGTTATCCTAAGTCACGAGATAACCATCGGCATGTCCCGAATGAGGTAAGGATAAAATTTCGCTCCCCAACCCCTATCACCTTCCCCCCCCCCCCCAAAAAAAAAGGGAACAGCATCCGACTGACCTACGCGCCAGATTTCTTTCTCCAGATGGAAGATGTTATGCGTTTGATGAACGTGCAAATGGGTACGCCCGGGGTGAGGGAGTTGGATGTGTCATATTGAAGCCACTTGATTCTGCCCTGCGCGATGGGGACCCAATCCGGGCGATCATTCGGAACACTCGCGTGAACCAGGACGGAAAAACGCCGGGTATCACTTTTCCCAATCGCCAGGCTCAGGAAGAATTGATACGTCATGTTTATGAGGCAGCAGGCCTGAATCCGCTTGAGACAAGCTATGTTGAATGTCATGGGACAGGAACGCCAACAGGTGGGTTTGTGTCAAACTTCTTCGGCTGCAAGTGCTGACATCGGCCACAGGTGACCCTCTAGAAGTTGGAGCCATTGCCAGCGTGTTCTGCCCAGGTCGGTCCCCAGAGTGGCCACTAATTATCGGCTCTGTGAAAACAAATATTGGGCATCTGGAAGGGGCCAGTGGTGTGGCTGGGTTGATCAAACTCGTTCTCATGCTGGAGGGTAAAATCATTCTCCCCAATCGCAACTTTAACATGCCGAACAAACGGATTCCGTTCAATGATTGGAATCTGAAGGTTAGTAGTGCACCGGCCAGGCCTGTCTAAATTGTCTGTTCTAAACCCTTCCTCAATAACACAGATCGCCACCGCACCCGAGCATTGGGAAACAGAAGGAGGTATACGTCGGGCATCTGTCAACAGCTTTGGGTCTGAACTCGCCCCCCCCTTCCCCCGACCCCACGGCCCTTTATAGGTTCAATTTGCTGACCCGGAGCTTTGAAATAGGTATGGAGGAACAAACGCCCATGCCATTGTTGACGAAGCAGAAGGATATTTGTGCCGGAATGAGATAACCGCTCTGAATGGCGCAGTGCAGAAGACAAAAAGGTGCCAACTTAGTGGAACGATGAAATCCCACTCGAACGGTACGCTAGAGGCACAGCGTCCTTCAAGCCGGATATTCGTCTTATCAGGCACCAACGAAGCGTCCGCCAATGATTACATCAAACGGCTTACTGCATTCCTTGAAAACAACCAGAACAATGAGCGTGGCTTCGAGGAGGATCTGGCGTACACTCTAAGTGAAAGGCGGACCAAGTTTCCATGGAAGGCCGTCATTCCGGCAAAGTCCGTTTATGACTTGCTGCAATCCCTCAAAGGAGATAGTCTCACGTTGTCAAAAAGCATTACCGGCAACCCGCTGCTAGGATTTGTCTTCACGGGACAAGGCGCCCAATGGTACGCTATGGGCCGCGAGCTGATGTCGGATGACCCGGTTGTTAATGCAATCATTGTACGAGCCGGTGCACATATAAGGACTTTGGGTGCAAAATGGGATCTGAAAGGTGATTAAATCCTTAAGGGACATGATCGGTCCGTGGACGAGCTTGGCTGATAGCAGTTATTCTGCAGGTGAACTAGAAAGATCTGCCGAGGATACCCGAGTCGACCAGTCCCTTTTCAGCCAGCCCTTATGTACGGCCATCCAAATTGCTCTGGTTGAGTTGTTAGCCTCTTGGAACATCGCTCCTGCATCGGTGACCGGACATTCGAGTGGAGAGATCGCCGCTGCCTATGCGGTTGGTGTGCTCAGCCTCGAAGATGCGATGACAGTAGCGTATTATCGCGGGCTCGTGTCAGATAAAATAAGCCATGAAGGCACGCTTCGTGGGGGTATGATGGCCGTTGGTCTTTCGAAAGAACAGGTACTTCCGTATCTCAGAACCCTCCAGAGGGGCCGAGTGGTGGTGGCATGCATCAACAGTCCGTCCAGCATCACCGTATCGGGTGACACCTCAGCACTTGAGGAGCTCCAACATATCCTTGGTGATGAAAGGATCTTTGCTCGACGGCTAAAAGTGGGAGTGGCGTACCATTCCCATCATATGGCTCTCGTGGGCGAAGAGTACCGCCAACTAATCTCCTGCATCCAACTCCACCATTCCATCACCGAGCAGAAAAAGGTACAATTCTTCTCTTCAGTGAGCGGCACGGCTGTCAATCCAGCAACGCTCGGTCCTGACTATTGGGTATCTAACTTGCTGGGCGAGGTCAAGTTCGCTCTGTCCCTCCACAGTCTCTGTCTAGAGACAGTTGCTCCGAACAGCAAGAAAAGCCGCAAACGCTCCTTAAAATCGGGAGTCCACGTCCTAGTTGAGATTGGGCCACATCCTGCCCTTGCTGGTCCGGTGAGGCAGATTCTACAGAACGACCCGAAACTCCGGCGAAGCGGAATCGAGTACTGCTCAGCCCTAGCGCGGAAGAAGGACGCAGTGACAACCTGCCAGGAGCTTGCATCGAAACTGGTTCTGTCTGGCTACCAGGTGAATTTACGTGCGGTGAACAAGGTTGACAACAATGGAAGGAAGCCCAAGGTGGTAACCGACCTACCCTCCTACGCATGGGACCATTCCAGATCGTATTGGGCCGAGCCACGCATCAGCAGAGCCTGGCGCACTCAGCCTCACCCTCGACATGACCTCCTCGGCTTGCCTGACCGTACCTCCAACCCTCTGGAGCCGCGGTGGCGGAATATTCTGCGCGCCTCTGAACTCCCATGGGTCAAAGACCATAAAGTTCTCTCCAACATTATCTTCCCAGCAGCTGGGTATCTTGCCATGGGGGTTGAGATTATGCGGATTCAGGCTCAAGCAAGGTCTATCCAACCCATTGGATACTGCTTGCGTGAGGTAACCATCGACCAGGCGCTAGTGTTTCCGGATGCATCCGAGGAAGTCGAAGTGATCATCTCCCTGAAGCCCTACATTGAAAGTGTTCGATCCCCATCTGATATTTGGAACGAATTTTCTATATATTCGGTTACAGAGCAAGACCGCTGGACGGAACATTGTCGAGGGTTGGTTTCTGCCCGTGAAGCCGCAACAGTCCCGAATGAAGTGACTGGAGATTTGCATCCCGACAGGTTAGCATATGAGGAACGCTGCTCGAACTTCAAAAGCTGCTGTCTTCGCTCCATAGACATTGAGCAACTCTACAAGCATCTGAGAATCTTGGGACTCGATTATGGTCCCACTTTTGCAAACCTCATGGCTGTCTCCGTTGGCTCTAGCCAAGCTCAAAGCTCATTTAAAATACCCGATACCAGATCTACCATGCCAAACGAGTTTGAGACTCCCTTGCTGGTTCATCCAGCCACTATCGACACGGTTTTCCAGAGTCTATTTCCATCAATGGAAGCTGCCATGGGCACTACACTGGAGAATCCTCTCCTCCCAGTCTTCGTGGAGGACGTCTTTATCTCTGCCTACATTACCAATTGTCCCGGGCAGGAGCTATGTGTGCTCACCGAGACTCAGCGCAAGGACTTTAGACAAAGCATGGCAACAATCACCGTTGCGGAGAGTGGACAATCGAACAATAGCCATCAGCCAGTGCTCACCATAAATAACTTGACATGCACATCAATGCAAAGCGATAACGAGCATTATGAGACCATTGAAGCAAGGAAGCCTGTCTACAAAACCCATTGGAGTCCCGATGTGGACTTCTTTACTCCTGCGGACATTGACAAATTATGCCAGGACATCCAACTGGGGGAATCGGAGGCCGACAACATTTCCGCTCTCGAACAGGCAGGAATCTACTACTTTGAAATGACGCTCGCAGAAATAAATCCAGCAGAGGTGTCAAGTATGCGGCCATACCACCAGCTTTTATGGGCCTGTATGCAGAGCTTCGTTCACGCATCCAAGCAGAACACTCTTCATCTACCCACCCATGGGTGGCACGAACTGGGAGCAGAAGACAGACAGCTTTTCCTTAGTCAGGTTGAATCTACCGGAGGCGAAGCGCGAATGCTCTGCAACGTCGGCAAGAACTTGTCTCGTATCCTCAGACAGGAGGTTGAACCGCTGCAGCTGATGGTTGAGGAAGACCGCCTGGAGGACTACTACAGAGATAATACCCGCTTTGATCGCAACTATCGGCAGGTAGCACGCTACTTGGAAGCCCTGGCCCATAAGAACCCAGCCATGAGCATCCTGGAAGTGGGCGCTGGAACTGGCGGGGCTACCTTGCCTCTCCTTCAAGCCCTAGATCGGGCGACCCACCAGGCGCCCTGTTGCTCCAGGTACCACTTCACCGACATCAGCAGTGGCTTCTTTGATGCTGCAAGAGAAAGGCTGGATGCCTGGAGCGGCTTTTTGGACTTTAGTAAGCTGGATATTGAACACGATCCTGCCCTGCAAGGATATGAACCGCATTCATACGATCTCGTGATTGCAGCCAACGTGTTGCATGCCACAAGGTCAATGCAAGCCACCATGGCCAATGTCCGAAAGCTTCTTAAGCCTACAGGGAAATTGGTCCTGATCGAATTGACCCGCGAACGGTTAACCACGTCCGCTATTTTTGGGACCCTGCCGGGTTGGTGGGCTGGTGCCGACGAGGGCAGAACACAAGGCCCAACGCAGACGGAAGAGAAGTGGGATACCTTGTTGCGGGAGACGGGGTTTTCCGGGCTGGATGCCGTTACCTGGGACTCGACCACTGAAGGCGTTCATCAAGGATCTATGATGGTGTCGACCGCGACCGTGCCTCAACAAGTCAGACAGGAAATCCCGGGTATCCTGATCTTGGTACAATCGTCGGCAAAGTATATCTCACTGGACATGCTCCGAGAGGGTTTCTCTTCAATCACTCACGAGGTAGAATTCTCCACGGTAGGGTCGGAGGATCCGCGTGGCAAGATATGCGTCGTCCTGGACGAGGTTTCCCATCCATTTCTCAGCCAGCCCACACCGAAGCAGTTCGAGGGAGTCAAGCGCATAGCCACAACCGCTGCTGGGGTCTTATGGGTAACTCGGGGGGGAAACTATTCAGTCACCACTCCTGCGGCAAACTTCATCACTGGCTTTGCTCGGACCATCCGATCAGAATACGGTGGCAATCCAGTTGGTGTCCTCGATCTAGACGGCACCAATTCCTTGGATGCATCTGCTGCGGCGAACACGGTTGTTAAGATCTTCAGGAGACTGTTTCTGGATCATCAAGGAGCTGCGGCGACTCAAGATCTGGAGATGGTCGAGCACGGTGGACAAATCATGATTCCGAGGCTGATTGAGGATACGCAGGCAACAGAGAGACTAAATAGTGATCTCACAGGCTCTAGTTCAGAGCTCCAGCCGTTCAACAGTCCCGGCCGCGCGCTGATGATGGAAGTTGGCGTCCCCGGCCTGCTGGACTCGGTCCATTTCATTGATGATCTCCGGGTTCAGCGTGCGCTACCGCCGGACGAGGTGCAGGTCACGGTGCACGCTGCTGGACTTAACTTCAAGGACGTCATGATGGCCATGGGACAGATCCATTACGAGACATTGGGACTGGAGTTCAGCGGCACCGTCACGGCGGTAGGCTCACAGGTCCAGAAAATTGTAGTGGGCGATCGTGTCTGTGGTTGCTCTTTCGGAACTTTTGCCAATACTATCCGCGGAAAAGCATCCAGCATACAGAAACTACCGGATGATATGCCCTTTGAGGTGGCTGCATCCTTGCCAATTGTCTTCTGCACAGCATATTTTGCTGTGTATAAGATAGCCATGGTGGTAAAGCATGATACGGTTTTGATTCATGCAGCATCCGGAGGGTTGGGCCAAGCTCTCATCGAACTGTGTCAGGGAATTGGGGCTGAGATCTTTGCTACTGTGGGCAACAAGGAGAAGAAGGAGTTCCTCATGTCACACTTTGGGATCCCAGAGGATCATATATTCTTCAGCCGCAATGATAGCTTTGCGAAGAATGTAATGCGGATGACTCACGGCAAAGGGGTCGATGTTATCATGAATTCCCTGGCAGGTGATATGCTACGACTGTCCTGGGAATGCATCGCACCATTTGGAAGATTCATTGAGCTCGGTGCCAGAGATTACACCATCAACTCCCGGCTAGAGATGGCGAAGTTTGCACGTAATGTCTCCTTTTCCGCGGTTAACTTGGTCTCCTTGATTTGTGACAGGCCGAAGTCCGCAGATGCAGTGTGGGAAGCGGTAATGAATCTGTTCCGCCAAAAGAGTATACGACCACCATCTCCCATTGTTCCGTTCGGCATATCTGAGGTTGAAGCGGCGCTGCGTACGATGCAGACTGGAAAACACATGGGTAAGCTCGTAATTGTTCCTCGGCCAGGAGAACGAGTTAAGGTATGTAAAGTCCACACCATCGGCTTGCTTTCCAGCGACGCAGCATTTATCTGGATGGAAGTTTACTTATACTATCTCACGTAGGCTGTCGCTAGACCAAAGAGCGCTGCACTGTTCCGATCCGACGCATCGTACGTGTTAGTAGGAGCATTGGGTGGTCTCGGTCGAGCTATCGCCTTGAGGATGGTTGACTCCGGTGCCCGGAATTTGATCATTCTCTCTCGTAGCGGACACCGGTCCCCCAAAGCTCAGGAGACAGTCGCTCTTTTGGAAGGAAAGGGAGCCACGGTCATGATTTTTGCGTGTGACATCAGTGTAGCCTCCCAGGTGACAAAGGTGCTTCAGTCTGCCGCCAACATGCCGCCCATTCGAGGCTTGATCCAGGGCGCCATGGTATTGCAGGATTCGCTGCTGGAGAATTTGGACCTACCGAGCTTTAGCGCAGTAACTGAGCCTAAGGTTCAAGGGACGTGGAATCTCCATGAGCTACTTCCCAAGAACCTAGACTTCTTCCTTCTGCTGTCTTCAACTAGTGGGGTGATTGGTAACGCGAGCCAAGCACCATATGCTGCGTCATCCACATTTCTGGACGCCTTCGCGCACTACCGGCGCCGCCTAGGGCTGGCTGCAAGCACAGTGGACCTCGGCGTTGTTCTCGGGATTGGCTATGTTGCGGAAAATACGGAGCTGTCACAAAGCCTGGAGCGACAAGGCTTTGAAGGAACAACTGAGAAAGAACTTCTAGCCTTAATCACCACTGCCATTGGCAACAACAACAACAACAACGACAATGACGACAACGACGATGTCAGCTGTCAGTTTGTTACCGGCCTGGGTACATGGGATGAAAACTCCCCACTAGTCTTTCAAGAACCCAGGTTCTCCCATTTCCGGCAAATGGCCCGGAAGTCTATCGAATTTACTGCTCAAGCCCCGAATGTCTCTATCCGATTGCGCGACAGGCTGCGGCAGGTCAAGACGACCGACGAGGCAATACAGCAAGTCGCCAATGGAATCGTCTCCAAGGTATCGTCTCTCTCCATGATACCAGAACAAGAGATACAACTCTTCCGGCCGTTGTCTGACTATGGAATCGACTCCCTGGTTGCTGTAGAGATGAGAAACTGGGTCTTCAAGGAATTCGAAGCCCAAGTCACAATTTTAGAGCTGCTGGCGAATGAGCCTCTGCAGTCATTCTCGAAGAAGGTCTGCACCAAGTCAAGAGTGTTCGATTTTGACGCCTTAGTCGTCTGATGACTGCTTTCTGGTACTTGTGTATTTATGATATAAGGCTAGGGGCTAAGGGGTATCCCCTTTGGCCATCATATGTGGCTGCTGTATGAGAAGATAAGTTATACCAGGCACACGCCTGGTCAGTACCAATGTGAGGCGACCTATATTAGTTGGGCAAACAAACTTGCGGGATTAACTCTACGCTACATACCTGCAATTTTCCACTCTGTATGTGGTGACTTCCTCCGAATTAATAAAATACAGTACGCGGGACAAGGCGAATAAGTCACATTCTGCCAGTTGGTCGCGCCTTCCAAAATAGGCACCTTCCCAGTCATACACCAGGAAGCTAGGAAGATAAGCTATGTCTGCACATACACCCCCAAGTAATCACTCAGCTATCAGAATGAGGCTACAAGAAGCATGTTAAGCCTAGAAAGGATCAAGGTCCTTAGCGTCCGTAACAGTTTGCTGGTCCTCGTCACACCCAACACAAATGAACCGGTCGCACGCAGTCTCCTCATCATTAATTCGGAAGGCCAAATTGCTATAGATATTAAACATTTGATGAACACCAGTCAAGAGGTGAAGTTGGTGACAGACTACCGTCTTCATCTGTATACGGCCATGATTCGAGACCGAAGAATTATGTTATATCCTGCCTTGAGGCAACGCGACGATGGACTATGAGAACTTATTCGCTGACTCTACCTCAGAAAACGATGTCTTTGACCCTTATAATGATGATGATTGTTATTATTATTTATTCATACATGCATCTGTCGGCCCTATTGGCCGATTGGCGGCAGCTCACTGCGGGACGATTGGACGAATCACCAAATATTTACATGCTGGCCCAACGGCAGCCAGTGAGATCGACGATGTATAACTATACATAATATATACTCGCCAAACCAGTTGATGATTCCAGCCTCGCAGGGTGGTCCAGCAAGCCCGTACAGTTGAAAAAGCTGTAAATCTAGCGGCCTCTGAGAGGCGGCTAGCCCTAGTAATCTGCTTTGTCTCCATCTCATTTAGATCAGACGGGTGGCCAGTTTTAACAGCCCATGTAAGGGTGAATCTGACTGGCCCACGTTATATTATCATGAACTCTAATCTCGTGTGGAGATTCAATACGATGTTGGTAAAGCATTGAACTGCCCAAGGAGTCTTGTGCTCAGCATAAAGTGTGTGGTCTTGGCAACTAGATCTGGCCTTATTAGAAATGACCGCGGACCGCCAATCATGATCTTGTGTGCCAGGGAGCAGGTGTTCAGCCCGGGCTTCAGCATGCTGGGGGCAATGGAATAGTATGTGGCAGACATCTTGTTGACCTCAGCCACATGAGCAACCAGTGGTCTCCATGGCATTGAATGTACCAAGGTAACTAACAAGGGTAATCTTTCCTGTCTGTATCTAAACCAGCGCTGAGCTGGCGGCCCGGCGGAGCCTGTAGTGCAGATGGAGAGTTGCACAGGTGGGTTCACTGAAGAGACAGCAGAGCAAGGCCCTGTGGTCATTAAACTCCTATGAAGCCTTCCACTGTTCATTGGTGTGTGATCATAGTATCTGGTGTTGACTGGCCTGGAGGACAGGTTCTGTACTAGCATTAATGTAATTAAAACTCCTCGCCTATAGCCTCGTGCAGCCCGGATTATCGGCTCCCCGACTTCCCCGACACGGAGTTTATCCGCTTCACCAACAGTATATGGGATTCATGTGACCCCACTTGACCCATTTCCGGCTAGAGTCCAACAATGCGCGCATTCAGACTTTTATCCCTTTTTCGTCCTTCTTTTCTCCCGTCTGTGTGCTCGGAAAATTCCAAATTCCGCACCGCGTGGTTAAGCGTTCACCCCGTGGGCGATGAATTTTTTTCATACACCTTTGATTAGGGTTCCGTGTTAGATATACACTGAAGCTTTTTTGGTTGGCCGCGGCTGAATGTTTCCCCCGGGAAAAAGCTACCCCGGACAACGTTCCCACATCTCCATGCATCTGTAATTATTGCTGTATCATATTCACGTTCATCCCCCATATTGCCCCAGGCTATGGGGCTGTAGGCGACGTGTGTTGTGGAGAGTGTTCAGTTGGGGAATTTCCACACCCAAGATCCATTGGGATGGGAGATATTACTTAGGGCCCCATTCCCAGCACGTCTTGACCCATCTTCCTTCTCCCATCTTTCTCGATCAACTTCTTTCTTCTCTCAGCCACCTCATCTTTCCATTCCTCCCCCCTCGGGCTGGTACCTCAAACGGCCATGGGCATCCTCACACTTGCCGAAGACCGGCCGACGCCCAAGTCCGTCTACAACTGGCGCGTCTATGCACTCGCCGCCATTGCATCATGCGGTTCCAATATGATCGGTTATACCAGTGCCTTCATCGGTACAACTATCACACTCACATCCTTCAAGAATGAGTTTGGTCTCAACGAGTTGTCTTCCGCGGGAAGAGATTTAATTAGCGAGAATATTGTCTCTCTTTTCATCGCTGGTGCCTTTTTCGGTGCCCTTTTGACTTATGGACTGGGCCATTTCATCGGCCGAAAATGGTGTTTGGCTGTTGCTGCTGCCATTTTCATCACCGGCGCTGGTTTGCAACTCGGTGCCAACAGCGCCCGAGGACTGGGCATCCTGTACGCTGGCCGTGTGCTATCCGGTTTAGGCACCGGTGTGGCTTCAAACATCATTCCCATTTACCTTTCCGAACTGGCACCACCTGCCATCCGAGGACGGCTCGTCGGTCTGTATGAGCTTGGCTGGCAGGTCGGCGGTATGGTTGGCTTCTGGATTAACGTGGGTCTCCCGGCCTCCCTACGATCTTTCTTCATGCCGTCTTTGCAGTTAAGCTAACCTAAAGTTGGTAGTACGGCGTTGAACAACACATGCCCCAAGACCATGAGCAATGGATCATCCCCTTTGCCATCCAGATCGTCCCGGCCGGTATGCTTTTCGCTGGTGCACTGTGGATCAAGGAATCCCCTCGCTGGCTTTTCCTCAAGGATCGTCGCCGCGAGGCGATGGAGAACCTCTGCTGGATCCGCCAATTGAATGCCGACGACATTTACATCACGGAGGAGGTAGCAGCCATCGACCAGGCTCTTGAATATCAGAAAACCACCATCGGTTTTGGATTCTGGAAGCCCTTCCAGGCCCTCAGCACTCGCAAGAACGTTATGTGGCGTCTGTTCCTGGGCTGCATGCTCTTTTTCTGGCAGAACGGCTCCGGTATCAATGCCATCAACTACTATTCTCCTACTATTTTCACTTCGGTATGATGACGATCCCCTGGGCCCGCAATACTGCATTGGCTTTCCCGTCTTAACCCCTTTTCTGATGCTGACTGCTCTTTCCTATAGATTGGTGTCGACTCCAACACTGTGAACGTAATGACCGGTATTTTCGGTGTGATCAAGGCTGTCACGACCTTCGTGTGGCTCTTGTTCCTGGTCGATCAAATCGGAAGACGGAACTTGTTGCTTGGCGGTGCCATAACCGGATCGATCTGTATGTGGATCATTGGTGCCTACATTTGTGTCGTTAAGCCCGAAGACAACCCAAGCAGCAGCCTCAACGGTGGAGGTATCGCAGCGATCTTCTTCTTCTACCTCTGGACTGCCGTCTACACGCCTACCTGGAACGGTACACCGTGGGTTATCAACTCTGTGAGTCATGGGATCCTTGCCATTGGGAAATGATTCATGTTTTAACAAACCAATAGGAATTCTTCGACCCCAACTTCCGTTCCCTGGCCCAGGCCGCTACCACCGCCAGCAACTGGCTCTTCAACTTCCTCATCTCGCGATTCACCGAACAAATGTTCGAGAAGATGCACTATGGTGTGTACTTCTTCTTCGCAGCCTTGTCAGTGCTCGCCTTCTTCTTCGCCTTCTTCCTCATTCCCGAAACCAGTGGTATCCCGCTGGAGAAGGTCGATTATCTGTTCAAATGCAAGCCTGTCTGGAGAGCAAACAAGATGCTCAAGGAGCAGCTCAAGGAGGAAGAGGAGCAGTTCCGCTATGATATCAAGGGGACTTCTTATCATGAGGAGGACACCGATACGCCTCAAAAGGAGTAATTGGCATGAGCGATACAATTATAGAAGGACAGGGTAACATATTTGCCAAGCAAGCTGTGCAGCTAGCGCGAAACGCGTCATCTTCCTGCAGCATTCCTTCTTCAACCACCTACTATGCCACCAAGCTGAAATTCGAAGTTTCTCTTGACGAGATGAAGGAATCGATATTCGAGTGAGCTTTCCTTAACCATGGTGGATATTTTTTGGCACGTCATCATCTCCCATGCCTATGCACCACTACAGGGATCAAGAATTGAAACCATTTGAAACACATCATTTATCTCCTTTTCTCGGCACTTGACCCTCCCATTGAGCCTTGGCTGCAACGAAGAGCTTATCATCAGTCAACATTTCCCAGCCCAGAAGGGCCAAGCCTTCCCCCAACGGTAATGCCACGGAGCGCGGGCGCTCACCAGCGGTATGATATGTTTGACTACTTTGGCCTGTTTGGATATAGGGCAGGAACCCTTTCGCACACACTAGATAGGTCAGCGCTGGCAGGCCCAGCTTCTTTCCTTTCTTTCTTCAGGTTAATATTTCGTCAGATAGTCTACCAATAGATTCCTATTGCTCGAACCGTCACAAGTAATAGCCTCGTGTGCTTCGTCAGTGCCAGCGCAGACAGTAAAAGAAGGATGGTGGGGGGAAGCAGCCTTCGGGAGTTGGGATTGCAAATGTGGAATGGAGCGTAGGGACGGCAGAGCTGACATTTCCTGTAAGGCTGTCAGTAAGCATCTTATGGTATTATGACTTTTCGTAAGGTTACTATCACTTACCAACATCGGAAGAGCCGGTCAAGACCTTATCGACCTTTCGAATGATGGAATTCCCATATCCTTCCATGTGGGTGGTGTATCTTCCACACAGGGTATCGTTCAAGACAATATTGGTGTACAGACCCTCCCTGTGAACATACCACTTTATTAGCTGTTTGAGAGCCTCAGACTCCAATATGCCCCGCTCCTGATTGGTCCACACTAGCGAGCCCATCAACATATGCCGGATAGAGGAGATCCACCCTCATCCATCTAGACAGCTACAAATACAATAGTATCATCAATGCCTTTCCTTGCCATAGCCTGTCCCATATTAGCGCTCATGCATAAGCCGGGCAGACAACAAGACTCACTTTTTGATCTTCACTGTACAGCCGGTGGAAACAGCAGCCCTTTCCACGCAATGCCGAACTTTAGCAATAAGCTTATTTAGTCCCTCCAGAGTGGGACTGCGGATCTGCCAGTAAGATTTGGCGTATGCTGGAATAATGTTGGCAACCTTTGGCACATCGAGGAATGCACCGTGAATTCGCTCGTCAGGGAGAGAATATGCTGCCTCAAGGTGGAGATTCCGTTGTACGCCATCATCAGTGCATCCAATGCATTGACACCGTCCCACGGGTTGCCTCCGGCGTGGGCGTTCTTCCCAAAATATTCTGCGTTAAACATATTTTCCCAGACCTCTGTTTTTCGAAAGGTGCTATTGACTACTTCCTCTCGCACATTGTTTACTCCAAGGAGTTGAGGGAATTTCCAGATAAACTGTCCGCATCTGGCTGGGATATCAGCGAAATCAATACGCCCCCACCCCCGGATACTTCTGCAGCCCCTCCCCGTCGACCGTGGGGGATTACTGTCATCCAGGTGCAGATTTATCACTAATCGATTTGATACGACCCTCGGTCTGTGACTGATCGAAATCGGGGCCTTCCCATATTCGGGTCCTAAGCGGCCTGAAAGTTTGATCAGATTAGTGCAAATACAACTACAGTGTTACAAGTACGGGTATGGATGTATAAAAAAAAAAAAAAAAAAACGTATTAAGCCAAAGGCATATACCACAGCTAATCATATCTTTACATCAATCGTAACACCATACAACTACTGCACGCGAGGTAACGAAGCCCGCAAAGGCAGCTTGCGCGACGAGCTCCCAACAAACACCTTCTTGGTATGCTGCGTGATAGCCCAGTCCTGAGCGGCAACGTCCCAGTTGGAAAGGTCACGACGGGTAAGAGTCTTCGACCACACGACCTCCTGACCAGGCTGGAGGGCGATGCGGTCAAAGTTGCGCAGGACAACCTTGGGCTCGTTGGGGCCGCCGAGAGAGACGTACAGCTGGGGAACTTCGTCACCTGCGACCTTGCCGGTGTTCTTGATCGTGGCGGAGACGCGGAAGAGTTCGTCGTAGAGACCGGTGTTGCCTCCTTGGCCGCCGCTGGCTGGCAAACGGGCCTGGGAGGATTCGTCCTGAGCGTTCTCGGGGATGTACTTTGAGATCTCGAGGCCGTACTCGGGGTCGTTGGCGGACTTCTTCAGATCGGTCGAGTTCAACCAGGGGTAGATGAACTTGGTGGTGCGCTCGAATCCATTGGGGAAGACGTAGTTCGAAGCCTTGCCAACCTCACCAAGCTTGGGCGCGGCACTGGTCTTGCCAGTGGTGGGAACGTACTTGGAGGCGTTCAGGGCCTGGACGTGGAGGTTGGAGTACTTGAAGGTGGTATAACTCAGACCGTAGCCAAACTCGTAGATAGGGGTCTCGTTGTACTTGTCGAAGCGCCGGTAGTCGATGAACTGACCCTCAGTAAAGTCGACCTGAGGAGCGCCGATGCCGTTGTTTGTCTCGGTGAGGAGCGGGGCACCGTATGCCTCGCGGCTCTTACCCCAGGTGAAGGGGCTCTTGCCACCAGGGTTGACACGGCCGTAGAGAACGTTGGCAATGGCGTTTCCGGATTCCTGGCCAGGCAGACCAGCCCAGACAATGGCGGTGATGTTGGGGTTGTCGTACCACTGGTCGATGAGGACGGGTCCGACGGTGTGCATGATCACAATGGTGTTGTTGCAGTTCTCGCTGACAGTCTTGATGACATTCTCACCGTTCTTCCAGAGGGTGATGTTATTGCGGTCACCCTCATTACCATCCACGACGAGGAAACCCTCACCAGCATCGGCGTTGACGAAGACAAGAGAAACATCAGATTGAGAGGCAATGGAGGCCATCTGATCCAAAGCCCAGTTGTCAGTGACGGCGAAGACGGGGTGCTTGACGTCCCGGTTGAGAATCTCGTTCTGGATAGCCTGCTCGGGAGTAACCAGGTAAGGGAATTCGGCGGAACCGCTACCCCAGGCCATCGCAAGGGTACCATTGTCGCATCCACGGTCCTCGCAGCCGTTGGCACCATACGCGTTGGACCCGGCATCTTCGCCTAGAATACCAACGGAGCCCTCGTCGCCAGTCAGAGGAAGAGCACCCTTGTTCTTCAAGAGAACAGTGCTGGCTTCGCCAACCTCACGGATGATCTCGGAGTGGTTGCGCTGGACATTGATGTGCTGGTTGACCTGCTTCCAGCCTTCCTGGACGGCGGAGTGGGCGTAGCTGTACTCGTCGTTGGTCCAGGAGCTGAAGTTGGGAGGCGTGCGCTGGCGGTCACGGCCAACCTTGTAGAAAGCAGACATGATACGAACGGCCATGTCGTCGACACGCCACTCGGGAACAGTACCGTTGAGAACAGCAACAGTCAGGTTGGGACCGAAGTACGACATACCATCGTCAAACGAGATATCACCGGGCATCGACATGTCAGTACCAGCAAGGGTGGAGGCGACACCGCTATGGTGAGCACCCCAGTCGGTCATAACGAAGCCCTGGAAGCCCAGCTCGTGCTTGAGCAGCTTGTTCAGCAAATGACTGTTCTGGCAACCATAGCTGTTGTTGATCTGGTTGTACGAGCACATGACGGAACCGACACCAGCACGAACAGCATCGGCGAAAGGCCACAAGTAGAGCTCGTGCATGGTCTTGTCGTCGATGTTGGAGCTGGCAGTCTCAGTGATGTTGTAACCATAGTCGAGAGCCTCGGAAACCTGACGGAAATGCTCCTGCTCGTTGCCGATGTAGTGCTTAGCAGTAGCGATGACACCGGCATCCTGAATACCCTTGATAGTCTCGGCCATGAGCACACCGGTCAGAACCGGGTCGGGGGCGAAACCCTCCCAGTTGCGACCACCGTCGGGAGATCTGCCGATAGGGCCAGCAACGGGACCCAATTGGACGTCAATTCCTTTGTCGCTGAATTCCTGACCCATAGCCTCACCACGGAGGTAGGCGAGCTTGCGGTCCCAGGTCGCGGCGACGTTGAGACCAGCGGGGAAGCCAGAGCTGTGATCGCCTTGAATGTCATTAGCTCATGGCTCAATGCGATCACAATATAGGAGGGAGTCATACCATAACGGATACCAAGAGGCGAGTCCTGCAAACAGATACCCCAGATACCAAGTCGTGGAACACTACCAGTCTGACCAACACATTCTTCCAATTGCCAGCTATAGCCTGTCAGCGACGATCCAACACCGTTGATCCTTTATGTGACGTACCCAGTACCAGTGGTCAAGTTGACCTTTTCCGCCAAAGTCATGTTGGAGACGATGTCGACGGCGCGTTTGTACGCGTTGGACCATTCGGCGGGTTGACCATCGGCCCATGGCGAGGGATAGTAGGGGGGAGAGTACGCGAGGTCCTGTAGATAATTGAAGGTTAGAAAGGTTCATTGAGTATTAATTGATGATGACATATACCTTAGCCTGGGCCACCGAGGCCGTGACGGCAACAAACTCCAACCAGCCGAGCTTCATTGTCGCGTAGAGAATTAAGAGCCGCAAAGATGGATGAAGAACAGAGAGAAAAAGTGCAAGGAAACCAGGGGAAATAGAGGAATAAATAGTGTGAGACTCACGGTCCAACGTGGAATGCCTCCAGCCGGGACACTAAGAAATTCCCGTACTAGGCAGGAGCTAGAAGGGATGGTGTAAGGCACCAAAAGGGAGCCATGACGTGAGGTAATTGAGTCCATGCGGGATTAATCAACATCCTGGGGGGAAATCTTAGCTGCCTGACTGAGGACGAACTGTTTACCTTCTAGTACAAGTACAGAAGAGCATCCATGTTAGACTGTTGTGGGGTAATTACAGATCAGGGGATCCCCGGTTTTTGTCCCGGTATTACCGTACATCACGGTTCTAACCACGATTCAGATACAAGAGTACAAACAAGCACAGATATCTGAACATAGTAAACAAATAATTATACTGTACACTGTATCAGATACATCCCTATCATAATCATTCCTGTCTCATCCCTCACAGCGTTCTATTCATATTCAAGTTACGGCCAAGAACTCAGCAGTAATTTTCGGCAGATATTCGGCTCAAATACATTCTTGAACCTGCATCGGATCAATAATCAAAGGTAGCACTCCGGAGCACACAACGGCTTGTCCTTGCAGCACCGTGGTACAGCCTCGGCACGAACATCACCTGACAGTTCAATTCGATTGACTCAATCGGACGGTTAGTTAGATGTGGGGAGATTCTGTTTGAACGAATACAATCTGGTCAAGCTAAATGCGATCATCCAGATATTGCCGTTCTGGTGTGCATGGCCCGAGCCAGTTACCGTATTCGGCTAAATTGATGCTACACTCTACCGAACTGTACTTGCACTGTTATTGAGTATACTCATAGCACTGATACATCTCTACAACTGCGAATTTCTCACATTACAGACCACTCTCCAGTATAAACCTCAATACTATCCGGACTTCACCCGAAAACACAACTGGAGATGCCGAAATTTAGCCACGCCTATATCGGCCGGGATTAAGCGCACTCAATGCACTCCAGTTCCCCGCATGAACCCGGAATTTCCCCGTGTTCTGCATCCAATCCCACTTCTCCATATTCTCGCTTTTTCTCCGACGTCACTCCACACAACAACCTGACAGGGTTCTCCAGAAAAAGACTCTCATACCCGGCGCTCGTAGAATCGGCCTATTCCGCATCTCTCGCCTATCCTACCGTCATCCGGTCTCACCATATCCATTCTCCGTCCGCAATCCATGCCCGAAAGAAATGGACTAGTGACTACTGCCCGACTCTGTCAAAATTCTTTATGTCTCTCGGCAGATAATCCATTCATTTTCCCCCTCTGTGCGAAATAAGCACAGACACGGGCCGACTATGTAAACCGGGGATGAGAGTTTAATCTCCCTCCACGCGAGGGCATTCCTTTGACGGTTCTCCGAGGGCCCGGTGACATCTTGGCGCCGATGTTTAGGCGTTGGGTGGGAATGTTAGCCTCTGGTTGAATATTATAGAGTGTTTTGTACGGAAAGGGAGATCTAGGCGACGGGGTCTGAACTCGGTAGTGGTATGAGAATACATCATAGTCTGAAAAGGAAACTGTTTCCATAGTACTCCGTATTCTGTAGAGAATGCTTTTAATTGCATCCCAGTAGTACAGTAGAGGCTGTGATTAATGCTGCTCTGAGAGGTAAGTATAGCGATTGCAATGTAAACCACCTCACGAAAACAGTCGCGAATGATCATGGAATGTCTTTCATTGAACCAGATGAAGCATTTTCGCAAAGAACTCCAACAAGATCGCGGGGGGGAAAAAAAAAAAAAAAAAAAAAAATCCAACAACTTGAAACCGATCGGGAGGCAGCCATAATCATGGATTTTATTGAAACGGCTCTTGCTATGGACCGAAGACTACATCCAGTTTCATGAAAAAGACCACCAAAGTGGCTAAGCTAAGAAACAGCTGCGTTGCGCATGCCCATGACAGTACTTTGGATCAGAATATGATTGCTCTCCGAAACCTTTGGCATCAACTTTGCCTCCAATGCCTAGCCTTGTGCATAGCTGTTCCCAGTAGCGGGTGCAGAACAAAAATGAATTCGAATTACATTCAAGTCACAGGGTGCAATTACATCCACTTTTTTTATGCAACACAATAATATTTCCAAGTTAGGAAACATCCCCGGGACTTCTCGTTCTCCGGGACAGGGCACCATATATCAAAGTGATTGGCCGTAACACGGTGTGACGAAAGCCGAATTTGAACGGAAAGACATAAGGGCGGAGTTTGGTAGTCGATCTGCCAAACTATCAGTTGCACAACCAGGGGAGTGAGTAGCAGGGTGGATCAGATCATATATCTTGCTGCATTACCATGTACCTTCTCAAGGGATGGCGATCTGTATGCCCGACGATTTGGGGAGTCTATTCTAACGGGCTGGTTGTTCTGGGATGATCGAGGATATCCGGGGCTTATGCTATTTTTTAAAGGTGTACTGTATCATGGTGTAGTAATTCCGGTATGAGTGGAACGTGACAATCGCATCCCCCATAGTACTCATGGCAGGGTTTATAAAGAGCTCCGGTTCATTCCATTCTAGCTCAACACTGTAAATCTGCTTTGAATGTTTAACATAAATCACAACCAGACCCTATAACCCAGTTCATAAATCACGCTCTACTTTTATCGATCACTCAGACGCGGACGCCCAGCCTGCAGGACCAAAACATTCCCCACGCGCGCCTCACTCCGCACCATGCCCTGCCCTATCGCGCCTAGCGCTAACGCTACATTATTCTCGCCGACATCTTCCCGCGCTGGCGTCTCGTCCACGCGGTTGTTGCGCCGACCGACGACTACCATGTTCCCTGCCTGATGAGGAGACTGGGTCATTTCATCTTGCACGGTGGTGATCGCTAATGTGACAGGGTCTGGGCTAGGGTTTTGAGGGGTTATACGCTTGAAGATGACACGCGATATAAGGGCGTCTGGGAGGGAATCTCGCATTGTGTTGAAGAATGTTATGTCTGATTCGAATTCTCTGGGTACGGCTTTCTGCACGGTAGTGCTGTTTCTCGGCCCGGCGGGGTCATTCCCCACCGAAGGTGTTTGTATGGCTATGTCGAGGTGGATGATCGTGGCGGTCACCTGGTCGTTGTTCGCAAGTTGCAGGACGAAGCGTAGCGCGCAACGGTCGTCCTCGCCGCCTAGGAAGGGTAGCACGATGTGGTGCGACCGCGTGGCTGGCCACACGGAGCTCCAAACGCTCATCCCGCTGAGGGATGGCTGGCCTGGTGGCTTCCGGTACATAGTCCGCTCGACAAGGACGCCCACGTTACACGTAGTATGGCCCAGGACGCAGGACACAAATTCTGCAAAGGGCCCGTTGGCAAACCGGTTGACCTCGTCGATTCCCAGCCCGCTCTGATGCTCGCTCATAGTTCCTGTCTCGCTCCACGGGAGTAGTAGTAGATCGGTTGATTCCTGGTGCGCCATGCCCACGACTGTGTCAGCGTATGAGTGCTCCGGCACGACTGACACTCCTGCCATGATGGAGAGGTCGTGCCACTGCCCGAAGGCACGGAAGGTGTTGACGACAGGGTCCCAGAGGGTGTATTCGTCGATCTCTGATACTTTCATGACGCTGGAGTCTCGATCTGTCAGTTCCATCAGTCGCACACCGTGTACTTGAAGCTTGGGCGCTTCCTCCTCTGTCGCGGGGGATTCTTCGGCTGCGGGCTCCGGTGATGATGCCGCCGCCTGTTTCTTCTTTTTTTCGGGGTGGATTTTTGGTACAGGTGGCTGATCGTTGGGGCTGAGTAAAGCCGCCAATGTGCAGATGCTGGATAGTCCGTCTAGTCGCAGATACACAAGCAGTCTTCGCACGGCATTGGTCTTCAGCTGGTCTTTTGCGGCCGCCACGCTGTCATGGCGACTATCATCCTGGGCTGAGTTGCCGTTCCAGTCAATCTCACCACGGCGCCAGCGCTCAACCTTGATCTGGTACCACTTGGGGTACAGCAACGTGGTCAATGGGGTGGTCGCGAAGGTGGTCACGAGCGCCATGACAACGAACATGGTGAAAGTTCGGGTGCTAAGAATACGCGCTTGCAATCCAATGTTCTGGACGATGGTTTAGCCGGAATTAATCCTGGAGTATAGTTGGGGGAATCATACCAAGACAATCAGCTCGACCAATCCTTTACAGCTCATCAGAACCCCAATGGAGAAGCTTTCGCGCCAGAGGAGACCACACAGTCTGGACGCCAAAGCACCCCCCGCCACTTTGGCAATAAATGCGATTGCAATAATTCCCACGACATATCCCCAGACGGTCCCATTGTCGAGCAATCCCAGATTGGTCTGCAGACCGGAAAGCGTAAAATACAAAGGCAGGAACAAGGCAGCCACCAGATCTTCGATCTTCTCGGTCAGCTTGATGGCAAAGCCGCCCTCGTGTGGGCAGAGAAGGCCAATCAAGAACCCGCCAAAAATCGCATGTACGCCGATCACTTGAGTGAAGAAGGACGAGGCGAGCGCAATGAGTAAAGTGAGCGCTACGACCGACTGGCTGGGACCCTTGGTTAAGCTCCCTGTCCTTTTCAGGAAGCGCAGGAACACAGGCCTGAAAACGAGCGACAGAAACAAGACATAACCAACACAGACGAGCAGCACCCAGAGAGCAGTCAGTCCGGTCCCAGCATTGACCAGGGCGACGCAAAGGGCCAGCAAAATCCAGCCGACGACATCATTTCCCACACCGGCGGAGAGCACGATCACACCGACATTGGTTCCCAGGAGTTTTAGCTCGGTCAAAATACGACAGAGCACCGGGAATGCCTGAACAGGTTAGCGCACATGACAGGAAGGAAAGAAGTTGGGTGTACCGTGATAGCCATAGCGATACCAATAAACAGCAGGTAGGTGCCAAAGTTGATTTGGATGGTGTCCGGTTCGTCGCGAAAGGAATTATACAGGCCATGCGAGATGGCACTTCCAAGGCCAAAGGGTAAGATCATACCGGCCGCGGAGACGCTGACCGCCACACGCCAATTGCTGATGAGGAAGCGCAGGTCGGTCTCGAGGCCGACGAGAAAGAGAAAGAGGATCAGGCCCAGGTTCGCGACGAGGTTGAGGTTGGGAATCGAGGCTTCTGGGAAGATGGCATCTGTAAAACCGGGGATGCGACCAAAGACGGAGGGGCCCAGAAGCACGCCGGCGATGACTTCGGCGATGACTCGCGGCTGACGGATCTTGGAAAGGGGCCAGTGTAGCAGTCGACAGAAGATGATGATTATGGACGCCTAGCGAGGTTGGCGGGGAGCATCATGGCCTTGGTTAGTCAGGACTCACCTGGATGATGAAAATGACGATGGGATTTTTTTTGTCGTAGTGCGAGGGATTTCCTCCTTCGAGGATGCCGCCTTGTAGGGGGACGGCGGAGGATGACATGGCAGTCTGGAAGAGGGTGTATAAGAAAAATGGAGGCGGCGATGGATGAAAGATTGCCTGACGACGCAGTGCTGAAAACAGCTAGCGCGGCAGCTCCCGTTACGGTTCCGCTATACACGCATTTCATTAACATTGTATCAAGACATATACATATCCACTCTATATCCACTCTATATCCAAAATATTGCCTCCCATTACACCCCAAGATAACGAAAAGCCTTACAGCATGACACCCTTGTTCTGCTGCTTCGTGACCCGGTAGTTCTTCCAGATACCGATAGCCGGAATCCCCAACGCCAGAATCGCAGTGGCAGCAATGGCGCCATATTTCTGGCTGATTCCCCAGGCGTGGTTGACGGCGTTGCGCTCAGAAGAGCCCAGAGGATATGTCTGCTGAACCAAATAACCATCATTGGATATTTTCGCCGCCTGGGACTTCATGTCCTCCGGCAGGGCTGTCTGCAATGCATCAACAAAGACATTGTTGTAGATGGCTGTCTGCACAGCAGCGCCCATGGAACTTCCCAGGCTGCTGAAGAGGCCGATGAGAGATAGCATCATAGGCACGCCGCCACGGTCAGCAGAGGCCATGACGCCCATCTCGTTACCGATGACCAGGGTGCCGCCCCCAAAAGCGATGAAGATCTGGCACATGATGACATAGTTGAGATCACCTCCGCCCTCGCCACGGAACTTGATCAACAAGCCAGCGCCCAGGATCAAGAGTGGGAGACCAAAGCACAGGCAAGTGTACTTGAAGTGCTTGGTCCAGCGGATCCAAACACCGATGACAACACCCCAGAAGCATGAGCCCACGTTGTAGATCTGCGTCATGTAGCCGGCCATCGCCGTGTTCAGGCCATATACAACCATGCAGAAGTTGAGGAAATATAGATCCCAGCATGAGAAGCTGAAGTTCAGGATAAGAGAGCAGATGCAAGCACCCAGGACAGTGCGCTTCTTGAGCAATTCATAATTGATAAAGTGTTCCCGGGCAAAGAACTTCTCCCAAGCAGCGAAAAAGAATAAAGTGCAGAATCCAACGACAATCATGGCGATGAAAGTGGCGCTTTCGTAACCGGCTCGTCCGGCACTTGTCAAACTGAATGGCAGGAGAAGGAGGACCCAGCCAGCCATCAAGATCAAGGCACCGACAACTGATCATATTAGTATTTCTTTTCTTATTGAAAGACGAAAGATACTGCATACCATCAAATTGATGCCAATAATGCACGATTGACTGGATAACGGTCCGATTGCTACGCTCTTGCGTATATATGCCCAGTTTTATTCCTTTCTTCTCATAGTACTTGAACGCGACAGCAAGAGGCAAAAAGACAAAAGGCATGATGATGCAGAAAGCACCATAGGCCCAGCGCCATCCACCCGTATGCTCTACAAAGGAGTTCCCCGCCAGCGGGCCAGTAAATGCGGTGCAGATGAAGGGCGTAAGAGCAAAGGAAAGAGTGAAGGCTCGGTTTCGCAGACCAGACGTGTCGGCAACGAAAATTTGCAGAATGAGATAGATCGCATCATATCCCACCAAAAAAAGGACATAGCCAGCTGCATAGGAGGAAGGACCATTGCAGGCAGCCAAGATAATCATACCTACAATGTATATTGCCACGGAGGCGCACAAGCCTTCAGCACGACCCCAGAGGTTCAGGGTTTTGGCGATGGGCAGCTTGATCACACCACCGATTATAGTCGACAGGATGTTGGCAGTGCCAACTGCAGGGGCGACCTTGAAGCCGGCGTAGGCTCTGACTTGGGCTATACCACTGATCGAGAATTGTAGGGCCAACATAAAGAACGATACCCAGATCCTATACTTGGCACATAAAAATTAAGCCATGTCTCATGATACGGCAGACGGGGGAAGAAGAAAAGGAAGAAAAAAAAAAAAAAAAAAAAAAAAAAAAAACTCACCATGCATAAATACCAATGAGTGCCTTTTTACTCCATACCAACGCAGCAGCTTCAGCTTTTTGTACACCCAAATCAGCGCCCTCGGTAACCTGGCCTGGGTTCAACTCAATTTCTCTCTCCGCCCGTGCCTCCAAACTTGACCGATCATTGGAGTCACTGTCTGGATTTTGCAGTGGGCTTTTTTCCCTGTGCTGCTGATCCTCTGTGACCACAACACCGGAAGCCACATTCGTATTATTACGGCCTCGAACCAAATCAAGGACACCCATGATCGATCTCTTCTTAATGAATGCGATCCGATTCTCCGAGAATGAAAGAAGTTGGAATAAGAATTAAAAAATCTGACGGAAGCCGGGGCAAGCGATGGCGTTTAGTGTCATCGGAAAATATGACAATCCCACGCGTCGTTAAGGGGTAGACATGGGGGCCGTGGGATGCAGCTCTCTCGGACTCTCGGATGGACTAGGGAGACCGAGGTCCCAATTTGTGTGTATCGCTCCCCACGGTCGCATAGACTCCGTTTGCTATCTGATAAGATCTGATTGATATCACATATCTCCAGTCTTTCCAGGCAACTTGTGCCTACTCCGGAGTATGCTTACGGGTCTAACGAATCGACTCTTCGGGGGTACCGAATGTTTCACCTAATATTATCCACATACTTCGCTAGTGAGCAATAAGTGACATAGATGACTTCCCATCCGCCCACATGTAAGCGGTTCTTGGCCATGATAACCCGCGGTTCTTAATAAACTTAATCGCAAAAAATATTGTACGAGGTAGCCTAACATAGCCAATAATAGAGTCATAATGATATCGAGGATCTAAATCAACCCCTCCAAGTTCCCCAAAGGCACGATGACGACACGCATAATCCTTGGACTTGTCTAAATATTCATTCGGAAAGGTCGTGGATACACATCAGCCGGGCGAATTTCTACACTACAGGAGCGGAACGCGTCCTCCAATGTACGACTCGCCTGGCTCAGCTCTAGTGCATCGTTATTTAGATAATATAATGCCATACTGCAAGAAAGCAGCCAATGTGGAAGTAGCAAAGAAAATGCTTCTGAGATGACTGGTCGACCATGTCCACGTCGAGTCCGAGTTTCTATACTGGTTCGTCGTGCTCAGTTAAGCTCGGCCCACCTGTAAGAGCGCTCAGTTCAGATGCGGATTTGTGGAGTTTTGCAATATGTTGGGCAAATATAGAATTGAAATTGTTCACTTGATCAAGAGCTTCGCATCACTTTTGCCTTAACGGTTCGGTTGCCGGTGTTGATCAATAAAACAAAAATGCTTGTTTTTTTTTTTTTTTTTTTTTTTTTTTTCGCATACCCTAACCGCATATCTTTTCACCAATGTTTCCCATGCTTAGACCTTCTTACATGCAGTAGGTGGGGTAATCTTACTATGGTGACTACATATCGCGCATCCAAACCGCGTAGACTCTGCGCAGACTCTGCGCAGTACGGCCTTAGAGCGACATTCTACCGCAATTAGTCGCATTGCTACCCAGCGGAGCGAGCATAGTGCTACCTTGTGTACTAATTTAGGCATTGACAGGTGGTAGAATGCACTCCGAATTGGATCATCTCACACTGACAACTGTTGCATTGCGGAGCTCTGAACAATTGTCACACCAACTGGACCTGGTTTTATTTTGCCATTCTTGACAAGAACAATCCTAAGGTTCCTAGAGTCGACCACGGAGTTGAGCTGGTGTGGACGAGTCATAGAAATGGACACAACACAGAAATTCACTGGGTGGGTTTACTTCATCACTATCATGAAATATGCTTACCCTATTCGGATAAATGGGGAAGTCTTTGACCATAGCCATTCTTTTCTGCGTCTTCTGAAGGTATGTATTCCGCATATCCAACTAGACGAATACTAATAAAATGTAGGCAGGTGATGTCCTTGCAGTCCGTGCCTGTGTTGGTTACCCTGGCGTCTACAATGTGGCTCAAAGTGAAGTTCTCAAGATTGAAATTGGTAAAAGAATTGGTAGGTAAATACGACTTCCAAATCTTGCAACGATAATAACTCATAGACAGCCGTGGATCCACCGAATTTGGTAGAGATGCGGAGGGTGTGGGGGGGATGGGGAAAGCCAAGATTGCACTGAATGTTGTGAAGCATATCAACTCTGATATGCTTGATTGCTCATACACTCCTTGGGTGTCTGATGGTACTTTCAGGGCTGATTATTTTGACAGTCATCGTGATCATCAGTTGCGTGTTCTCTCTCTGGGTATGACATTTCCTGCCAAAGATGATCACTGTTGACAAAAATAGATGGCGGCGGTGTTCGAGGACTTGCTTCGCTTTATATTCTCAAGGATGTAATGAAAATGGTGAGAGAAGACATGAAGACAAAGAAGCCATATGAAATCTTTGATATGATCGGTGATACCAGCACTGGAGGGTATGCGTTGTATGCCAACTAGTTGCGAACCCTGCTAACTTCTCAGCTTGATCGCGATTATGCTCGGTCGCCTAAAAATGGGCATTTACGAGTGCATTTATACATACAAAAGCCTGGTTGGAATCATTTTCGACGTAGATGCGTGGAAAGAGTGGGCGAAAGACTTCCCTGGGGCCCTGGATTGTTTGTGGACTGTTGCAAAAAAAGATAGCAACAGAAGCAAAGAAAAACTTGCCACTAACCGCGAAAGGTTCAGTCTACTCTAATGAGGCCTTCGAGGATGTCATCAAGAACCTCGTCAAGAAAAAACTGGGAAGCGAGGATGTCTCGCTACTCGAGGGCAATCCAGCTTGCAAAGTGTATTGTTTTCTTGTTCCTTTATCTGTCTACATCAAGCTAATGATTCTAGATTAGTTTTAGCTGTCCAAGAAAATGCATTCAACAACCGCGGCCCAGTATTCCTGCGTTCCTACATGCATCCTCATGAGCCTCGAGACACGGGTAATATCAAAATATGGCAAGCTGCCCGTGCAACATCTGCTGCTCCCCCTATACTTTTCTCCCATAAAAGTGGGTGACTATAAGTTAGTTGATGGAGCTTTGGCTGCCAACAATCCTTTGGGATGGTGAGAATAGTTCCTCTATTGCTGGAAATATATAGTACTGACCTTTCAGGCTATGAACAGAAGTGCTCAGCGTCTACGGCTTTACCCGTAAAACCGACTGTTTCCTTAGTATCGGCATTGGCATCACAGCCAACAGCAACCTACTCTGGCTCAATGATAGACTTCCCGCTTAGCGTTCTTTGGCAAGCGCTGCCACCAACTCCGAGATCACTCACATTCTCTTCCGCATTCTTCTTACCGCATTTGCCCCAAACAACGGGGATGAGAAATACTGGCGTTTCAATGTTGAGGGGAGGATTGAGGGGGAAAAGTGACTACGAGGGCGTGGGAGGTTTGGACGATGTCAAGGCTCTCCCAATGTTACTAGACAGGGTAGAGACGTATTGTGACTCGAATAGGGATGTTATCCGGGAGTGTGCTAATGCTATCTCAAGATGCGCCCAGGTTCATGGTTGAATTGTGGCTACCTGGTCAGCTCTATTTAGATGATATAAAATTTGATATTCTGAAAGATCTTGTTCGGATTACAAGGACTATGGGATTTATCACTAACTGCTGTAAACCAACACATCCGGTTGAATCCAAATGTCCCGTTTCCGCGTATGGGCAATATACTATGTAGAGGCAGTGTATGATGTTCTAAGATATGCTTGAGTATGGCTGTCGACAATTAGGGGCATGGAAGCCAAAGGATATATCTGACTGGTGGGTTGCATTCACTGCCTTCTTTTTGCTCATTATTATTAGACTTTGTAGCTTCTCAGCTCGTCTACTCCTACCAGCTTAACCATGGTTGCTCCTCTACAGCAGTTGCTCACATCAGGTGTTCTCTAATGTTTTAGCTTACTGAAATATGCTATTGAGCATATGGTCATCTTTGACGAGTCCTGTTCCAAAGCGCATGATGAAACCATTAGATGACAGAGCCTACGACAGCCTGCAAATTTTCAATTACAGAAAATTGCGCAAGGGTCATCTTTTTATGATGCCAGTCCGATTACATCGCACCCACACAAGATACATCATTACATTAACGAGGGCTCTGGATCCCGCGAGGATGTTATGCAGCCCCACAATCGCAGACTACTTCCGATCGAGAGGAGCACAAGAAATTGGAAAGGATGCAGTCAGAATATCTTGAGACCAGTTATAATCGGTATTTTACGCATTCCCTAGGAGTGTGATGACTTATTTGGACAAACTGCTACCAGGGACTATCCATGGTCCGCACGTGGAAGAAGGATGTCACAAGGTGATGTGAACTGCATGTCTGGATAAACTCGCGGGATATCCCTGCTCGGTACATCCCCAATGACAGCCATAAGGATAAACTAAAACCCGACGTCAAACATTCTTTCTTCTGCCCATGGGCTCAAGGCTATAACGAACTTCGTGAAAAAAAACCACCAAAGCGGCCGATAAACAGCTCCTTTGCCCATCGCAGTATTTTAAATCAACGACTGCTCTCCGAAATCACTGGAATCAAATTAACTTCAGATCAGGTCTCAATTTCGCAGAATGTCTACCATTGTGTATAACTTTCCCAAGAGTGGGTTTTGAACAAAAGTTCAAACGATAATCAAGTCACTGAGTGCAAATTCATCCATTTTTCCGCGTGACGCGACATTTTCAAAGCCAGGAAACATCCCTGAACCTTCTCCGGACAGTCCCCGATTCAGCTCCAAGAAAGAGACATTGTTTGGTCGTTCTCGACTTGTACGAGGAGCCCGATGAGGAGCGCGCCATGTGGAATTTGGTGATATAGAGTGAGCTCCAGACAAAGCCACTGCACTTCAGACAGTGCCAACATCGCAACTAGCAGTCGATCTGTCCCTCAAGCACTCTCGTCGAAAGAGTTGGCTATCTGCATACTGCCAGATACCGAAGGACAGTCATTGAAACGGTTTGGTAAGAAACTAGCATTTACATCAATAAGCAGCGCTTTCAAATCCCAGCCGGTCTGATGTTGAAATGGTCTAAGCGCCGGTAGCCGAATGGTAATCATTCTAATAAAAGTTGATATATGTTTATAGAGCGTATGAGAGTTTTGGGTTCTCATATGATTGGTTGGCACTTTGGTGACGGCGTTCTGTGACATTCCCCGACAAGCTCATAGAACTAGGTTGTTTTCAAGGTTCCCCAACATGCAGCAGCTAGACCTCTCCAATTTCTCAAAAGATCGTCTGGAGACTCTCCATCGTATTCTGGAAGATATGCACCAAGCAAGGGCCCTGCATGGTGATCCGATGCCGAGGAATGTGGTGTGATGGTCGCTGCAGATAGGGTGCTTTGGATCGATTTCGACTCTACACAGATGTTTCCGGGCGACCGGGATATTCCTCTCTCACCAAAGCAGGAGATGTGGTTTAGAAATGAGGATGAATTGATGGACGGATCTGTTGGGGATTCGGTGGGTTTGCTTATTCTAATTGCTTATGGCCCTGGCAATTATAGGCTGATCATTATATCTACAGCTCAAGGATTATGCAGAGGGAAGGCTGAACTGTGCATGGTCATATTATTATGAGTACATGTTGTACAACTATCGAGAAATCAATCGGAAACCAAGGCTATTGCTAACTAACGGAGATAATGCGGGATTTGTGGCTACAATCCCGGCTAAAGCGAATACGGCTTCAGAGACTGCGGCTAAGCGAGCTCTACCGCAACCGGGGAAGACAAGCAGTGCCAAGGAGAGAATAAGAGAAGTAATCACGACGAGCATGTGCCATGGGTGTATTATACGAGCTACTATATCCCAAAGTGGCAATGCGCGGGGAAATCCTTTCAACTTGGCACCTTGGCACCTTGGCACCTTGGCGGGTCTGGGCAGCCTTGGCAGTTCGGATAGATGACGAATCCGGGGAGCGGAGAGAGATGAGGAGAGACCAGGAGAGATGAGGACCCCACAGAATTAGTCCCTCTTTTTCCTATTCCGGATCCCCCCATCCGAGCCCCATGACATCGAAGGCTTTTCCCATCAAGTGTCTGACCAGTATAACCCTGGTCTAACCAATCATCATCATCTCCTATGCGGCGCGGCACAGACCCTAGGCTTTACTTTTGCCGACACCGGCTCTTTCCGACAGGATTTGGAAACATTCACAAATACGGGGTATGCTATTATGTACGGAGTACTTGTACGTATAATCAGGCTGCAAAGGAACTTATTGTTATTATTGTATTTCTGCCTGATTCATTTACCACTCGGAGTGCCCGTCCCCCGGGCGTTTACCGGGCGTTTATCCCCGCCGGGAAGCCAAGAGCAAGACCGCCGCCGCATCCAGTGAAGGTTGGCCGAGAAATCACCGTTTTAAGCTTGAAACGAATGGTCTCCATTTGCCTAATTGCCCTCCGTGCGCTGCCCATGTGTGCACACGCACATGTATGTAATCATGGCTGTGTTCTTGGGTTCTTGGGTTCTTGGGTTCTTGTGCTCTGGTTGTTACTTGTTGGGGTCCCCGGAGTCCCTGATACATTTCATCCGCATCCAATCGCCTTCTTTACCAACTGTTGGTTGTAACACGTTAACCGACCAAGAATAACTCTTAGTGATTCTTACATGATGCCATCCACGAATCCTTTGACCCTTAGTTTCTTGGATTCTGGGTCCGGCCAAGACACGCGCTAAGTCATGGGGGGAATATGGAGAACATATAAGAGATTGCTCCATCCTGGAGTAATCCACTCTCTTTCTTTCTTTTTTTTTTTCCCCCTTCCTCTTCTCCCTCTCCTCTATGCTTTATTGATTTCATTCTTTGTCCTCATACCGTCAATATGTGGACAACCACCTGCGGCTTGAAAGGGCGGACGCTCCGGGTGAGCATCACCATCACCGCCGTTATGGGTTTCTCGCTCTTCGGCTACAATCAGGGCATGATGGCGGGCCTCATCGATGGCGAACAGTTTACAGAATCCTTTAGCAAACTCAAAATGCCCGCAGATCCGACGCCATCGGAAACACACTATATCAACGTCATCCGCGGTGCTGTCACAGCCTGCTATGAGATTGGCTGTTTCTTCGGCGCGCTGTTCTCGATGTTCTTCGGCGAGAAACTCGGCCGCACTCGCCTCATCTTTACTGGTGCCAATGTCCTGACCATTGGTGCCTTGATTACAACGGTCTCCTTTGGTGATAAGTGGGGTCTCGGTCAGTTCGTCATCGGCCGTGTTATATCGGGCCTCGGAAACGGCATGAACACGGCCACAATCCCGGTCTGGCAGTCGGAATGCTCCAACGCTCACAACCGTGGCTTCCTGGTCTGTTTTGAGGGTGCGATGATCGCTGTTGGCACCTTTGTTGCTTACTGGGTGGTCTTTGGTCTCTCCCACACCACGGATACCGTCCAGTGGCGATTCCCCATAGCGCTCCAGATATTCTTCGCTCTGCTCGTGGCCATCGGTGCCCTGGTATTCCCGGATTCCCCGCGGTGGTTTGTGAAGAACGGATATGACAAGGAGGCCTGCGATGTTATCGCTAAGCTCAAGGACTCCACTCCTGACTCCGATGACGTCCTTACCGACTTCAATTTCATGAAGGCGGACGTGGAATCCTCGAAAACCACAGAGTCAAGCTGGAAGGCGGTATTCACATTCGGCAAGACCCAGGAATTCCAGCGCCTTCTTGTCGGTTGCTCCGGCCAGTTTTTCCAGCAGTTCACCGGCTGTAACGCCGCCATCTACTACTCAACGCTGCTTTTCAAGGATAACCTGGGCATGGATCGATACCTGTCTATGATCATGGGTGGTATCTTCGCTACCATCTACGCCCTTGCCACCATCCCATCCTTCTTTATGATTGAAAGGGTCGGCCGTCGCAAGCTGTACTTGATCGGTTTCCTGGGCCAGGGGCTCAGCTTTGTCATCACATTTGCTTGCTTGGTCAAGGAGACCGAGGAGAACGCCAAGGGTGCTGCCGTTGGTATCTTCCTCTTCATCGTTTTCTTTGCATTCACTCTCCTACCACTGCCCTGGATCTACCCACCGGAGATCAATCCCCTCCGTACCCGTACAGTGGGCGCCGCGGCGTCGACGTGCACCAACTGGATCTGCAACTTTGCCGTGGTCATGTTCACGCCGCTTTTCGCTAACGAGAGCGGATGGGGCCTTTATCTCTTCTTCGCACTGTTTAACTTTATCGGTTTGGTATTAGGCTACTTCTTCTATGTCGAGACGGCCGGCCGTGAGCTTGAGGAGATCGACATCGTCTACGCCAGGGCCCATGTCGAAGGGAAGATGCCGTTCAAAGTCGCCAACGACATGCCCAAGCTCGATTTCGAACAGATCGCCCAACAGTCTCGCGATCTGGGCTTGGATACCTCTGATAATTCCGCACCTGAGAAGAACGAGCTCGGCCTCAGCAGCAGTGACAACGGCCAGGAGGTCGAGGAGGTGCAGGAAAAGCACTAGCTGTGTGTTTTGAAACCAGAAAAACGAGATCTGTGACTCAGTAGGTTGAAGCCATCCTTGCGACGCGGAACACGCTGCTGGGACATGGCTGGGTTAGCCCTTTGGTGACGTGCTATAGCAGTGACGAAGGCGATAATGATGCTTGGACCGGATGTTTTCTTTCTTTCTCCACTTTTTTTTCCTTTTTTTTTTTCAATGCTTTTTTCTTGTGAACATCTTAATACTGCTGTTAGATAGGACTGTTAGAAGTGCCCGGCTGGCAGATACATAGTAAATACCCCAGACAAGAAATTCGGATGTTCCTTTTGAATTTATCTTCTCCTCTCTTCTTCTATTCTCTGCTGTAGTTTCCTTCCTAACCGCTGGCCTGAGAGGGCGATGCGACAACGTCATCTTGAGCCCGCTGGTTAAAACAAGAACAACGCCGGAATGCACAAAGATGACAACCGGGCGGCCGGCTTGCCTGGACCAGGCTCGCGAGGCACGTCCCCCGACCAGCTGGGGAATCCCGAGGACTGCCAACCGGGCGCAAAGAGGACGTCCTGATACAGCCAGGGCTCAACCAACCAAGGAATTACGCGGTTATGACTGACAAGAACAGGACCCGTCTGAAGAATGGTGTTGATGCAGTCTCGGCAGGGATATCTGCGTGATATAATAGCGCTCTCCGACTCGTGGTTTTTTTAAAGCCGAAGAATGTGCAGCCTTTAGCTGTGCATCTGCATTGCGATGCACAATATGACGGATAAAATTATTGCATACATTTATCAATAATTTGTAGTACCCTAGTACATACGACCATAGGGTGTGGAGAACAGGGCTTCCCGTCCGCTCAGCCGTACTTAAGCCACACGCCGGCCGGTTAGTAGTTGGGTGGGTGACCACCAGCGAATCCCGGCTGTTGTATGTTTTTTTTTTTTTTGCCTCGCTCGCGTAGCGAGTGATTAAAGTTGCATAATCGCCTTCACCAGTAACTAGTTAACGTGTATGATAAGCGGGTGAGACAGATAATCACCATGACATGATCACCAATAGGATGAACTACAGTTGAAATGACACTGATAATAGGAATGATATGAAAATCTTTTGGAACAGTGGTTGGCATATTTGTCACTTGATCAAGAGCAAGTGCATTTTATTAAGCCAGCTCTGTTTCAGAGGCTACGTAAATTCTCCAAAGTAACTATGCTTCCATCTATCTCCAGCAAATAAGTCGCAATGACGTTTCTTGCTAGCTTCTTCTTCTGCGTACATAAGTGATGTTTTCCCCTGTGCGTCTTTGTCATCTAGATGGAGATTAGCCCAACTATGAGCGACCCAAGATCCGGTTTCTGGAACTTGCGCAGTTGCACACGCACCAGCAGCACCACGGCGACCGCGCAGGGGAAGCTTCGAATTCCAATTCCTCGACGCAGGCATCGAACAGTCGCATTTCCGTGAGACATCCTCGCGTGAAAATCATGGTATGTCGGTCGTTCAGACGATGGCAGAGAATCTGGGACTGCCAAGTGCTAGGGAGGAAAAGGCTATGTATCTAAAGATTGGAGAGGGCTTTTGGCTACGTTTGTGGCGTATACGTGCTGCATTAGAGATTAGACCCAAGGCTCTGGGCTACCCATTACCCAGATCTACAATCCTTTCTTCTCCCCCAGATTCGATGATCGCGCTGATGGCTACAGTAGCTTAGATTGATATTACCTGTATCTACTATTCCGAGCCTGTGACATATACCACTAAGCCATGCAGTAGGTATGAAAAATATCAAATCCTCGGATTTCCCGAAATAGTTTCGCGGGCGAAGGGATTGTTTAGGTCATCCCGGAAAATGCCTTACTGAACAACCCTAACAAACCGCCTCCGGCGAGTACGCTGGATGAGAGCGCTGCCTCCAGCTCTCAGGACGACGAATTCTCACCTTCTCGTGGTGTCCGGTGTCAGTACTCATCATTGAGTGAGGAAACCAAGAAGAATTCCCTGTGGCGGTTGTGCGGACGTGTTGTGATCCCTCAACGCATCCTATAAGGCTGATTCGACTAATTCAGCCTATAAGAAACTCTTAGGATTAGAAACACACATATATATGGCCCCCAAAGCATGCTGTTTATGTTCTTCATTCCAGCTTGCAATTCATCCAAGAAACCGATTCGATTTTGTGGATCAGGCTATGGCAAGGAACGGCATCGACGATACTATTGTATTCTGTGTCTGTGTAGATGGATGAGGGTGGATCTCCTCTATCCGGCAGTTGTGTGTGGGCTCGCTAGTGCGGGCCAATCAGGAGCGGGGCATATTGGAGCCTGAGGCTCTCAAACAGATTTCTGTATTCAATATACGACAAATTCGAGGCACCATGAAGTTTCCTACGTCCTTTATCCTTTCAATCTTCCTTTTTTTTCCCTGGCGCTTGTCTCAGTCAGTGATGCCCTCACCATCCCTCAGAAAAACTCGGACATTTCCCCAGAAGAAGACCAGCACCTTGATTCCAGCAATCTCGTCAAGCGCGGGTGCATTCCCAGAAAGACCGCCGATGTATGCGCCGACGTTCCGACAGTGGATTTCCTAGTCACAAAACCCAGCAGCACGGCAAGGTTGGAAAACGCGACTCGCTATTCTACAGTGACTTGAGTGGTGGCGGGGCAATTGCCAAGGCCTCAGAATGGTACAGCAAGAATGTTCGCAAGGGTCGGGGCTCTGTTGCCTTCAACGATATTGTCAATAAAAAGTGGTATGAGGCTCAGGGCATGGAACTCGGACGACAATCTCCGGCCAAGGTGGACCAATTCCAGAAGCGGCTCTCACAGGCCTTCGCCGAGGCTTCCAAAGGCACCGTCTACTTTTTCACCAAGGAGGAAAATGAGGGAACCTGTATGCCAGATACTCAAGCCTGGCGAGGGTGGGAATTCCCGGCATTGACGCGCAACCGGGACGTCAAGGAGATTATCCAAGTCGACCCAAGACAAGCTATTGATAAGGGGCATGTTATTTGGACACCGGCCGATGGACCTTCGTACAATGCGCCCCGGGGCTGAGAGCAGATGCTTGGATTGTGTATATTACGGGATGTAATTTTTTTTTTTTTTTTGGTATAGAGATTTAGTTGTTAATTTTTTGAATTTTTGTTGGAGTTTCTCGGAATAGAATTGGCCCCCGCATTGCGCTACACAAGGCGCACTCGAGGTCTTGACCACCATGATTTAAATTGGTCTTCTTCTTCCAGATTGTAGTCAACATTAATCCAACCCAGCCATGTCGAATATTGATACGATTACTTCCCTGATCGAGCAGGGTCAGGTCGACCCAGTGAAACCCCTCCTTGCTACCTCTCCAACGACACATGACGATAATGCTATTATAATGCTTCTTCACGCGTCCATTGAATCCATGAACCTCGACATCATGCGTTATCTGCTCGATACATACAAACCAAATAGCAAATCTCCTCTCTTCCGCGATAAAGTGTCGCTGGAATCAGTGGGTCATGGGAAAACCGAAGCATTCAAGATTCTGACTGTATACCACCCATCCATCCTAACATGGCACTTGAGCCATTTTGGCGATGCCCTTGGCCATGCAGTTCTGACTGATAACTTCCCATTGGCACATTTCATCCTGGACGAGGCTGGCTGTGATCCAAATAAGAGCCAGTTGTGCTATCGGCCAACAATTGAACATACAGCATATTGGGGGGAGTACGAAATGATGCAGTTGCTGCTGAAGCATGGTGCCCGGATCAATGGCACCAAGACACTGTATGAGGCTATGCAGAGTGGCAGTGTGGACATGCTTGTCACAACCTAGCTTCTCTTCGTATCGTAACCTAAGGTTCTAGTTAGTTAAGTCTCAGTTGGGGCACTCACCTGAGTGTCCTTCGTCGTCGTCGTTATATCGATAATGACCCT